AAAAAAAAAAAAAAAAAAGGTCAATATCACTCCAGCATAGAAAGCCAATGTGAAAGTGAACGTGAAAAGTGAATAAGAGCAGAATAACGAGCTACCGTCCCGATTTCTTCACCGACGCCCACCGGCTGCTAGACCCCTTCCAGCGACCTGCAGCACAGGACGCACATCTGCATCTCTGCAAGAGGCCAGCCGGGCTGGCCTCCGGGACCAGCTTGACCAGCCAGCGCCAATGGGCGCGTCGCCGCCGGTCAGCCACCCCAGAGCCACATGGACGGGCGAGTTGGGTGCTATGCCCCTTTCAACTACCGAGCGAGCCTCGTGGCTTCATCATGCCAACACACCTTTGTTCCACTCTCCAGCTTGGACCCCGAGCAAAACGAATGATGATGCCGACCATCCGTATGATACATCGCCTATTGTTGCAATTGTGTAGTAGAGAGCTTCCTCCCCCCACGCTTCTAGCGGCGGATGGGGATGCGCCTTATACGCGGGGCCCGCATTGCTGCTGATGCTGGTGTGGAGAGATGTAGAGATGTAGGTTGTGAGGTAGCACTGGAGCTCATGCTTCTCGAAGGAACTGGCGGGTGTCTAGTCATCTATTCTAGTCTGCCGAATGGACGACTGCTTGCTTGCTTGCTTGCTGCAGCTAGGTACCCAACGACCGGCCGTTCCTGGCAGGCCGCAGTATCTCTCACCGAGGGCCGAACTTGCCATCTCGGTCACCCTGATAGCTACCTAGGTAGCTGTCACAGCCCGATAAGAGCAATATGGCTCTTCAGTCTGAAAAGCCCCAACGAACCAGAGATGTACCTGAACAGAGAGATGTTGAGCAAGTGCCATGTCATCTCGAGACGCGGAGGTGGTAACACGAAACAGGGCTATACGTTTGATAGCACACATATGTCACGTACATAGCTTTTAGTCATGAGCGTTATTTAACTTCTTTGGCATTTCAAGAGACTGCCACTCAACTCTCTCTTTCTCTCTCTCGCGTGTCCCAGTCGTCTCTGCTCGACTACATTGATACATACAAGCCCCCCTTTCCCTCCATCCACCCATCATCACACCGCCCAACTTTGCCAACATGCATCCCCCTTTCTCTCTCATCATCAAGGATCCCATCTCTCATCAACCCCAACATCGCTAAGAATAAATTACCACAACGCATTTGAGACTATGTAATGTAAATGTAATGTAAATGTAGTGTAGTGTAGTGTAGTGTAGTGTACTATATGTGTGAGCTGACTTCCCGCCTCATAGAAGAGAGGGCAAGGAAGCAAACCCATTGGTATCATCGGAGGAGGTCGAGAGCAGCAACAGCAGCAGCAGCAGCAGCAGCAGGCGGAGAAAAGCGGATGACCAGACCTGGCTGGGCGCCTTGCTCTAACATGTACAGAAGAGTGAGATTTCGCTTGCAAGAAGAAAGAGAGAAAAAAGAAGAAGCAGAAAATAGAACAATCCCAGGATATATATGCAAGATCCGAGAAGAAGAGAAGATCGAGCAAGAGCTTGAGAAGGAATAGATTCGATATGCGCCGGTGTGATGCGACAGTAGTGTATGAAACAGAGACCGTGTCGCTGCTCCTCGCCGTGAGCTGGAGACGTGACGGTTGTGACGCAACGAGGCGCGTACGTGATACTAGCCGTAGTAACGGTGTGCTGAACTGGTCAGGCCAGAGGCCGGTGTCGAGAAGGTAGGTGTTGTAAAAGAGCGGTCGAGGTAATAGGTTGTCCAGCCGAAGATATGCCTCTTCTGGGAAATAGTAGTGATTTGGTATGCAGTAGCGAAAGTCTATAAAGATGAGACGCTTTTTGTGTGGCGTAGGCCGGGACCGTAGTATCGCAAGAAAAACATCAACAGCACACAAAGTTACGCCGATCGGTAGAAACTCTCTGGGGTATAAGCGACAGACATGAAGATGCAGAAGCCGTCAATGAACCATTAACCGTGGGCCAGGGAATGACGTGAAAAACGAGCAAGCAGCAAGGCGATATTTTCGTGATAAGGTCGTGTACGAATGAAGGTGGAAGAATTAGAAAGCCTAATAGCGCGACGTCTCTCCGAGATTCAGCCAACTCATATCTGAAGAGGTTGCGGCCATGGCCAACTGAGGCTGTTGACTGACGCCACTGGGAACACCTCCTCGTGATGGTGGGTGCTGCTGTTGTCTTGAAGTCTGCGATGGCGGAACCAGAGGCGTCGTGTAGAGACTGTAAGCGCTGCTTGGCGCACGGTCTGCACCCCAGGGCTTGTTCGAGAACGAGGTCGGGTCCCAAGTGTCATGAACACTGGCGGGAATGCCACTCGAGTACCCAGACATGTCGGAGACACGGCTTGATGGCCGCTCGATCTGCGCACTCATCCCCTTCTGCATCCTGCTTGGCCATTGGTCGACGGTAGGCGATCCAGAGTTGACGCGGCTGAACCTTGGTCGTCCGTCGATCTGCAGCGGCGGTACCGTTGCTGAGTCTTGCGTGATCCGGTTCTGTTGGTTCGAATAGTGCGAGCTCTGATCAGAGTCGACAGTAGCACGATTTCCGGCATTGGCACCGTTATTGTTGCCATTACCGAAGCCAAGAATATTCAAGGCACTTCCCCCAGACCAGTATCGGTTCCAACCAGAGCTACGTCTCGTGCTCCCTTGTCTGTCGAGAACATTGCCGCGCGGCACGGGCCTCGGCTCTGCCGTGTTCTTCGCAAACATGACCTTCTCCTCACGGGGCTGAAGTGGTTCAGGGCCGGGCACTACTACCGGGTTCTGAGCCATCTGCGGAATGGGCTTGCTGATTGTGCTCTTGAATTGCTTGTTGAAGAGACTGCTGGATGAGCTGCGCTTCGTGCCGTTGCTTATCTTCCGTCCAACAGAGGCTTGCTGCTGCTGCTGCTTGTTCTGTTGGTTGACCTTGCCCATCAAGATAGCCATAGACGAAACCGATCCGTGAGAGTCCTGTGGATTGTGTCCCCGGAAGACACCTGCGCCTAATCGTGGAGGCAAGCTGTCATTTGCGAAACCCATTCCGTCCTTCTCCGGAGACGATGCTCCACTGGCTCTTCGATTGTGACCGGCTTCCATGAATCCCTGTCGTGCTCGCTGTCGCCTGATGCAAAAGTATAGCAGGACGAGAATGATTGCGCTACCAAAGATAGAACCAAGTACAATTCCAAGGATACTGTTAGTACCGAGACCGCTGGATTGGGTCTTGGTAGCCGCAGCAGCAGCAGTCTCTGATGGTTGAGACGACGATGTGGCCGTGATCGTCCCCGAGGTCGAGGTGGCAGTCGCCGATGTGATCGTCGATGAGGATGACGGCTCCGACAAAGCGAACACCTTCTGGTCCACCAGCTTTTCCGTCGCATTCTGCCAGGAGTTCTCTCGCGCATCGAACATGCAAAGGACATCATCGTCATTACCACCAGCCACTACTACCAAGCCATTAGGGTCCTCCGCCACTGCATAATTAGTTCGTGTGCTCGATGGCGCCAAGGTGTCATTGTACTGGGGCCAGTCGCCCAGAGTCTGTCTCCGCTCCCTCCAACTCCTCCTCTTTGATGAGTCAATCAATGATCTCCTGGTAATGGGTGCCGAGTTAGGCACTGGTGCCCCACTGCCGTCAATGAGAACAGTTCTGTTGACTTCGTTCGGCGACTGTGTCATGTCAAAGGTGTAAAGGTTCTTGCATCCATCATCTCCAGTGATGATCACCGCCCGTATAGCAGTGATGTCTTTCTCAATCGGCGCCGCGAGAGAGGCACCGGAGTCCTGCCACGAGGTCTCCGGGCTGAATGTCATGACCTTCGTATTCGTCGTGCTTCCTCCAATTAGCATTGCTGAGCTTGCTGACCAAGGCAGCAGGATGGGATTAATCGTTGGTGGCGCGATGGATTGATATGCTATCACTGAGTACGGCGCTGATGCCCCGATGGTGAAGGTCTGCGTCGAGGGGTACTGAGTGCCATCTTGAGACCCAGCATACATCAATATCGAGTCGGATGCATTCAGATACGTCGCTCCATGCCACTGTCGATCCTGAGTAACGGCAACGACGGGCGTCAGCGACTCCCACTTCCCCGTCGAGTAGGTGTATTTCTGAAAGCCCTGATAATCCGTGCTCCCCTTGCCTCCCACGACATAGAATCCTGCCAGACTGTCGTCCCCCGGTGTTGATCCGACGCAAACGCCTCCTGTGACCTTCTCACCCGAAGGTAGCTTCTTCCATTCCGCACCTTCTTCTAGCCTCAGGGACTGAAAAGCGTCCGCTGAGTAGGTGTAGAGAGTATTATTGAAAATGACTGAGCATATGTTGTCCAATGGGACAATTGGCTCGGGTAGAGACATCTTCAGATGCCTTTCTCAACGGCCGACCAGTTTCCTCGGGACTAGATGCAATCGATTGCGTTTCCCCAAAGGGACTTCCTCGATGATATCCGATCAGATTACTGCGACGACATAGCGTACCGAACCTCAATTCTAATCGTAAGCGTTTCGGCAGGCGGGGATTATCGTCGAGATCGTTTTATTCGAACCGAGCAGTGCTATTGTTAGCACAACAGACTGCGGACGTGTCCGTTGAGACGAAGACAGGCTGTCTAGTATCCAAGTAGCAGCTATTCGAGCTCCCACTAGGTATGAAACAAACGGCTGTCGAAGAATAATGAGTGCTTGGTTTTGGTCCGAAGTCCAAAACGCTCTGGCTGAGCACCAAGAAGAGACGGCCACGGAGGCTTGCGTCGTCGAGAAGGTAGAAACTGGACAAGGAGCGAAAGTTTCGAGTTGAGGACCCGGCCCCCGGTCGATTCGTAGCAGAATGATCTACGGAATAAACTTTTGATGTTTCTCGAAGAGAGAATTGTTTCCGTGTCTCTGGTAGATCAGGTTGAGAGGGAAACAAAAGCCTTCATGATCTGAAGTAATTCGTGTCGCAGGTTGCGGGCTTGAGCGGAGACGGGGACAGCAGTGGTGGTTCCTCCTCTATGCCTAAACTATGGTGCGTGTCGTATGTGCTCCTAGCCCCTGGATCTTAATAGTGAGGATATAATAACAGGACGGGTTCGTTGTTGTCACTTGTACAGGAGAAGCGAATTATGTCGACGACTATCGGCTTGTGAGCTTCGTTTCCTCTTCGTGAGAACGTCCCAGACGAACACTTTGCTGTCACTTTGGGTGAAGGTTTGCAAGCAGAACCGAGAGACGGGAAATCAACGAGAATGGCCAAGAGAGCGAGACATGCACAGAGCAGCGAGAGACAGACCGGCAACACGGGCAAGCTGGTGGTCACCCACGAGCACGAGAGAACGGGAGAGACTCGCACACCCAGCAAGGGCATCTGGGCATGCATGGTACGGTGTAAGCGGACGGGGAGGCACAGGAACTAAAGCTGGGACAGGGATCTGGGGTCCGGGATGCCAACGAATGAGAGAAACCAGCGGGCCCGAGCAGGGCAAGGGGAGCCCGTTGAGGTAGCTTCTTCTGGAGACTACCTCCTGAAGCTATGATTATTGGCGCCCAAGCGCAGGTACTGGACCTTGCAGGCTACATGCCTGCACGGTGGGTGGCTGGGGTAGTACCCAGAGCCCGTTCCATTGTGGAAAAGGGGCCGCCGTCTCAGGCACAAACAAAATGGTCAAGCCCGCGCCACGAATGGAAGCCCGCAGCAGACCATTCCCAGAAACAAATCTAGCAGCACGCTCATTGCTTCCTCATGGCTGCCCGTGAGAGGGGGACACCAATATCTGGAAGCTGTTTTGGGAGCACTGCCCTGCAGCTTTTCCTACAAGGCTTGCTTCCAAGTTATGCCTGCTCCTTGCCATGCTCTGCTGCATTGTCCTCGTATTCAAGAGAGGAGGCATCGACTGGGGAAAGGAGCCGGAATGGCGACTCTCCACATTGCATGTGTGCAGGCACTCTGCATTGATAGTGTACATACATCAGGTAGAAGATAGACATTACACGGCGCCAGATGCCGGAGCCGACGAGAGATCACGGCAGCAGGTCGGACACTGGAGCCGCCTGAGGAGACTGATTCGTCGTGAGCCCATGGTCTGGTCACCGTCAGCTCATAATGACTGGCGAGGCGCTGTCGAGATGATTTGACGGCGAGCTACAGGCACAGTCCACTTGCCCAGCGACGGCGAGATTTGTGCAAGCCTGCCCAGAATGAATGAAAAAGCACAGAAGCCAGACCCCAGGAAAACCCAAAGAGAGAGGCCATCTCCACTGGCCGCTGGGGCCTGCACTTAGTCTGAAACACGAGAATCCCTGCAGGTCGAGCCCCTGACTTTGAAAAGACTGAGCCAAATGGGAATGGCCCAATCCTGGGCGCCACCCGAGAAGAAAACGTCCGTGCCGCTCTCCATAGGCCAGTGAGACCCAATTCCAATTTCCACGCTACCTGGCTCTTCTCACCTTTGGGGTCTGAGAGCTGAAGAGTGCGCGCATGGTGGTAATTGTCAAAATTAATATTGCTCGGTGATGCCCTCCTCTGCAATAATAATGAAGGGTGATGTCACAGACGCCGAAAGCCTTGAAGCGAGATGAGGCTCTAGCAGCCGCAGAACCCGTAACAAATCTGATAAGACTCGACAACATTCGCGATCGCGTTCGCATGACTAAGAGACAATAGATACCATGATGATGCCTTTTGTGGTATGCAACCTGTCGATCATCAGGAAGTCGCGGCAGTGCTACCATCAAGTCGGTTCACCCACAGACGGATTGATTGATTGACACCGGACTTGCCTGTGTCTTGCCTTACTCGGTGTTAGTCGTGAGCGAGGCTGGCGATCCGCACTAGAGCCTTTGAAAGAATCCCATACCCGAAGCAAGGGCAACAAACGCGTCTCTGAGCCAGATCTAGTTCTCTCAAATGCCTTGGTAGGAATTGCAACGGCCCTAGCAATTGCTGCGTTCCTTACGTCGCGCACCGCGCACCGCGCCCATTTGCTTGAACCTGAGCTCCGTTACCTTCATCCTCTGTAACAATTGAGGTGAGGCTTAGACCCAAGCATTTGTGTGACGAAAGTCTCAATAGCACCCAGCTTGTAACCTTTGAGGTAGTATTTGAGAGTGCTGGCTGACTGAATGCTCATGCCCCCGAACACAGCGTCAAACACAGAGGAACATCGCAATCTAAGCCGTGACAGTGCTTCCACATGCATGGATCTACCAGGAGACCCAAAACGTCTGCTGATCACGGGTGATTTACACACGCCGTCTCCAAAGCGCTCCATATGCCGTGGATGATCGCCCGTGGCGCCAGCTCTATTTTTGGTTTTGGTGTAAATCAAGATACATCTTAAGGCCACCGCGGTCGCAGGCCGTTTCATTGTGCATAGGCGGTTTCTATAAAGGAGAAAAAGCTTGTGATGCAGCCTTCTAGAACAGCCGGCCATATAAACGGCCTCAGTTGGTTCAAGAGTGATGTAATGTGAGTGACTACATATCTTTGGGGGGATCTTGGGGGCCGGCGGCATTGGAAGAAGAGGATATTTCTGGGAAAGGGGAGCAGTAAGCACATCAGCGCCAACAAGCGTGTGGGCTTACCCGTTGCTGCAAGATGCCGGGCTGCAGCCCAGATCTTTCTTCATCTCTCTCGAGATGCCCTCGTAGCCAGTCATTTGTCTCTACAATGTCCCTCGTGATCATCAATGGAGAGCGTGTAAGCGCTGTGCCCCGGAGCGCGCGCAATTTCAAGCCGGCGAATCGCCAACGAAGGACGGCCTTCCGCACGGTGGCCCGGCATCGCTGCATGGCAATCTCACTCGGAGAGGTCTAAAGCGCGCGCCAGCCAACCACGGCGCTTCAGCAGCGTCATTGGTCAATTGTGGAACCTCGGCCAGCAGACGGTCGTGGAGCGCTTCAAATTTGTAGTTGAAGCCATACAGGCAATGTTGGGGAGGTGTTAAAAGATATCAGAAACAATAGGCACAATGGGGTGATGTAAGAGCTAGAATAATGCAACTCCATAGTAGGAGCTTCGTTGGTTTCAAATTTTGACTACCGACCAAAGCAGGTTTATCAATCTTTGGTATTTCATCTTTCCTTCCCTGAAAACGCAGTGCGTAACGGCAAACTGAAAAGCTCTCCTCGATGTCGTGATCGACTCGTTGGCGATAATCCAACATGACAGATTATGCCATGCGATGCCTTAACAAAAACAAGTGACCCTGATGAACGCCTGCCCGCCGCCCTGAACCATACGCTAATGCATGCCGAGCCTTCGTTTTCCTTTCCTTTCGTTCTCCTTATCATTCTTCCGCCTGAGATGTAATAGTACAGTTTATCCAGTTTCTTTCCTCCGCTTAGGCCGTTGGCTTGAATGCCTCGGGACCCAGTACCGCTCTTTTCTCCTCGAACACGGCGACCGCCCGATCGAAATCCCAGCCCGCGGTATCGAGGCACATCTTGGAGTATTCCAGAGTCATGTTCGTACGGTTTGAGAGCTCCAGTATCATCATGTCTTTCTGTTGCTCCTCAGAGATGGCGGCGGCTGGTGCAGCTGGAGGCATCACAGCAGCCACCGGAGCAGCTGATGGCACAATGGACGGGACTGGTGACCAGGCACGCAGTGAGAGCATGTCTGAATTGACGCGGATAGCGTTTCTTCCTGGCTGACCTGGACCCAGAGTAAAAGTGCGCGAGAAGCTGCGCATGCCTGTTTTGCCGGTAGCAGCATCTAGCTCCTGAAATTCTCCATGGACCGTAATAATCATACCATCGACGCCGAGGTTGCTCTGCCCGGTGGGATCACGTAAGCCAGGAAGCCCATGGCAGTCGATGATGTACTTGTTGACTTCAGCAACTAAGTCGGGGTGCTTGGTGGCAGGCAGCTGCTTCCACAGATCCTGAATGAAGTTGACACCAACGAAGTATCGTTGCATACGGGCACCCACGGTAGTAATCTTGCCGTGATTGCGAGAGAATTTGAGGTATGGTGCCCATGGTAGTACGGGAGCATCTTGTTCGCCTCTCGGTGTATGGTTGGAAACCGCCAAGGTGAACCGAGTTTCCTCGTCGTAGAATGCAGCCGCCAGTGCAGCTCTATCCGAATCATACATTGGAATGAACTGCCGAATAAATTGCTCGCCTAGCCCAGCTACATCACGGAAGTCGGTGCCGTTCTGGGGAATGGGTTTTGCTTGCATAGCAGCCTCCGCGGCAGCAATCTGTTCCGGGGTTCTGACGATAGCGCCGTTCAGATTTTGCAACTTCGGAAACCAGGACATGAAGTCATTTGCGTGTCCAGGCTCAGCCTCGATAATCGGATTTCCCAGCAGAAGCAGCGTCTCTAGATGCTTGAAGTGTCCGCGCCATCGTTGTAGCTGTTTAGTATGCTGGAACTGATTCCCGCTCAAGTCGAGGTGTTTGAGATCTGGGAAAGTGTCGGCAAGCTCGAAGATTTGGCCAACAAAATCAATACCATTGTTGGCGAGAGAGACGCTCTGGATTGCCTCTCGCTTCTCCTTGGCTGACTTGAACAGGTCTTGGCATATGGCCATGAGAACCTTGAATGTCTTCTCGGCAAGGCCTTTGTCTTGGAAAAGCCCCATCTCCATGAGCGTAGGATCTTGGCCAAGTGCAGATAAGTTGAGCAACTTGGCATTCATATCATATCGTTGTTCCAGCACGCCTTGCAAGCGTTGTTTGCTCTGCTTTGCTGCCTCCGACATTGTTGACCCTGTTTGGCGTTCTATCCGTTGTGGCCATCCATCTTCATTCTTCGTGATGTTGAGATTTGTCCCGGCAAATGAAAAGGTGTTCAGCTTAAGAATCTCCTCGCTATCTTCATTGCTTGCTAGAACATAGACAAAGTCACCGATGACAAGTGACTACTAGTGGTTAGCAAGGTATATAACCTTGGCAAATATCTAGGACCACGGGAGGGACATAAGCGGCGAAAGTCGAATATGCTTGTTTGCTCGTTGTGCGGAGAATATGGCAGGGAAACGAGAAAGGACCTTCGGCGACGCTCCGTAACCTCCCGTATCCAGAAGTTGGATACGTAAACATACCTTCTTGATCGTGACTGTATGGTTGGAAAGACCGGAGGCCTTCCTCTCGAGGAACTCCAGTAGACTCTTGACTCCACCGTCAGGATTAGTCGCTGCTTTGCTGGCCTTGAGGCCGAAAATCTTGATAGTTGTCGTATTCGCTTGGGATCGTGTTGCGCGGGGCCCGTTGGGTAAGCGTGAGGTATCGCCACCGATCTGTCGCAGAAGATTTTGCTGGAGCTTTGCGGTTGAAGCAACTGGGCCGGTCCTCGGTGTGTTGCGACGGGCAGGACCGGAGGGTGGCTTGCTAGGCTTGCTGAAGCCAGAGCCGGATTTATTCCCATTTGCAGCCGCAGTCGGGTCCATGACTAGATCTCCATCTCGGTCGACTCGAGGTGCAGCACCACCGCGTGAGCGTTTTGCTATTCCGCCACGGCCGCGTGATGCACTGGCAGAGCCCCGAGCAGGACGAGTCGCTGTCGCCGTAGCACCTCGTGGGCCGCCGGGCGCCATGGTGATGGGGTTCTGTCGACAGAAATCGCGTCGTCAAAATTGAGAGATATGACTGAGGTGCAAGAAGCGATGGAGTCTATCGATGGGAGCGAACTCAGTATCGTAAAAGCGATGTGGTGGTGGACCCGCGACAACAAAGGCGCAGGGCGTCTAGAACTTGTTTTGGCGAGAAGGACCTCGGTGGTAAGGCAAAGGCGTAGAAAGATGTTGTCTGGAGGAGAAGACAGTCGCTAGCCTGCTTTATAAGTGTCCGTAGATAGAAAAATAGAGTTCTCTTTCTTGCAATGAGCTTTGAGGCTCGATGTTGTCGCGAGAACAAAGGAGAACAGGCGTCGAATCCGCTTGCAGGAAGAAGTCAGATGTGCTGGCTGCGATCGAGAATTGTGCCGGAGATGGATGTTGACTCAGCCCCACCCAAACCTCAGCAGCAACAAACCATAAGCCAGAAACTGCTGAGTCAGAATGACGACCCCCCCTGCCCGTCCAGGCAGAACGCTCCTGCCGCAAGGCATCTCCAGGAAAGTGCAAGGGTACTATATACTTTCTTATAGGCTACCTTACGCGAACATCCCACCTCTTTTTACTATCACAGAAGTACTGGCTACTTATCCGTCAACGTGATATCGCGTTTCCCATGGACGCGTCCGCCACGACCTCCTACTAAAGGATATACAGTCTACTAAGTAAAGATACAGCTACAAGGTCAGATGACACCTGTGCTCGCAACTCATGCGCAGTACATCATGATCCTAATCTTGGTATCTCTGCCACGGTGAAGTCAACCCTGGGAAATTAATGGTACTAGAAACACCATGGACGAAGACGACTATGATTGCGACCTCGCCGATGAGGATTTGATGCAAGCTCTCACACAAGCCTCAAATGGTCCTAAGGCTGCATCATCAAGTGGGCGCGGACTCGCTCGCGCTCCCGGGATAGCTTCGGATTGTGTTGTTAATTCCGCAGGCCGACGGAGTTCCCTTTCTCAACGCCGTGATAGGCAGACAGCGCAGGGCCGCGTTCTATCAGAGGCGCAACGAGGACAGTTCCAATCAAACGTCGATCTTGATGATATTCCATCAGATGCCTTTGATAGCTCGCCGGTTCAGGCCAACACGACTCGTCAGGCTCCCTTTCAGCCGTCAAGATCGTTCCAAAGACAGGGATCTCAAAGTTTCCGCCAAACAACATTGTTCGGCCACACCATTCGCGATGAGGAGCCCACCCAGTCGCAGTTCTATTCTAGTAGGATGTTTCGAGTGGACATGCCACCAGAGGCCCCAAGTCATCATGCGCTAGATCACGAAGCCATGAAGACATGGGTGTATCCAACCAACTTAGGGCCTATCCGAGACTATCAATTTAGTATCGTCAAAAACGCTCTCTTCAATAATACACTGGTGGCTCTACCAACAGGCCTAGGCAAAACATTCATTGCAGCCACCGTCATTCTAAATTTCTACCGTTGGACAAAATCTGCAAAAATTGTGTTCGTGGCGCCGACGAAACCACTGGCCTCACAACAAGTTGAGGCTTGCTTGAACGTAGCCGGAATCCCGCGATCTCAGACAACACTGCTGACAGGCGAAACACCTCCGGCACAGCGTGAAGATGAATGGGAATGCAAACGACTATTCTTTATGACACCACAGACTCTTCAGAACGATCTTGGAAAAGGCTATGCTGATCCCAAGTCTATTGTACTCCTCGTTATCGACGAGGCACATCGAGCGACGGGTGATTATGCATATGTGAAGGTGGTGGAGTTCATTCGGAGGTTTTCGAAAAGTTTCCGGGTTCTTGCCCTCACAGCTACGCCAGGGTCAAAGGTTGAGGGCGTACAAGACGTTATTGACAATATGGGTATTTCACACATAGAGATCCGAACAGAAGAGTCTATGGATATCCGGCAATATGTGCACTCCAGGGGCATCGACCAGGTAGTTCTGGAGCCCTCAGACGAAATCTTGCACGTGAGGGATCTTTTCTCGAAGGCGCTCAAGCCGCTTGTGCAAAAATTGAGTGCGCAGAACATCTGGTATGGCCGAGATCCAATGTCAATGACGACTTATGGGTTGAGGACGAAGCAAGCAGAATGGAACGCTGGGCCTGGAAGACATGTCAATCCAGGTACCAAATTCATGACCAACGCCATCTTCTCGATACTCCAAAGCGTGGCGCACGCTATCAAGCTGCTAAATTTCCATGGCATTGCGCCTTTCTACCATAACATGCTAGACCTCAGGAGTTCTACAGAGGAGAAAGGAGAGAAGGGATCGAAGTACAAAAAGCAATTGATCCACGACGAGAATTTCCAGGAGATGATGGACACTATTGATAAATGGCAGAGGACGGACGGCTTCGTCGGCCATCCCAAAATCACATACCTCTGCGACACCCTCCTCAATCACTTCATGGATGCTGGTGAAGGCTCCAATACGAGAGCTATCGTTTTCAGCGAGTACCGCGACAGCGCTGAAGAGATTGTACGAATCCTGAATACGCACAAACCGCTTATCAGTGCGTCGATTTTCGTGGGTCAAGCAGACTCGAAGCGGAGCGAGGGTATGAAGCAAAAGCAGCAGATCGAGACGATTGAAAAGTTCCGAACTGGTGGCTTCAATGTGCTCGTGGCAACATCGATCGGAGAAGAAGGCCTTGACATTGGCCAAGTCGATCTCATTGTCTGCTACGATGCCTCGGCGTCACCAATTCGCATGCTTCAGAGAATGGGCAGAACGGGAAGAAAGAGAGCGGGAAACATCGTGCTCTTGCTCATGAAAGGAAGAGAGGAGGAGAAGTATCTCGAGGCTAAAGACAATTACGAGATGATGCAGAAGTATATATGTGATGGCAGTCGGTTCACCTTTCGTCATGACCTCTCATCAAGGATAGTCCCAAGAGACCTCAAACCAGAAGTAGACAAACGCATGGTTGAAATTCCTATCGAGAACAGTCAGAACAGATCTCTTCCTGAGCCAAAGAAAGGCGGTGCAAGGAAAAAGGCATCGAAGAAGAAGTTTCACATGCCTGACGGTGTGGAGACTGGCTTCATGAAGGCATCATTCTTCGGCCAACCGAAAGCTGCTGTCACTAAGCCGAAGCCCCGAGATCCTGTCGAGACGGATTTCCTTGAAGATGTTCCGTATCTTGGATCAGTACTTTTAAACGAAGCACAGAACGCCGAGCTCGATAGGATGTACCGAGACCTACCATTGGGCAATACAGCACAGGAAGAGATTACAATGCCTGTCTTGACAGCTCATCCCAGATACCAGAGAGCGTTGCATCCGACGTTCAGAGTCAAACATGGGAGTTATACAAAGCGGTGCGTCCGACTTTTCAAGAAACTTGCCAGGACCCAGGAGAATATGGACCAATACGCCCGCCCATATGGAAACAAAGACTCCAGCAGGTATAAGGAACTGCCAGTGCCGCCGTTCGCAGAAGATTCAGGTGACGAAGACGAGGGCATTCAAGAGTCCACGATGCCCTCACGTAAGAGAGCTCGTGAATCATCGTTCTCCGAGACCGAAGCTAGCTCTTTACCAAAGAGGCGCAAGTCAGCACTGAAGGCGAAGGCGCCACAGCGGAGAAAGTCCAATAACAACCCATTCCTAGACGACTTGGACGAGGATGACGAAGATGAAGACGAGGAAGATGAGGATACGCTTGATGTAGAAGAATATCCAGCGGCACCTCGTCGGGGCAGAGGTAGACCAAAAGCGGCCGGTGGCAGAAAAAGGAAACCTGCCAAGAGGAAGAATAATGGCAATTTAGAGGAGATTGGAGATGATTGCACGAGAACGAGCCAATTGTACGAGAGCGACGGTTCTGATAGCGGCGCTGACCTGCTAGACTTCATTGTGGACGATGATGCTGTGATATCGAGTGTCAGGGGTGTGTCTACTTCGCCCACAACTGCATCTCCACCAGCTTCGAGAAAGTCTCCTCAACTCGCCAAGGCGAAGCCATTCTATGTTCCTATACATCTTACCCAAGACAGCGATGATGACCTACCCTCGATGAGTCAGCTAGGTGGTAATCAGTCGAAACAGAACAAAGGATCTCGTCGTTCGTTGACAGAGTCGGATAGCGAGGCGGAAGATATTGTTCGAAAGCCGGCCGCGAGGAAAAAGAAGCGGCCGGTCATCCAGGATACTGATAGTGAATCTGATTAGCAGATCATGAGCAGGGAGTGTCCTAAACACAATCATGAACTTGCAAAACTTGTACAAGCTAGTCAAGTCGCCCTGAAAACAATTACTACGATAATGCTAGTGATGATATGTTCTGGCATGCTTTCCCTGTTCAAAGTCCTACGTTTCCCTCACATGCCAGTTCAGATGAAATTCTTATAGCCAACTGTGTGGAATGTTGCTAATTCTTCTCGCTGATCCGCTCACTTTAACATATCACAAAGTCGTCATCACATGCCTCGATATTCATTGTGGTTTCGAGAACCTTGCAACTAAAAACTTGCATGTAGTTGAAGATGGGCTGTTAGTAAGAACAAGCCTCTGGAGCTCAGTAACAACCCATCCTAGTCTGTGAATTCATGTCTGTTTTACTGTATCTTTAGTCCATCCACTCCGGTAAAGTGTGTTGGAGGGGTACGATTACAGTAAGGGAAGGAGGGGCACACAAGCTTCTTGGTGGGGCCAATGAGGGGTTCTAGGGAGCCACATGCCGTTGGTGGGACACAACAAGCTCCTCGTCCAACAAACGCCCCTTGACCGAAAGGACCACTTCTGAATTCTTCCCCCAAATCAATCCCTGACCGCTGCTTGCCTTGAGCATACATCTTCACTTCGCTCACACTCAATTGACATCTGGCGACGAGCGTAGGCCTCAGAAAGCATCCTCCAACATGTCTCTCGCCTATCCTCCTCTGGAGGATCGTCCTCTCAAGGACACCATCTGCCTCTTCGATGTGGACAACACTCTGACGCCTGCCAGAAGGGTGAGTTGAAAGAAGCCATTCCTTTGGTTCCCTGATAACCAGTCGTCTTGATTTGCCTTTGAATTTCTTCTCTGTTTAGCCTTCGGGGAATTCTATTCTACACACTAAGAAGCACACCTCAAGTGCCAGGCATCATGATCTAACAATGCTTTCTAGCCCGTCAGCCCGGAGATGCTCAACCTCCTAGCCCGCCTCCGCCAGAAGTGTACTATCGGCTACGTCGGCGGCAGCGACCTGAGCAAGCAGCAGGAGCAGCTCGGCACCGCCGACGTGCCAGTCCAGAGCCTGTTCGACTACTGCTTCCCGGAGAACGGCCTAACGGCTTTCAAGAACGGCGCCCAGCTGCCCAGCAACAGCTTCATCAAGTGGATCGGCGAGGAGCAGTACAAGGAGCTCGTCCGCTTCATCCTGCACTACATTGCCGACCTCGACATCCCCATCAAGCGCGGCACCTTCATCGAGTTCCGCAACGGCATGATCAACGTGTCGCCCATTGGCCGTAACGCCAGCATCGAGGAGCGCGATGAGTACCAGAAGTATGACCTGGAGCACAAGATCCGGGAGACGTTCGTCGAGAAGCTGCGGGAGCGCTTCTCCCACCTTGCTCTGACGTGAGTGCCCCATCGTCCAAGCTATTATAGACCTCAAGGGCCCGACCATTATACTAAAATACCATTTTCCCCACAGATACTCGATCGGCGGCCAGATCTCCTTCGACGTCTTCCCGACCGGCTGGGACAAGACCTACTGCCTGTCGCACCTCGAGAACGAGGCCAAGAAGCCCAACGGCATCACCTACACCACGATCCACTTCTTCGGCGACAAGACCGAAAAGGGCGGCAACGACTACGAGATCTACAGCGACTCCCGCACCATCGGCCACTCGGTGCGCGACCCGGCCGACACGCTCGAGCAGGTGAAGAAGCTCTTCGACCTGGAATAGTGGTCCGACCCCGAAGACGACGACGACGACGACGGCGGTGCCCGGAGCGGCGCGCACACCTCGGGCGAGGACGCGGACGTGGAGGAGCTTGCTGAGAAAGATGGTGACAACGAGGATGGTGTGGATGGAGGCGTTGGTTTTAGCTCGGAAGAAGAAAATGCTCCTGCCGCTGCTGCTGCTGGTGACGATGATGGACTTGATAACGACATACATCTCCTCCCTCCCCCTCTACCGGCAGGAGCTGGCATCAAGTCAGAGCGAGTCTCTCCTGTTGACACACCCACTACAATTAACGATCCCTATTATTTTGTCATCGGCAAGCAGGCACCGGCAGCATAGGTAGACAGGCATGCCGGTATCAAAAAGGCGGTCTCTGGTCGCTTCATGGTAGCGTAATTACAGTCAATACAAATAAGACAAAGACACAACACAAAATGAGGTGACCGAATTAATCCAGTGCATTTTCTTATATAATATGATAATAAGGGACAAACAAGACTACGGTATTCCAAAATTCCTCATTAACTCCATTACAAACAGGCTAGACTCGCACGCTTCAATGACCATTTCATACAATTGAGCTCAATCGTGGCGTTGAAACAGATCTACTTCCAGGGGGGGTAATAAACAAAAAAGGTGTGCTAGCTGGCAGGATAAACAGAAAAATCAAAATATAAGGCCATCTCATGTCCTGTGATCATTCATAAACGGGGCCGCGCTGCCTCGTTCGTCATGTATAAGATATATCCCATCAACATCCGTCCAGTCCACATACTCCCGCATCACCATCTATGTACTCTCTCTCTTTCTCGCCCCAGCTCAATGGCCCGGCTCCAAGTGCGGCACGATCACGGGGCCATACTTGGTCGGCGCCTGGAAGCCGCCGTCGCCCTGGACGACGAAGTCGACGGCGAGGCTCAGCTTGCTGAGGCCCTGCTGGCCGTTGGCGACGCTGGCGGCGTAGTTGGTGCCGGCGATGACCTCCGGGTCGTACGCGACGACGGCGACGTAGTTGCGGCGGCCGATGAGCTTCTTGAGCTCGCGGGGGCTGCCGGACGCGTCCGTGTGGAAGATCTCCATCATGTCCTCCTTGGTGTCCGACACCTCGTTGGTGCTCTTCTGCCCGTTGCCCGGCACGTACAGCAGCCGGTTGTTGTGCAGCAGCTTCAGCAGGTAGTTGCCCGCGGGCGACGCCACGATCGGCGACGTGATCACCTGGTACATGGTCTTGTGGTCGCTTGGGTGTGATGGGTCGTGCACGAGGCCGGCGCCGGCGCAATTGACATCTGAAAAAAAGGGGTATTAGTACTTGAGTAACCGGCCGGGAAAGGTGTCCTAAACTTACCACCTGATAGGAAGGTCATTCTGATGCCCTTCTGGTGGGCAATGCCTTGCAGCGTCCTAATCAAATACGTCCTCTCAAGATCCTTCGAGTCGTGCGTCCACAGGTCCTTGAGCTCTTCTGCAAGGTCAAACTCGCCGAACTGGTTGAGCACATTGCCCATCAGCCCAGATTTGCCAACGGCCTTCTTCACTTGGTTGAAGCCCTGCTGCACAACCTCCTTGCCGCCAATGATACCAGCAACCGAGCTGGTAGCCTTGCCGAGGAGGTTGTAAGTGGTGTTGACTGCCTTCTTGCCGGTGTTGAAGGTGTTTGCCAACGTCTCGACAGTATCCAACCGAGGGTAGACTACAGGAACCGAGAGCATCCATATGCAGTGCTGGACACTTGGCGGCAGAACTGCGACCTTAGGGAAGATGCCCTGATACGTTGGGCCGGCCAGCACGCGGCTTTGTGTCCGCTCTGATCGGCAGTCTGGGCCTACCACCACGACAGCTGGGCCGAGATACTTGACGAAATGCCAGCCGGTGCCAGTGATGGTGAAAAGATCAAGGTCAGTATTCACATTGCGGAGTATCTCAACAGTTGTGTGGTGTTGGAAGAGCAGGTACATCTCGATGGCGATGCGACCGATGTTCTTGAATATGGCCGATTGCTGCATGTACTCGGGATATGAACCGAACCCATCGAATCTGAATACGAGTTAGTTGATCTGAGTTGGTACACCATTACAAGTTGACTTACATATCGTGATCATCGATCTGAAGCACATGAGGAATCTGAGCAAACGCCTCACGAAGGAACGGCTGGTCGAAATGACTGGTGTAATAGTGGAAGTAGGCATGAGAGACGTCTTCCTCATGCCGAGCAGTCCACGGCGCAGTCTTCCGGTTCTCTCTGCCCGGCATGGCGAGCCACTGCTTCAGCAGAGGGACTTCGCGCCACAGGCGATCGCCGTAGATCTGGTCGCCAAGACCAAGCTGCACGTGGAAACCGCCGCACTCGACGTTCTTCTGGAGCACGTCCTTCCACATCAGACCCGGACCACCGAGCTTCGCCCGCTCGTTCTGGGATGTGGAGGCGGCAAAGTCGTTGCCTGAGTGGGCGATGAACCTCCAGCCAAGCTCGTGTCTCCCAGCTACCACAAATTCGTATCGCGTGCAGCCAAGATGAGATGTGACGGCGTAAGTCCACCTCTCGGATGCGCCTTCACCCATTTGAAGATCCATATCGTACTTATAGAACGTCCACCTTTGGTGGGTATAGATGGCATTGGGTACTAGCTGCCGTGGATTCGGCGACAGGTCCATGCTAAGGTGAATGTGAATAGTAGGAGGCTGAGGAGCATCAGTGACAATCATGATGCTTCCCAACCAGATGCCCCTCTCGACATCCATGTTGACATATCGAAGATAAGGCCCGAAGTACACGCCGTTAGTAGGCGTGATCTTATACATGTCCACACCAGCACTAGGCGGTGGTCCACTGAACCCGGCTGCTGAAGGTGTGGCAGAGGCGGCGACACTCATGATACTCTCGGCATATCCACCAGGAGTTTGCGGTGGATATAGGCCAGGGGAAGTCATGGGCTGTTTCCCGAAGGGAGAAAGCATGGGGTTGCCATAAGTCGAGGCAGTTGGGGACAAAGGTGCTGTCTCGTGATGCATGGGATTAGGACCCTTGGGGAACTCCCATTGAGTTGCCTGTGTGGCAAGGTGGATGTAATAGTACTGGCCCGAATTTTGATCTAGGTGGGCAATCCAGCCCTCGGGTAGCGGAGGAGGTGATGTCGGCTGCCCCTGGAGTACTGAGGGTGTATGCTGTAGCACGGGCTTGCCGTTATGCACGCTCTCTGGCCTTGGATCGTTCGCGAACGCCGGGTGACTGGCCAGCGAGACCGCAGGGGAAGCAAGCCCCGCCGCCGCTGCAGCCGGAGAGCTCTGCTGCTTGCCCGAGTTCTGGTTCGCGACTGGGACTGGTGCAGCGGACGGCTGGCTTGGAGCTGGAGTGGAGCTTGCGCTGCTCTGAGCAGCCGCCGGCCGTTGTTTCTCATTGGGATATGATGAGTTGTTATTAGTTGTCACACTACTATAGGCCGGCGGCGGAGTCGAAGCTTGCATGCGCTGGAAGTCTTGCTCCAGTATACTCACTTGCAAGCTGGGCTGGTTCGAGTTGGCAGGCTGGGAGGGCGGCGCATTGAAACTGGCCTGCGTCGGGCTAGTCACCGGGTTTGCGCCTTGATACACGGTGGGAGGGCCGTGTGGCTGCTGGCCCGGAGCCTCCGTCGGCGTCCACGGCCGGGGAGGCTGTGACTGCGGAGGCTGGCCACCATACTGGGCAAGCCGGTGTGTGGCGGCGGCGCTTTGCAGCCCGTTGAGGGTCGCGGTGCCGGAGATGCCGGCAGCGGCATATCGGGCTTCGATACCGCCACCGGGGATGGTGCCGGGCTCGACAATAGGGGTCTCGGGCGGAGGGGGCGATCCTCTGCTAGCCCGGGTAGTGGAGGTGGACGCTGTAGAAGCAAACCGGTTGACGCCACTTTCCACTGGCATCTTGAGAGTATCTTGTTCGCGCCGAGCATTACTGCCCGAGGTCGAACCGGAGGCGCCTCCTGGGGGCGGATAGTATGGCTTGTTCTGGTACGCCGTAGAGATCTTTGGCTGCGGGTTTGCGATAGGCTTCGCAAACAAGCCCTCCTTTTCCCCCTCGGGGCTGGTAGGGCTGGTGATAGGCCTTGGGGCCGTCCCGCGTCTCTCTGCGAGGCCGGGACCCTTGTTATCGGTAGGACTTAGGGTCAGCCGAGGTGAAGTGTCATTGTACGGCGCCGGTGACGAGCTGGTGGGGGTTCCGTAGACCTTGCTCGAGGTCGACGACTTGCGGCTGTCCTCTCCGTATGTTGGCCTCGCTGGCTTGGGTGCGATGCGATGATCTTCGTCGTCGGGATATGGTAAGGGGTTTGCAGAGCTGGAGGCTCCCGGCGGCAGGGGGAAGGTCGGGTGTTTGGACGAGGAGGAGGCCGCAGAGGAGGGCGGCATAGGGTAGTTGAAGCGATCGGTCGGCTTGCCTGCGGCCGGCTTGGGGCTCTGGGGTTTGAATATCCTCAGGGGTTCGATGGTCGGGCTGTCGTCTCCCTCGGCAGGTCTGCTCATGAAGAGCTCCTCGTCTGACACGCCTCGCGAGCGGTCCGCCATGGTTGTTGGTGCTTGCGCAGGTACAACGACTGATTTGAGCTGGCCTGAACTGTCTTGACTGCCGTATCCGGGCGGGCGCGCAGGATGACGCACAGCTCAGTGCAGTGCAGAGCAGTGCTATTTTTGGAGCCTTTGAGCTCTTGAGGGTCTTGCAGTGACGACTTGTCACTCGAGGAGGAGGTGGTGGGGTTCTTTGAGGTTCTGGCTAAGGTCGCATATCAGGCCGGCCTCGACGGGTCGGGATGAAGAGTCGAGTAAAGTTGTCAGCAGCAACGAACAAAGGCTCGCAACGCACAAAGAACAGAAGGCTGTCTCTGGAGAGAATCAACGACAACCAAGATGAAACACACACGAGAACGAATTGTCAAATACTGAGCCGGAAGATCCACGACTGGCAGAGCAGGACAGGACAGGACTGGATAGAACGCTGGATATGCGGCCAGAGGCGCAGGCCACGACTACACACCAGGCAGGGGAGTCAGCGCGGCAACAGAACCAGCACCACCAACAGTACAGTACCAATACGTGCAACAGCTTTTGGGCGGCGGCACTTGGGTAACGAGCAGAGCAGAGCAGAGCAGCAGCAGCAGCAAGCAGCAAGCAGCAAAGAAGCATCCTTGCCCTCCTCCCCTCCCACTTCCCCCTCTCAGGCTTGGCTCTCAGCGTGGCGGCATCGCGGGGCAGCTCTGTGATTCGCTGGCGGGCTGCGGGCGCTTAAAGATTGGTGTTGCAGCAAATGGCAACGGACGGGACGGGCTGGGCTAACGAAGCGCCGACGTAACAGTGCCCGTCCGTCAGGCCAAGTCAGTGTGTCTCACTGGGCTGGGGGGCTGGCTCCCCGGGGGTTCTATGGATCCATTGGGCCCCTCCCACGCAGACCTGATTTGGCTGATATGGGGCCTTTATTAAACCTGCTGCTCCTCTCCCCCGTACGAGCTTGCCAGATAGCCCAAACTCTTATTGCCATCTATGGCCGCATAGAGAACGAGAGCAGGCATTTAACCGCCCTCGTCGAGCCCGTCCTCTTGCGCAGGTATCCATCAGGGCGGCTCGGGGGGCTCGTCGCTTGCAGTCCCAGCAGTTGTTAGCATCCGTGCCGATGGTTGTCCAGCTATTTTTAGAGTCTCTTTCGAAAGTGTTCGACAAAACACAGGTCGAGGCTCTTCACAATGATTTGGTGTAACCTGGGTTGTCCAAAGTTCTGCTCCGTATGTTGAGCCGCGCTGCATACCCGACGACCGACAGGATCTCACCGGTCGGACCATGCTATATTGCGGTGAACGTTAAATGCCAGGCCAGGCATGAGTTTGGTCGTCCACACGTAATGGGACTGTGCGAGCGACGTCCACAGATCAATGGCCTGATGTTCTCGAAGCTCTCTTGTTTGCATATCAAGATGACATGGAGGTTTGCCAAGCCAAGGAGATCAAACAAACACACACCTATGCCATAGCGTGCTAAAGTTGGTGGCCCCAGCCAGATCCGTTAAGAGCTGCTCGTGAAACATTGTGTAGTCACTCTATTTCTCTGCAGGAATTGGCTCTTCAAGGCTCGGTTGCCTTGAGGATGCTTTCTTTTTCTTGACAATGGGGGGAGAGAGAATAATTACCATAGCAATCGAGCTGTGCTTTGATGGCTGATGCTGAGATCGTGCCAATTCGCCTTTTACTGTACTGTGTCACAGACCTCACAAGAGAAGACTACTACACTAATCTTCTCGCTTTACGTCTTCTGCCCATGTGCCAGAGGTCAAGTCGAAATGCGGCTCTCCCTAGAAGTCGTACCTGGCTCGCTGGCCCCCATGGATATCGGCCGAAAAGACGGCCCCACCACCAAGCGGCCCTCTCGGGTAGCGGCCGGCGCCCTCAACGGCGTACCCAGGTAGGTACCTAGTTGACCCTGGAATTCATGCCACTTACGCACATGGCTGGCCTTGTTCGATATCGAATCCGCCGCCGCATTGCGGGATTGGCTTGAATGGCAAGAATGGTAGAAGACGCTTCAAACCCTCCTGAAAAGGGTCGAATCGGGTGACGGTGCACACCGAAGCAAATAGGTGACCTCGGCCAGTTCAGCCTGCCGGGCATGAGCTAGCGGCGGCATGAACTGAGAGCCGGAGGTGGCCGTGAGCCGATGTTTTTCATGCTTGCAGCAGCAGCCAGCGCAAAACTTTTCGACGTTAGACTAGTGCTCTGATGCTCTGGGACGGGACAGACAGGCATTGCACACAAGTCCTCAAAGGCTAGAACGGAAATGCCGTCGCAGAATTGCAAGAGACCCATCGCCAATATCAGAAAATTTCTTTCGTCTCCCTGGTCAATTGTGCATTCATCCTCGGCACTACCGCCGCACTGCAACACACTCGCTGCCTCAGCCAGTCGGAAGGGAGTGATGTGCACGATCCACTGGCCAGAGCTCCCCTGGCAGCGCTGTGGTTGGCGGGCGCCAGTGGTAGCCTCGCAGGTCTGTAGCGGGGTAAGACAGAGATTTTGAGCGGCAGCTCGCTGGAGTTGATGGTCATGAGGTCGCCAAGTCGCCGCAGATTTTGTCGCTTGCATCACCATCCATGTTCACCCTCAGCCCACCACCCACTAGACTACCTGGCTCGCCTGGGCATCAGAAGGAGAGCAGGCCAGGCGATGATCGGAGCTTTGCAGCTACCTCACATCTGGCTGCATCTCGATCTCCCCGTATATCCTACAGTAGGCACACTACTCCAGCAAAGATGTAAGACGACATCCATGATCCTTCTTGGGCCACCCCCTCGTTCGGGCCGGTCACCCAGTGGCCTCACGTGTCGTGTTATTCGAGGCCGAGAGCGGGGGAGCAGCCAGTCAGTTCACAGTTACCTACTGTAGGTTGGTGGTTGGTGGCGGGATGCACGGTAAGTAAGTTGCCATTCTGTAGAGTACCGGTAGTAGGGGTTCAGTTCTAAGCTCGAGTCAATCAATCAATCAATCAATCAATCAATCAATGGAAGGTCATCAGCATACGTTAGATTGACAAGCAGACGATGACAGCATTCTTCCTTGCTCCAGAGTTCCTGTTACTAACCTACCTTTTTTCTCCTATCTATTCGTCTATCTACTCTACAGTAGGTACCTATATCTATATCTATATCTATCACTCATCGAATCTGCCATCTCCAATCTCTTATCTTGCATATCTCTGGCTGTGACGCAACAGGTCCCCAGCTGGAGCGCCTCATTCCGCCCCGAGGGTCCCCGCCCAGCTGCATCTTGAGTATCTTACTGCCCGGTTAGCTCTTCTTATCTCCACTAAAGCTACCTACTGCATACCTTAGGCAGTGCATGGTGCACAGGTGGTCTTAGAGCACCCGTTATCACCAGCCAGCCGCCATTGGCGAACCACATCGAAGCACACCCACCCCACCTATTCTGCCTGTCTACCTTTTCCCTCCCGTCTAGACTACTACCAGGTATCTGAAAAAGACTAGAGGCAAGGTGAGGCATCTGGGCGAGGCCCGCCATACCAACCCTTCTGCATGTTCTCAGTCTTGCTGCCGGGGGTTTGTGTCATCCGTATATAGCTGCTCTAGAGCTCTCTGTCCCGGTTTTGATAGGGGTCCTCTAGCCCATCTCTTCATCTACATCTGCCTCTGCCTCTGCCTCTACCTCTCCCACCCAAGTAAACCACCCCTCCCTCCCGCTCCGCATCGCGAGAGTCCTAGCCCTCAAGATGTCTCTCCCCCGTGTCTCGTCTCTCGAGTCCTTCTCCTTCGTGCCGAGTGAGAGACAGTCAAGACGAAACTCCGATGTGTCCGTACGTGCGAGGAAGCTCAGCTTCAACCCTATGCCCGAGGCGTGGGATCCTCCGCTGCTCAAGACAGACGCCATACAGGCGGTAGGAGCATTCGAGGTTCCGAAATGGAAGAGAATTCGTAGGTGCCCACCCGACCTAGAGAGACTACTCATTCCTGAATGGCGTAGTTATCTCACAATGGCTCCTCACTAACCCTCGCACAGTTCAGATAGCCGTGACGGTCGTGTACTGCCTCTTCGCGGCGGGAGTTGTCTTCGGCTATGCCGCCTTGAAGCCCGTACTCAAGAAAGAAGGTGCCTACCAGGACGTATGCCGCAAGGACAACCACGGCCGCGAGCAAATAGACACCTGCGTCGAGATACACCTCAATTTGATGTTCACCGTCGCGGCAGTCGGCACCAACGTGGCGGCCCTGCCGATAGGGGCGTTGCTCGACAACTACGGTCCGAGACTATGTGGTCTTATGGGCAGCTGCTTTTTGACAATTGGCGCGCTCTTGATGGCCTTTGAGAACAGGCTGCCATTCGACGGGCTCCTCTTCGGTTACCTCTTCCTGGCATTGGGCGGACCCTTTACATACATTTCGTCCTTCCAGCTATCCAATGCCTTCCCAAGGCATTCAGGCTTGATTCTCGCACTCCTAACCGGCGCTTTCGATGCCTCCAGCGCCCTGTTTCTCGTATACCGGATCATATTCGAGAAGACGGGTGGTCGTTTCGGGCACCACCGTTTCTTTCTTTTCTACCTCGTCGTGCCCGTGGTCATCGTGCTGTTGCAGCTGTTCCTGCTGCCAAAGCAGTCGTACAAGACGATCGGCGAGATGATCGAGGAGGTGGAGGAGCCGCTGGCAGAGCCGGAGCCCTACGACCAGGTGGACGAGCACACGGCCCTGCTGCAGGACGAGGCGCGCCAGCGCCGGGAATCGGTCATCGCCGACCTCGAGGAGCTGCTCGGCTCGGCCAAGGCGGATAAGCAGGCGAAGCGCGAGGAGAAGAAGAACGAGATCTCGGGCGTGTGGGGCGTCATGCACAACAACACGGCGCTGGAGCAAATCATGTCGCCTTGGTTTGTGCTGATCTGTCTCTTCACCGGTAAGTCTTGTTTCCAACCCCCAAGGTACACTTCAGAATTGCTCATGGAAAGCAGTGATACAAATGACACGCATCAACTACTTCGTTGCGACGATCCGGCCGCAGTACACCGCCATCTTCCACTCGTACGACAAGGCCGTCGAGATCAACAACTTCTTCGACATGGCGCTGCCCCTCGGCGGGATCATCTCGATCCCCTTCATCGGGCTGTTCCTCGACCACACGAGCACGACCAAGGTGCTGACGACGCTCGTGGCCGTCGCGACGACCATCGGCGCGCTGGGCGTCATCCCGCGGATGTGGGCCGCCTACGCCAACGTGTGCCTGTTCGTGCTGTACCGCCCCTTCTACTACACCTCCGTGTCCGACTACAGCGCCAAGGTGTTTGGCTTCCGCACCTTTGGCACCGTCTACGGCACCATCATCTGCCTGTCCGGCCTCTTCAACTTCTCCCAGTCCGGCCTCGACTTCCTCTTCCACCGCACCTTCCGCGGCAACCCCGTCCCCGTCAACCTCATCCTGCTGTCTGCAGGTCTCGCCGTCGGCATCGCTCTCGTCCTGTTCGTCGGCGTCAAGGCCCGCTCGATGAAGCGCCACATGCTGGAGCGCGAGGCCGAGACGGCGTTTGCGCGGGGCGAGTAGGACGAGTAGGACGGACGGACGGACGGACGGCCGAGGCAGTCGGTGTGTCGTCCAACTGAACCGCGGCCATGTATAGATGGACAGGTTCGATTAGATCTGCTGTCTGGCGATATGAGACAAATGTCCTGTGTTATCTATCTAACGACAGCTAAGATTGGGGTATTCGGAGAAATCGGGCGATGTTTTCCATCATCATCATCATCTAGCGGGCGGCTTTGGATCGTGTATTTGAGTTGAAAGCATCGGGATTGCCATCGAATAGACGGCAAATCGGCGTTGACAGGTGTTGGTTATCAGGTGGTCTTTTGGGGACTGGGCGGCAAAAGTGTCATTTATCTTGGAAGTAGTGGATCGTGGAAATTGAAAGACTAGAAAGACTAATCCCATGCCTTGGACATGGGGTCTAGAGAGAACGACGGCATCTTTACAACGGCGTACATTGTGACATGTCCGGCCTACTACTAGCAAGCTCACAAATTGCAGAAATCCTCCCGTGGATATTTCAGTGGAGGAAACATATTTCACGCCAGTGATTGTTGAACATCGGCTTTTAATATGCCATATTATTCTTATCTATCCAGGCAGTTGCTCAAAGGTATCCTACAAATATCATTTCCGTCCTAATACTCCATCGCAATACCAACCCCCTCCTCCCGTAGTTTCCTGAGGTTGTGGTTCTTCTCATCATTCTCCTCCTTGATTCTCGCCTCCACTTCATCGCGTATGCCGCCCAGATCAGGCGGTATTAGCTTCTGCTGCACACTGGGCGCGGCGTTGACGAAACGTAGCTGCTCGGTGCAGTGCTGGACGATCTCGTTCAGCCGCTTCTGCTGGTTCCTATTCGCACGCGGCTCTCCTAGAATCTGCTCCAGCGTAGGGAAAAGGGTGTCCTGTCTAAAGTGTTCGCGCCATGGCGCGTGTAGAGGAATTATCGGGTCAATCTTGCCCTGCGCATCGATGGCGATGCTAGTCTCATTGGTCCAAGCACGGGCGACATTTCTGGGCGTATATCCACCTCCACCGAAGAGTATCATCGGCAGGCCAAGCGACTTGCAGAACTCAACACAAGCACCGTGGCCCTGCACTTGCAGGTTGAATCGGCCAAGTCTGTCCCCAGCCAGACTGTCGGCGCCACACTGTAGGCAGATCGCGGACGGTCGGAAACGATTGTTGATTTCAGTGATGATCGATTTGAAGAGCCACGTATACTGCTCATCCGAAATGCCATCCTGGAGTGGCACGTTGAGTGCATGGTGGGCGCCGGGATTATGTTCGCTCTTAGGACCATTGTCATCCAGTCCACCCGTACCAGGGAAGAAGTTAGCTGGATCGTACTTGTGGAAGGAGACAGTCATGACGCGATCGGTGCTGAAGAATGCTTCTTCAACGCCATCACCGTGGTGCACATCAATGTCGATGTAGAGCACCCGCGGGTGACATCGTAGGAGTTGCAATATCGCAATGACGATATCATTGATATAGCAGAACCCGGATGCCTCAGCTTTCTTTGCGTGATGAAGGCCGCCGCCCCAGGCTATAGCGATGTCCGACTCCTTGGTGCAGATCTTCCGCGCAGCATCTAAGGAGCTTCCGGCAGACATGGAGCAGTAGTCGTAGAGCCCTTCGAACAGCGGACAGTCCGAGCCGCCGAGGTTGAACTTAAGCTCTGTCCCGGGATTCTCTATATCACGGGGAACTGGTTCGGGGAGAACGGTTCCAAGAAAGTCCAGGTAGTCGTTGGCGTGGAATGAGTTGAGCTCCTCATATGTGGCAGCTCTTGTGACGTAGTTGTCCATGGCAAAGTTCATGCCATAGGACATGATCAAGCTTTTTGAGAGGGTCAGCCTCCACGGCTTCATGGGATGCGTCTGGCCGAAATGATGCTTCTCCATCTCTGGATTTGCGTGGAAGGAGACATTGTATCCCTTGGGCCTGGTGATGTTGTACGACTGGGCTGCGCGCTTGCATTTGTTATAGTAAGTGGCATTTTCCAGATCGCTGGCATGCCCCAGCTGTATGTAGTCCTCGACTACGGGCTGGTCAGCGTCGACGTTGTGAGGCAGGTAATTTGGCTTCGGAGGACGCCATTTGTATGCGCTTTCATCCATCTTTGAGCGGCCGGGCCGGGGGAGGTCGTTCCTGCCCCGGGCGAAGCTTCTTGATACGGAGTGAGGGTGTGGGGCAGCACGCAGACGGCGGCGCAACCTGCAGACCGATCAAAGCTCTGCGTAGCGAGCCACTTGCGGCCAAGAAGGCCGTGCGACAGGTAAAGCGTTGTTCTATTGAGCAGTGTCTCTCCTATGATCCAGCAAAAGGAGCCGAAATGACAAGAGCGGTCGCGACAGGCCTATTCGTCAAATGTGATGTCGTTGGTTGAGATCGCGGTGGAGGAACTTCGGATGGGAGAGACAGACAAGACAGTACAGAACGCCCCCCTGGGGCGGCTTGAGCCATCTCGAAGTCTCGAAAAAGCGTGGCCAACCGCGACCAGCCCCTGCCAGTGGCGCTAGTCGGTATGCGGCTTAGGGGCGAGGGGCGCCTGCAGTCAAAGGTGGCGCTAGTGGTTCCATGTTCCTTGCCTTCCCAAAATTTTCAGAGTGGCAGAGTGGATTCTGGCTGCCCAGGTGTGGCTCGTAATTCGAGAGGCTGAAGTCTCTCTCTCCCACTTACCACACACATCATCCACATCCGTCCGTTCGTCTATCTGCCAGCTATCTGTCTCTGTCGTGGCCTTGCACAAGCTCGGTCGACAAGCGCACCACCTTAACGTACCACGCAGCTTAAACGAGAGAAAGAGAGACTCTGGCAGCTGGATCCGTGCCATCTGTCTATTTGGGGCCGGCTGGAGGCACCACTTGCTTGCTTGCCTGCCTTTAACAGGCTGGTTGAAGGTGCCACCTGCCGCTCCATCGTTGCCTTTTTTCCCTGATTCCCGCTCTTGGTCGCTGCTTCCCCACAAGCTCGCTTTCCCAAGGCCCGAATCCAGGATAATTCAATTTACACTACCTAACGTCTATCAGCCCAAGAACGTACCATCTATTCTAAGAGAGATCTCGCCCCGGGGGCTCAAGCAGGGGGGTACGTGCATCGCTACTACTATTACATACTGGAGTAGATGCACCTTGCTCCTTCGAGGCGGACCCTGACATAATTTTATTTACCGCATTCTGTCATATCTGGCAGCGTCGAGTTGAGGTGAGAGAGCCACTCGATTTTTTGATACCCCCCCCAGCCATCGTGACGAACTGTCTTGCCATACCGAGGCACATCCCTGCATATTGTCCCATCTGTCTGCATTACTGTATTGCGCTCAATTTCCCATTCTTCAACTCTCTCTTTGTTGCTTCACAGCCATCACGCCTTGCTTCGCGTCCTTGCCTTCCTCGTCCTGCACACCGCAAGTACTCCTGCCCGTCCTCGGAGGTATCACCACGAAGCGAGTTCTATCCGAGGAGGGGCATATCACACTGCATATCTCTCTGAGCGCGGGGTTCTTCCCCACAGCTCGAACCCTTCGTTGACACCATGCCTAGAGACGATCTATCCATCGACTTCGTGAAGAGGATGCCGCCGCAGGTCGAGGCACTCGATCCGGCCCTGATCCTGGATGATTGGATCAACAGGGTCCAGAACCTGCCCGAGGAGATTCGCTTCATCCAGGATGAGATTGCCGACAAGGACCGTCAGTACAACGACTGCATAAAGCTCATCGAGGAGCGCGATGCCCGCATACAGAAATGGATCAAAGCCAACGGGAGTCACGAGGGAAATCCTCGGGAGGAGGGTTATCGTCAGACTATCCGCGAGAACTTTGTCAAGGCAGATCAGCTTGCGGCCGACAAGATTACTCTCACCCAGAGGTTGCAGGTCATCATGGACAAGCATCTCCGGATATTAGATGCCCAAATCAAGATCCTGTACGACCGTAACGAGCCGGGCTTCACTGACCCAGATGAGGTTCCCTCACTTTTGCGACCAAGTGCCGCCAACCACTCTGCTCCGTCTATTCGATCGATCAACCCTGCCGCGAATCCCGTCACCGCTGCTCTAAGTCCCATCGTTAATTCCGCTTCACCAACCGCGGTTCGCCCCTCGAATCCCCAAGTTCGCAATGCCCAGGCGCAACAACACCCTTCCGCCTCGGCACCAGCCACGCCGGCAGCCAGTATGATATTAAATAGACAAGCTCGTGAGAGCTCGGCCGGACCGGGCAGCGGAGTCCCTAAGAAGGGCCCTCGCGTCAACAGTGGACTCGGCAATGCCCCCGCGACCTCAAGTGGCCTGGCGCGTCACTCGTCTCTGGGGCCGGGCACACCGAAACACGTTACCGCGACAGGAGTACCAAGAGCTGGAAGTGCAGGACCGCGCGCCACGACTAAGGGGGCAGTCACCGCGCCTGGACGTAAAGCCGGCACTCCGTCATCTATGATACGAAAGAAGGGGACACCGGCAGCCACCACTGCGAATAAGTCTGGACTGTCGCGTGTGAAGCGGGCGGCGAAGAACTCGCCGTCCTCAAACGCCGACAGCGAGCTGTCCGATGCCGAGAGCGGCAGCGGCGACGAATCAGATGCCCGGACAGGCGGCCGAGGGACTCCCGCGGCGCGAGGCAGCTCGCAGAACGAGAAGGAGGCCAATGGCGGTAACGGCGGCGGCGGCGGCGGCGGCGCGGAGCACCACACCCACAAGCGCGCGCAGACGAAGCGCGAGCACATGGACGACGATGAGGACGGCATGGACCTGGACGATGACGATGCGGGTGACGATAAGAAGTACTGCCTCTGCCAGAACGTCAGCTTCGGGGACATGGTCGCGTGCGACAACGACGACTGCCCGTACGAGTGGTTCCACTGGTCGTGCGTGGGGCTCAAGAGCGAGCCGAACGGGACGTGGTTCTGTCCCGTGTGTACGGAGAATGCGAAGAAGAAGAAGTGAAAGGTTGCGTCAAGTTGTTTCAATTTTCTTAAAAACGACTGTGATGGCCAGGCAGATTGCTGGATAGGAGACAAGCAAGTCTTAGAATAGCTGTTACAGTACAAGATACCCCAGGGCAATATAAATCATGATTCATTTCAAAGATTAGGATAGTTAGATCGATTCATACGCGGAGACGTAGCATAAGCGCCGTGCAGCCAAGCCGTGTTGCTCGCGAGCCTTGAAAGGTGCCGGCTGGCGATCATCAAGTGTACAGCAATTATGATGCATTGTGATGGAGGAATAAAACAGCACAGCTGAATAATTCCCTCAGTCTCTACCTCAGTGATTACTCACATCTACTAGGGCTCAAAATACGAGTCGGCATAGCATTATAGCAGCATGATTCACGAATTGAAATGCGGTTATAGGATCGAAGTTTCATTATTTCCCTGTCCATCGTAATGATAGAAGACTACGTACAGAACACACCAGCCTTCCGAGCCCTCGGCTCATCCAGCCAGCTGTCGCCCTCTGTCATCGTACTCATCATGTCTAAGTAGATTCCAACAATAAAAAATAAGTTGCCATGAGAATGTCTTCTCAAGACCCAACCAGCAACAGACAACAGCATTCGCAAGGGCTGTCGTTTCCGCCCAAGCCAAAAAGACAGAAAAGCCATAGTTGCACCGATACATGCTTTTTCTCTCCCTTAATGCTCCAGCAGTCTCAAGCTGCCCTGGACGACGACGTTCTCGAGGATGGAACCAGGTGGGATGTCGATGGTGCTGCCCTCGGTAGCGACGATGATGACGGTGCCCTTGAGGGTAACGCCGCGGCCGAGGTTGACGGCACCGGTGATGGTCAGGTGGTCGAGCTCGATGATCTTGGGGATGGAGGGGATATGCTTCTGGAAGTCCGAGACCTTCTTGAAGTCACCGCCGAGCTTGATGAGCGGCGCGTCGCCGAAGCGGGCAGCGCTCATCTGCAACTGACCGTGCTTGACTGTGTAGAGATCCGACTTGACAAGCATCAGATCAGAGCATGTCTTGACAGGCAAGAAGCGGCGGCGGGGCACGTTGACACCGTGCGCGTTCTGGAAGTGGCGGATGGCGGCACCGACGGCGGTCTCGAGCTGGATGATGCTGATATCTGACTCGCCCTTCTTGTCACCCGGGATGGTCTTGCCGTTGGGGATGATCTCCATCTCCAGCTCGTCGTTCTCAACCACCCGCTTGATGGCCTGGACGTTCATCCAGATGTTGTTGGTGTTGAAGTACTTAAACTTCTTAATCGACTTGAACTCATTGACGTGCTCCTTGGGCACCTGAGCAATCTCGAGCAGGCGGACGGAACCCTCGTAGTCGATAATAGTGCCACCCTTGACATCAGCCTTGGTCTTGTTGGTCAACTCCATGATGTATTCCGCCTTGCTCTCAACCATGTGCTGCAGGATGCGGAGGTCCACAACAGCACCGAGGTTGTCGACGTTGGACAGGAAAATGATCTCAATGCCACGCTTAATAAGCTCGTCCAAGATGCCAGAGTTGTACAAAGACTCGAAAACATCACCGTGACCGGGTGGGTACCACTCGTTGATCGCGGAATCGAAGGACTTGGGCACAGGCAGGAGAGAGTCCTTGTAGATTCTGGGGTATCTTGACTGGTTGAAGGTGAGGATATCGACATTGTGGCCCTCGTACTTCTTGATAATAGCCGCGGTGTCCTCATTGGTGTTGAACGAGTTCATCAGGATGAAGGGCACGTTGGTGTTGTAGGTGCGGTTCAGGTACTCGACCTGCCTAACGGAGAGATCCAGGAAGGACATGCCGTCACGAACCTCAATGACGGACTTGGGGCCAACGCAGCCCATGGAAGTACCCAGACCACCGTTGAGCTTCAGGACAGCCAGCTTGTTCAGGAAGCCGACGGACTCGCTGTTAGCCAACTCCTCATAGTCTACAACCTGGCCCTGAGCTGGAGGCGCAATGCGGTCCCAGTCGCTAGAATGCCGAAATCATTAGCAGTTCGTTCCCGAGAAAGCATTTGGAGGGCTACCAACACAGCATTTCCCTTGGCCTTGTCATTCAGGTATCGTCGGAAGAGCGAGAAGAAGTTGTCCATCTCGGTCTCGAAAAGCTGAGAAATGTGTTAGCCCGATCGAGGTACTGTGCGCCGATTGCGCCGGGTCATTGGTTGCTAACCTTCTTCTCCTCTGGGTTCTTCACGGTCTCGGACAAGCTAGTCAAGGCATTTCGCATCTGTGCAGCGGCAATGTTTGTCGAGGTGTTCTCGAAAGCCTAGAAAAGATAGCGTCAGCATATGGTGCCTCGGTGAATATAGTGAGAATAATGTCAACCAGGCAGTGGGCGTCGAGATGGAGATCAGAACCAATCCTTGGTTGCTGGAGGACTGCCATTTTGATGTGGCTGCGTTGCATTGATACAGCAGTAGTTGTTGTTGTTCGAGGAGAGGAGGCAACGACATCACTGGCTTTCTGCTTTAAATAGGTCGGGCTTGCCAAGTGAAGCTTTCAGATTCACTGTGACGACTGCCTTAGGCCCAGGGATGTGGCCAAGAGAAGTTGCACCTCCTTTCGGGTAGGTGCGGTCTCTACCTCATAAAGTGCAGTGACAATCCTCTGCCAGTGGCCATCCCGAACAACAACGCTTACCCAAAGCAAATTGAGGCCCCCAGGAAATGGCAAAGAGGAGGAAGGAGTGAATCGCTCGACCCCTCATATAGGGTCACACAAAGCATTGAAGCTGCCATTGGGAGTTCCCGGCGCCCTTTGGCAGGCACTCGTGATGCTTTGAGCAAACCACCCACAGGAGCGACGAGCAATTCCCTTTCTGACCATTTGGGCTCATGCTGATCTCTCATTGACGATGCCGCCAATGTGGGATTGATGTGCTTCGAGTAGACAGGCACACGGGGGAGAGGGCACGGCCCGCGAGCCTGCAAGAGAACTCACCATATGGGACCTGGTCTTGCCATGGTGCTTGCTGGCAAATTCCTTGTCGGTGTCACCGCCGTTGGGCTTGAGGTGCGAGGGTATCGCGCTCTTGATCGCAGAAGCCATGTTGTCTTTGCAAAGCGAGAATATCGGTTTTCGGTGACGTTTTTGCTAGATGGACAGAAACGAGGGGAAAAGCAAGCAGTGCTCTTGTTGTCTTTCTCGAGGAACAGCAATATTCTGCGAGGAGGATTTGGTGATGGTTATGGCGGGGGAAAAGCTCCAGCTCAGTTCTGATTCACGAGACGATTAGCCGATTGACGTAATGGGGGGGAAAACTGGTGGGAGGGCGGTCTGGATCTGCCCAGCACCATTGCCAGCCTCTGGGCACACCTGCACCAGCGCTCTCCTCCTCCTCGTGCAATCACAGTCGCACAAGCATGTGGGAAGTGGAGCCTCAAGCAGGATCATCAGAGAGGCACTTACACGATACGACTTAACGTTGAGCCGACTTCTTTCTTAGCAGCAGCGCTACCGAGTAGTCGTAGTACGTATGCCCCAAGCTTACAGTAGGTATGGACTGACACTAGATACCTAGACAGCAGCCCAGGAGAGAGCAACTGGACAGCAAGACCAGACAGGCAGAGGGAAAGAGAAGGAAGGACACAAAAAGAGCTCAAGAATGTCTCGGTTTGGTGGTGGGGTTCCCCGAGCTTCTTAAAGCTCCTCCTCACACCCCAGCAACCCATACCTATCAGACTCCATCTCAATTCTATTCATAACATCGCCGCCTCCACCCGGGGGCTTGCTGGTGAGGAAATTTGTTATTGCCCCAAGTAGCCCGGTACAGTACCTGACAAGCCCGCTGCATACGATAATGCCAACGCCCAGCACTAAGCTCACTACAACCTTAGGCCAAGATCGCTGCAGTGGGTGTGGCGTTGTGCAGCCAGGGATACTTCAGGATGGTGGCACATTCAGCCCACACCAGAATTCACAACCGCATCCTGCTAGTGGATCGCATATTGCATAGTACACTGCAAGATGTCCCCTTCCGGAGCTTTCAGACCACCATCCATCCCACCACCAATCGCCGCCCGCCGGCATGCTCTGCTTTGCCTTACAGCAAGTTGACTTTGTATCTCAGGATCTGCCTCTCTCGCCTCGTTTATTGCCTCCTTAAGGCGCCAGAGAAGCAATGGCGATCTCATGAAATGGCGAGACTTTCAGCGGCAGTCGGAACGCAAGCCCGTCCATCTTGCTTCGGCCATCTAGGTCTTGGAAGACCTACTGCCGTCTCCGGCGTGATGGAACGCACATTCCGGCCCTGGACGATAACTTTACGGTCCACCCATGATATTTGGTCTTGTTGAGCGGTTTCGTTCATATTGTCCCGAACGAACTGCATTAGCATTCTACCGACATGCTCCCGCCTTCAAACGACGCAACCTGTTTTCGCGCGCTTGACGAACTTTTCTCTGGAATTCATCGTTGCGCGAAAGCATCCTCGCATCTCTAGTTGGTAAGCATCGTACACCTTAGTTGTTGCAGAGCCTGCAAATATGTCCAAGCCATGGAGCGCTGTTATTGAACAGATCGCATCGAGCCCATCAGCATTAAGGTTCGAGATGACATAAGGCCGGCGCTGCCTCCGCCCTGAGGGCCTCAGCCGCGCTTATTAGGAGGTCTGGGGATATTTTATGCGTTCAGAACCTACCATTGCCTAGTAGGATGACTTGAGAAGATACATCGTGCCTTAACTATTGTTAAATGATGACGATCGATTCGACATCCTGACAACGAATAGGGAACACCCCTCCGTTGCTACGGAGTCTTCAGGGATGCGCTGAGGTTAACCTTCAGCCCATTGCAGAACCGGTGCAGCCCAGCGGGAGCTAAGTGCAGCTCTGATATCACCTCAGATCCACCCAGCCCACTTGAAGAGGAAATTTGCCTGCGGCACTTTGCTCGCTGCAGCAGCCAGGCGCAATAAAAGAAAGCCCAGTTTTTCCCTTGATATCGACCAGATAGCACAATCAATATCTCGTCTTTGGAAATGAGCATCCTCTCCTAATAGATCCACTCAAGGGCGCCAGCCACGCGGCAGGCTGGCCGGGACTTTGACCACCAAACGTAGTCCACCAAACTAACTATTGGGACGCTCTGGTCCAAAACGGGGGACTGCTAATTTGGAAAAGCCAGCCCGAGGTCAGCCAGAAGGAAGGTGGAACCCGGCAGCCTTTTTCTGTTGAAGATTATTGATTGTTATCACAAGAGTTGTGATGGGCTAGACTACAAGTGGCGGCTTCTTCACAGGTTGGGGCTGAATAGATAGGCGATAGTTTTCAGCGGTCTGGGCAACGCCCATGCAGCAGCCCAGCGTCTGGTTGCCGTGTCATTGCCTATGGTGTTCGAAAAGTTTCCGTCGAGGTTCCGATAGCTTCGGCGAGGCTTCCGTCCCGTCCCTGGAGGTGCATGCATGGTCACATTAACGGTGAGATAACAGAAGGGGTCGGTTCCTGAGAGACAGAAAATGCAACGGCAATAACACCTACCGAATAAGCCTCCTGTCTCGCTCCACGTGGGGGGCAGTTTAGTTCCGGATGGCGCAGAATTATGCTGGGCCACACAACGGCCAGTTCGACATTCTTTCACCAGCAAGATTGGAAACATTGTCATAAACCAAGTGGTAGGCTGTTGTGACCAGTCCGTTGTCCAGACTGAGGGTCTCGTGAATAGCCAGCAAATCACGGAGGCGTGACGAGACTGCTTATCACCACAGCCCTAAGCATATGAAACAGCACTGTGCCTCTAGACAAGCTTCTGTAAGCCAAGAATGAGGGCTGGCTTGTGGCTGTGATAGGTGCTGACACCCGCTTCTATGGCGGGCTGAGGTGAGCGGTGTCAAGAGCTGAATGCAAAGCCATCATCATCCATGCGTCTGTGGTGAGATGCAGAGATGACGACCGCCGAACCTTGTCAGACGCAGCCTCTAGCACAGTCTAGTGTGTCTAGATGAATATTCCTAATCAAAGACCGTAGAACTCTCAATCCGCATCCAGGAGCTTTCTCAAGCGTCGCTGGGTCTACTGGGAGCTTATCAAGACAGGTTGGAGGATGTTACCTGAATCGCTGCAATGAGTCGGAGACGAACAGGTTCACAGGAAACGGAATTGTGGAGTCAATATTAGGCAAGCCGATTGGATCATTGGTCAAAGATATTGTCCCGCCAGTGGCCAGACTCCCGATTCCAGAATAGGTAGCTCCGATCGAGCCTTGAAGTACATGAATTCGTCAACGCTTTCCAGTCTTTTATATTCAAGATTCAAGTGCATTTTGTGTGTGGTACAGCCCATACAGCGCCTCGCATTGTCCACGGGTTGCCAAGCGTTCTTCACCTACCTCCAGAATTCCTTCGTGGGTTTCAATTGGTGGTCAGCTCGCCCATCGAGTCAGACAGACATGGGAAGCACGACAAAGCCGGTCGCATACTGGAACGTCAACGTGCCAGAGTCCGAATGGACTGAAGAATGCCCCGACTTCTTGGCCAATCTAAACACCAAGGACCTTGGCATCATCAGCACGCCGGACAATGAGTATCACATCGAGACATGGCCGGAAGTCGTGCAGAAATGCAAAGACAACCGCTTAGATCTATTCCAGCGCGTACCATCAGATCTCAGGCGGTACCTAGCGTACAACTGGAAACTAAAGCAGGAGTACGGCAGCGTTATGTACTTTGTCCTGTCTCAGAGACTGGGATGGAAAGAGCCCATCGTGTCTAAAGGAAATCCTTTCCAGTTCGATGAGGACATCAAGATTCTGTGGAACGATTGGCCCTACGGCATTGACGAGAGAATTGTGCATTTGGTCGTCTGGACAAAATTCGATCTGGAAGAAGACCCAACCAACGGAGACCTCACTGATAAAGCGAGGGCAGAGATTGATGACTTTGTACACAAGTTCTTCTCTCCCCACCTGCCCAAAGACCATGTCCGTGTGATATCCTCTCGCTCACCATCGACCAAGCTTGGCTGACCGCATTGAACAGTACACATGGTTCAAGAACTGGCGCTCCCTCAAGTCAGTCAAGGCCGTGGAGCATTTCCATGTCATGCTGTTCGACCCCGACCCTGCTTTCGTCAGCGAGATCACCAATGGCGATGTACCGCTCAGCCAGAAGGTTGGCAAGCTGAACTGAGAGGCGGCCGCCATGATTCGCTTGTCATACGCATTGCCAGCTGCAAGTGCGCTTAGATAAATTTTCGTCTTCTCAAGGTCGATCGACCGGTCGGGCTTTGATGATTGGGTACCAACAACAGAGTAACACTGTATTCTCAATGCTCTGGCACCTCCAACCCGGCGCCGGCTCGGACCTGCACAACGGGACCATCCGCAAAGGGAACCGCCGTTGGTTTCTCCATGCTGATTTTGACTTGCCAGCCGAAGTAGCCAGAGTACTGCTGCCCCGGTAGTGGACGGAAGTCTCTCATGATCCTGCTAGATAGATGACTCCCCAAAGCTTCTAGGGTCTCAAACGAGGATTCCTCCATGGCCTAGAATTCGCCATTAGTTTCACAAAATAGGTTAGAGTAGACTAGATAGACAGAGCTTTTCACCAACCTTTATGACTAGAGACTCCAGAAGGGTATAGACATCTGGGGCATAATCGAACTTGTCCACCTCAATGTCTGTTATAACAAATTGTTTTGCTTCGCGTTCGTTCGAGTTGACGCCGATTAGAGTAGGTACCCGTAGCCGATGGAGGCGAAGACTTATAGCAAACATCTCCACTGCTGAAGAGACCTCCTTGGTATCAAAAACAGACGATGCTGTCAAGCTGACTCCTTCGCCCAGAAGTGAGGCTTTAGGCAGGATGACAGTGATAGACATGAACCGGAGCTTCGACAGATCAAGGAACGCCTGCTCTACATCCTTGCTACGGATGCCGTCAACTTTCAAGCCGGTCAGAGTCGACCATATCCTCTCCAGAACACCTCTCAGCGTGCTGCTGGTCGAGCCCAGGGCCGCCTGGTTGTCTGCCGGTGCCGCTCGCTGAGGGCTGTAGCTCTCCAGGCTGGCGAGGATGGTCTTGCTCAGGCTGCCGTAGTGGACGGTGTCGCCACTGGTGACATTGTCTCCGGCGACCGATGCGTCAAATGGGCTGGTGAAGCTCAGCTCGGCAGAGACCAGAAATGGCTGCGGCTTGCCGTCTCGGCCCCAGGCATCGTGGGGGCCCTTCACTACGGCTTGTAGATTCCGGACGCGGACGACGGCGAATGGGTCCCCCGCCGCGCAGCGGACCTGCCAGGAGCTGCGGATACGATATTCTTGTGTGAAGTCCATGATAAATAGCTGAAGTGCCCCTTTCCAGGTAAATATCACTGATCGATTCGGATTTCGTGTTGTTGAGCCACCAGTTGATTGAAGAGAAGTCTATGTCCACACTCGGCGCTATTAAAATGGTCTCACAACAGCAATTAAATTTTCTTAGTAGCCGCTCTTATCACAACTTTTAAACACGCCCAAACCGTTGTGATACACACACGTCTATGAGTCAAAATGTGCACTTTTTGGCTGTCGCGATGACGTGGACGTCTGCATCTGCAAAACAAAGCCTGATTTCAGTTATTGTACTGAAAGGGCTGCAAATGCAATAATAGCATGTGGGGGATGCATGTACTTGCACTACCAGATCTCAAGTCACTGTTTTACCTTGACCGACTTACACCCCACACTTCATGTCACCGCCGGAAAGAATCTTTTATTCCAGGGTTGGTGATGTCCTAGATGTGGAGTATATTCTCATTCTTCCATCGCGCATTCCACATGTCAAATGCCAAGTCTCAGGAGTATGCAAGCTATGTATCGATTACTGTACCAGGCAGAAAATTGGGCATTCATGACTGTTACACACAAAGCTGCTGTGTCTATGTCCGGGTTTCAGAGAGAATAATGCCTAGAACAAACAGGATATTCTCATTTTCCTGCTCCCTGAGCTAAACTTAGCATACTTGGCCCAAAATGTCTCATGAGCCGACACGAAGACTATCGACAGGCGGCTTACCACCCATCAAGACCTGCGAGCAATACGATGTGGAGGAGGCTCCAAGCCACAACAACATGCCCTGCTTTACCGCCTGGATACGCGAAGAGATCGTGGAGATCCCCAAGGGATGGACATCCTCAGACTTTCCCATCTCTGACAGGCGCCCCCAATGGTCCTTCCAGATCTACGACACAACGCCACGTTCAGACGATCCGGACCACCTTAGGACCCTAGCCGAGACGCTGCACAGGGAAACGCGGGAAGAGCGCGAGACACAAGGCCACGAGCAGCCTGATCGCATCGATGTATGGGGCATGCCGCTCGCAGCCAATGCGTCGGACGAGGAGAGAATCACGAGGTGCAAGACTCACCTTCTAGCTGAAGTTGCCTCGCGAAACACCGCGGAAAGTGATGAGTTCCATATCTCGCGGCTCAGTGCTAATGAGCAGTGGCAATGGGCCATTCTTATCATCGACCGGCCCCGAGAACTCTGGAACGAAGGCGAGGGCGGCTTCCTCGCTGTGTACTGGGATATGCATCCTAATTATCTTGAACTACTTAAACGGGAGTATGGCGAGGACAAACAAGAGCCCCAGACAAGCGCTTTCCGGTATACTCGTGCTGAACTGGGAAAGGTGTTGGCGAATTTAAAGGGTGCTTTCTGATCATTTGAGAGCAAATACTTCTCCGGTTAATTGACGGGATCAGAATTCGAAGACATAACAACCCGCGGAAGGCTCCTTTTAAATCGTGAGTAACTTTTGGATGCAATCCCAAACATACATCAATACCAAGTCAAAAACAGAAAGGGTTGGCGAGGATATGGATAGATTTATGGGCTTAGGATGAAAGCGGTCTCCCCAGTGAGGATATTGCCCTTGAACTTGCGCAATAGCTAAGATAACCAAAAGGCTAGCATTCTCAGCACTGCGCGGCTGAGATTCCCGGTCCTACAGCTTATAAGGCTACTGCACGCCACAGTGTTATTTCAACATACCCGATAACACTCTGTATCACTAATAGCTTTATCTTTATCTCTAACGCCGCCCTACCCTAGTACACTCCGAGAACATCCTCCCTCTTATTCCATGGAGTATCACACCTCACACCTCAGAATGTCATTGTGTGCGGTGTAACGTGCTTTGACGATACTTTCAAACATACTTGGCTGCATCTATATTTGAAGCGTGTCACAGACCGCAGGCGGCAACACCAAAATGAAGACGACAAAGAGGACAAATTCGCTCGGCCGGGCCGCCTCCGATTGCCACTCATGTGAGGCCCGCAGTCGCGAATGTGACCGGCGCCGGCCCCGGTGTGATCAATGCACCAGAGACGGCATTGTGTGTCCCGGTTTCGCCCTCAAGTTGGATTGGCAACATGGAATCGCTAGCAGGGGCAAACTGACGAGGAAGACATTTCCAGTGCCGGACACTGACACTGGACAGAGGATGGGACAGAAGGGTTTCCCTGGCCAGCAGGCGCCGCCGACAAGTTTCACTTTTGTGCAACAAGGGGGCAGTGTCAGTGGTGTAGTCAGACTCGACGGTCGTCGGCTTCTTCGAGGAAAGAAGAAGCAGAGACCGTGCGTAGCCGACGAAGATATTGATATGGGTAAGGTGCCAATTGCTCCTATGGATCAGAGCATGGACGAAGACACGATGATGCAGGTTCGGGAGCGAGCAACAGAGCCAGAAGAGACGATGTCGATATTGGAGAGACCCTCTCGAGATACCTCTGACAGAAACAGTCAGAACGACAGCGAAGACGGAGCCAGCATCATTAGTGCCAATGTCAGCGCCATACCAGAGGCTGGGGTCCCTATAGTACATAGTGAAGTATCCAGATCCGAGATGGAGCGTCTTCTCACATCAACTCTTACACCGACGAAATGGCGATCCTTGCCGAGCTTCTTCCATCTCACCACGGGGGCGTCCGAGGCCATCTCCTTTTTCCACTGGCGATTTTCCTTCGTCACTCTCGCCTACGACGTGTGGACTAACCCGTGGCATGTTTGCCTCCCGATCATCTACGATGCGCCGTGCCTGATGGATGCCATCATCGCCTTGAGCAAGATAGGTCGTTCACGTCTACTTGAGGAGCCTGAGGATCCAAGCGTGCTCGTCCTAAAGAACAGGGCGCTCTCCTCGTTCGGTTCGATACTCCAGACCGGTAATGTAGCTGTGATTATTGCTACAATCCTCGTCCTCATTGGAATAGACGTGTGTTCTTCCTCCCTCACATAACCCCTCGATTTATTCCCTTCTTCCTACTCTACGAGATGCTGATGTGGCATAGTACGCCGAAAGTGCCTACTCCTGCTGGTCCACACATCTAATGGGGGCATACAGAGTGCTAGAGAGCGGCAGTGGTATCCGCGTTGCGCAGTTCAGCTCCTCTCTACGATCCCAGATTGCAATGTTGATATGGTATGACTTGACAGGTGCGCTTCTCTCCAGAAGACGGCCCGTGTTCCCTAGAAATTACATAGAAGACCTATTCGCTTGGCAATCGAGCACTGAGTGGACCTTTCTCGCCCTCAACGGCTATCCGGACGAGCTCATCATGGTGCTGCACGACTTGGCAACAGCTGCGGAGGCTCTTACGACGCCGACAGACGAGGCTGGAGCGCGGCAGGCCGAAGTCGCGAGAGAGCTGGAGCGACGTCTGTGGGTCGCCGAGCTGCGTTCCGTTGACGCAGACGTTACGATTCTGTTTGAATGCTGGCGCATGGGCTTACTGCTCTATTGCGCCAGGGCGTTGAAAACCGCAGCAGCCAACCCCTTTACACAACAGCAGCAGCAGCGGTCCCAATCCGTCAGCATGAGTCCTAGGATGAGACTCTTAGATCGGTCACTTTCGTCGTCGCCAGCTTTCACTACAGCGTCCGACAATACGCTAATGGTAGAATCGAACAATGCCACTTCTAATCGCTGCAAATGCTACGCCGAGGACATTTTCTACCTGACAATGCGCCTTTCCCCGACATCAGCTCTACAAAAACAATGCCTCATACCAATGCTGCTTGCGGGATGCGAAATGACCTCCAGCCCGGACGATTTGCAGCACCGGAAGACGGTTGAGACATATTGCGACAGATGGAACAGCCTGAGCCAATTGGCCGTATTTAGCTCTGCTAAGCACGTGTTACGGATTGTCTGGGCGCTTAAGGACGGCGGGTTCGACTTTGAGAAGGTTTGGTGGGTGGACGTGCTTAACAAGACGTGGGCAATGCAAGATTCACAGGGATCACTGACGAAGGAGTGGTTGTTTGGATAGTTCATCATGTATGACGCACAGTGGTAGTACGCTCTACGATATTGTCACCGGAGTAAACAACATGTACTATTCTAACATGGCGCTACTCTCTTCAGAACAGATGGTTGGATGGGTGACATTTATGTTCCGAGATCAAATCAGATCCTTATGCGACTCCAGCTCTGGACGTAGAATCCTCATCGGATCGTTCAGGTCCACCCACCCAAGGAACGGCCTCGAAACAGACCAGCCAATCCGCTCCTGCAACCACAGCGGCAGTTCCTTGATCTTCTCAATGTCATTGGCAAGGTACTGGTTCTCCTCCTGACGCATCCAACTCCGCGTATAGAAGCACGAGAACAACAGTCGCTCTTCGTCGGCGGTTTTGTTGGCGCTACCGCCATGGAAACAGCCGGAAAGCATCATAAAAGCATCCCCGGGGTTCAGCTCCGCATGGTATGTCTGGTCTTCGCGTGGCGGACCCTCTGAGTAGTCCCAAAGATGTGATCCTGGGATGAATCTTGTAGCCCCATTTTGGCGAGTAGCCTTCTTTCCGGCCACGAAGAGACCGATGCCTGCATCTCGGCCCTGTTCGTGGGACACCACGGCGGGCAGGTACTGGTGATGGACTTGATCATCCCTGAGATCAAATCTGTATTAGCTGCAATGGTAATCATATTTAAATCTGCCCATCTAGTCTTCTGCGTTACTGAGTTCGACATACCTATGCAGAACCTGGTTCTTTGCTCCAGGGCCGATGCTGAATACAACTGTGTTATTGAGCTGCGGCTGGGCGATACTTGTCTCCTGTTTGTTTCCAATCTACGTGTGCATTCTTTATCAGTTCGTGATCTTCACTCAAATTCTTGTCCACAGTGGAACACAACCTACCCAATTACCCTTCAGCTCGCTTGTTAGAAGAGCGTCGCAAACTTCTAGCCATAGTTCGTGCCCTACGACTCGCAGGGCGAATGTCTTGGACTTTCCGACAAGCCCAAACGCACGGCGAGTTTCCTTGGGAAAGAAATCCCCATCCCAGTGCTTGTCTTTATCTAGCCAAGGACGAACATCGGCCTCAATCGTGGCGATCTCTGTCTTATTGAGAAAGTTACGGATTATGACTCCGCCGGAGAGTTTCAAAGCAGCAATTAACTCGTCCGAGGTGCATTTGCCTGCGTCGAATTCCAACACAGGGGGCAAAGGGGAAGAGGGACCTTTCAAGTCGGAGCCGGTGAGGTCAGTTAGGCCAGCAGGTACATTGGCCATGGCGAATGTGGCCGGGACTTCTACCACGGTGGCCATGTTTATCGGTTGAGCTGTACTCGAACTTGTCTGATAAGGACCTGAAGAACGCTTCATAGCTGAAAGGGAGTATGGTGAAATATACCAGTCCAAGCCTAGTCTCTACTGTTATATCGAGTCAGAACCCTTTCAGGCACCCTCTAGCAAGCTATCACCTAGTACGTAAGATGTATCATAATCGTGACAAAGTCACTTTGAATGATGTATGACTAGTTGTTTGGTGTAAAGATGACTTCTCCCAAATTCGGTATATACCATTCTAGGCAGGTGAGTTTACTGACCAATTTATGTCTAATACCACTAATTATGATTACGAGGATATCCCATCATTGAACACGCATCTGGTCCCGTTCACCATTTGTCGCTGTAACATATCAACGCTGCAACCGCATTGTATCCCTGGACGCACTAATGGAGATGGTTGTCGTGGGCAAATATATCCTGACGCGATAATAGCCGAAACCGGAAGGAGAGCTAACGGGGCCGAAGCTCATTCTTAGCGGTTGACAAACTATGAGGTCATGGAATTCTCGAAATTCCCTAGAATTGAGGAGGGCATCTCAAAATACCTATGTCTAGCCTGGGTTACATTATGAGAAAAGGGGTGAAAGGAAGGCAATCACGTTAGCAAGGTAGAGGGCACATATAAATGAAGACAAACATCTGTAGTAAATAGTGTCTGTTAAAAATGGCTATGTATACTACGGTGCCGCTAGATGTTGTACCCTGTAGCGTGATATCTCGGGATTTTAATTGAGGATTACTTGGCAAGTCACCCAGAAAGACTGCAATCATGCTCCTGGGCTCGTGATACCTTTGCATCTCAATGGGTGAAGAGCAGAGAATCAATCAGCTCCCAATACTTCTTCGCTGACATCCTTCTCAGTTTCTTTCCCCAGAAAACAAGGGCCAGGAATGTCAAGTTGCAAAAAATGGACAGGGCGGCTACGGCTACGAATGTTTTGACAAGCCCCTGACTCTCAATCCAAGGAGTGATGCCGTATGAGAAACCGAAGCCCATGGTGTTACGGATGACCTGCACGAGAATCACACTCTCTCCCGATATCTCTTTGAAGCAGTCGATAGTGTAGGCAAGGGCGGTGGATCCGCCGACAACGACGCACGACATGACCATACCGATGCCTATTATTAGCCCCATAAAGTGCATGTTGTTAGCGGCTCCGATTCCCCAGAGAAGGAATCCACCGCCGCCTACGAGGCCAGAGACTGTCAAGATCCAAAGCCGGTGTTCCGGCTCGCGAATACCGCCGTTTCGCCTCGCCAGGAACAGAGCAATCTTATCACCGATCCAACCGGCCCAGAGCGCGCCGACGACAGACCCTATGAACGGCGACACGTACGCGACGCCGACCATACTGGGCGAAAAGTTGTACGGGCTGCCGCTCAAGATTAGACTCATAGTCCCGTTGCAGACGGCGTACCAAGAGAGGTTCGTGCCGTACAGGAAGCCCGCCCAGACTATGTTAGGGAAGTGGAAGACAAGTGTCAGCGGGCGATACATCATCACGAACATTTGCTTGACCGATGGCCTGCCGGCCAAGTCGCGGAAGAGATGCAGCTTCTGCTTGTATGTTCGCGGGGTTGGGTAAATCTGGCCTCGAACGGGACTCGGAGGGCTCAGCGGAGCCGAGATAGTTTTTTCTTCGACCGCCGCCATTGGGTTGGTTCCATCATTCTTGGAGGGACGAACAATGAATTCGTGGACATCCTGGGCTGGGATCCCATCATCAAACCCTTCTATCGTCTGCCGGAAATACATGGTTTCTTCTAGGGTGAACATGATAATGATGGTGGTCACAGCTAGGACGATGGTTCCGAACCAGATGGCGGCTCGCCAGCCCAGACCATTCGTAATCAAGCCGGCCAGAAGAGGTGCCAGAGCGTTTCCACCAAAGAGAATCAAGACGTAGACACTGTTGTGGTGATTAGAATTTGAGCACACAAAACTTGGGGTAGCAAATAAAACAGAAGAGAAGTGTGTGGCTCACCTGATGTAATTCCCCCTTTCGTGGGCGAAAAAAAGATCCGCGGTCGATACTTCAGGCAAGCTTTCAACAGGAGCAAGAAAAATTCCGATCAGGATTCTATGGGCGAACCATTCCGCGGATGTCTTAGAATATGCCGTCCACACCATAGGTGCGAGGCCGAGGAGGCTAGTCAAGACATATACACCGCGACGGCCGAAGACCAGGGCGATGGGCTGCCATATCAGACATCCCCATCCAATAAAGAGAATCATGAGTCCAGTACCCGTGTTGAGTTCGGCGATGGTGATTCCCGTCTCGGCGGCGATATCAGACAGAACAGAGTAGTGGACGGTAGTGGCAATAGACACACCGAAGAGGTAGACGTAGACAGACCAGATTGCGACTTGTTTGCGAAACGGTTTCCAATTGAGAGGATCCTCCGGATCTGCGGATGGACGGGGATTTAGCACCACCGTGTCCGGGCCCGACGAGTGCACATCGAGGAGGTGAATGGTACCTGGCACCATGGCCTCGCGCGCTTCGAGTGTGCCCTGGGTGGCCATGGCGTTGTTGATGAGCAGAATGCAGAAAGGAGATTGTGAAATGTAGAGGAGTAAATTACGGCTCTGAAACTATCCGACGTGAAGTTTCAGGGTCCGAGACAACAGTAGTAGCCTTGCTGTTGCAGACAGGCAAGAGTCTTGTGTGTAGCTGTCCTCAGGATTCGTCCCAGACGAGGCATTGTATAAGGGGCAGTCTCATGGCGGTCTTAAACAGGAACTCTTCAAACAAGTTATAGAATTGACAAGCCAGATGCACGGACTAGACCATGAAGACCTAGACTATGACTTTTCCTTAGGGACTTGGTGTGCTGCAGTCTCGACAGTATGAATACCAATATTCGGTCTTATCTCTCCTTCCAGGTTTGGATAGCGTTAATCATTCTCATTTCCGATTGTATCTTCGATTAACGTAACGTGAGAAGTATTTACAAGGGGCAAAGGCTGATAAGCTTCATGATGATGACGACAGAAATGTGGCTTTGAAAATGTCAAAGGCAAAATATGTATTGCTATATTCCATAAATGGATCCGATTTCTTTTGCTGAAAAAAGGATCCACAATTATATTGTTTTATATGTCTGTTATCTATGATTCCGAGCTAATAAGTTAGTGGTATCTCATTTACTCCAACTGTAAGAATGGACTCATTGAGATATTCACATACGGCGGAGTTCACAACATACATGTGGTTGAATATTATCCAAATGCGGAAGGAGAGGCTAGTTTGAACGACTAGAACGCTTGCGCCTAGTGGGCTAGGCTTGTCTGATGTGCGAGATATTTGACTGATAAGCTGCCGCCCGCATATGGACGTTCTGATCGACATGGTTTTGTATACAGATAAGCTGTTGGTAACGTGGAGTGGTGAAGAAGCACTAGAGTCAATGCTAACCCCGTACATTCTCTGCAATTGTCAGCATGTGGGCCTTGAACTAGATTGGCTTGCACTTCACCCAAGACCCATAAAGATAAGACAACTCTTAAAGCAGGCTCAATTCTGTAGAGGCGACGATTCTGGAAATGGTATGGCGCCGGGAAGTTAACACCAGGGTTGTCGGGGCTCGGGATATGGCGGTAGGACGCCGTTGCTCTTATCTACAGTGTGATAATTAGAATTCCTCTTGCTTAGTTTGAATAATATGCAGATAGGTTGACATGACCACTCATCCTAAGTGAACAAATATCTCCTCGCCATTAGGACCCTGTTTACATGACATAAAATATCTTGCTACCATTTATAGACGGATCAGATTAATATTTCCATATGCGGGCCAAGTGAATACAGAGGTAGAAAGAGCAAAAGTGCAATGACAACCGTAGCCATCCTTCCAGAAGGCTATCCTGCAGAATTGACGGGCTACGCCGATCCATGGATCGCTTCTCCTGGCGGCACTGTCGAGATCAAGGTATGCACGATATATGACAGTATTCCGACTGACGCCTGCCTGTTAAATTCTGCCTGCATCTGTCCCTAACAATTGCCAGGTCTCGTGCACAGAATCATCTTACAAGTATCGTGTCGTTCGCGTCACGCAGGGCGTTGATGTAGAAAACTCGCCGGCAAAGCAAATCCATCCCATTGATGGAGTCCCAGAGGGCGAGACAAAGGGACGATTCCAGCTCGCAAAGCCAGGCTCTTATGCCATAATCAAAGACTGGCTTCCGGCCCCGGCCTCGGGTGTCATGATTTCTTTCTACATGCAGCCGTGGGTGCCGGTTTGGAATCATGCGCAGGTTCCCATTTCCAATCTCGACGTCAACAATAAATCGGGATTCGCTGTGGTTGTGGGAGAAGCTGGAAAACTCGAGTTCTGGATTGGCACTGGCTCCAAGATTGAGGTCATTCCAACGGGATACTCCCCGGAAAAAAAGATGTGGACTCGGGTCAGCTTGACCATCGATGGCACGAAGTTGTCCAGTTCTATTCAACCAATCCCTCTCTTTGTGACACCGAGTGAGAGCAAGCCCATTGTCGTATCGCATATGCTACGAGACCCTATATCATTGGCAGTTACCAGCAAGCTACTCTTTGGAGCTTGTTTCGCGAATGGGTCGGCTACGACTCCGTCTGCCGTTCCAACGAATTTCTTCAATGGCCGTATTGACTCGCCTACAATTATGCTAGTTGAGCAGGGTGCGGAACACCCGCTACTTAGATTTGACTTTTCTGTCAACATGTCCAGTGACTACATCCACGATATCTCAGGACGGGGACTCAGGGGGACACTCATCAACGCACCAACACGCGCCGTGAAGGGTTACGATTGGGATGGCACAGAGGTGGATTGGACCAGAGCCAAATATGGCTACGGCGCAATCCACTTTCACGAAGACGACCTCGACGATGCGGGGTGGGAGACAGATTTGACCATCAAGATTCCCTCGACATGTCGATCGGGGGTATACGCTGTGGAAATCGAAACGATCGATGGCAGAAGAGCCAATGATTCTATCACTTTCTTCGTACGACCGAGCGAGTCGGACTGGACACAGAGGGGTGGGAAAGTGGCGTTTGTGCTATCGACGTTTACATACTTGGCCTACGCGAATGAGCATCTTTGGGAAACGTCGCGTCGTTCAGCCATCGACATTGGTCCCGGTTTCGACCCAAACGACGTAGCTCAAAGTGACGACTTAGACAAGCTGAGACGACGCTTCGACCTAGGTCTCAGCACGTACGATGTGCACAACGACGATTCGAGTGTGATATACTCATCCTGGAAACGGCCGATTCTCAATGCTCGCCCGGGATATGTTATGTGGGCGTTCAAGAGGCCTAGGGAGCTAAGTGCTGACCTGATGATGATCGGGTTCCTTGAGCGTGAGGGCATTCCGTACGAGGTACTAACGGATCACGACCTGCACCGTTTCGGCGTAGACTGCATATCCCGCTTCAACACCGTCATCACAGGCTCTCACCCAGAATACCCGACGCTCGAGTCGTACATGGCCTACAAGGCGTTCGCCGCCCAGGGTGGGAACCTCATGTATCTCGGCGGCAATGGATTCTACTGGGTCAGCGCCGTGTCCGGAGACCCGTCACGCATGCATCGTCTTGAGATTCGTCGTGGAGATCAGGGCGTACGAACTCACACAGCGCCCGGCGGCGAGCGAATCAACGCGACTAACGGCCAGCTTGGGACGCTGTGGCGATCTCGTGGGATGCCATGCAATGTCCTCTTTGGTGTGGGGTTTTCCGGCGAAGGTGTTGCACCGGGTGTACCGTACCGGCGAACGGCAGAAGGGAGGCGGTGCGAAGAGAGCGAAGGGGAAGTCTACAGCAAAAGCAACATAGACAACACCGCACCACCGTCGTCGTGGATCTTCCGCGGCATCAGTCCCGATGAGCTCATTGGTGAATTCGGGCTGGGCGGCGGTGCGAGCGGAGATGAGATAGACAGGTTCGGTATTGACAACGACAGCCATCCGAGCGTCAAGGTGCTAGCATCGAGTACCGGTCACTCGGACGAGTTTGGTATCGCGCCAGAGGACACCTCGTTTCCCATAAAGAATGTCCTTGGAACGCAGAACGACAATATACGGTCTGACATGACATACTACGTTACTTCAGGAGGCGGTGGAGTTTTCTCAGTTGGTAGCATCAACTTCTTCTGTTCGCTTGGGTGGATGAACTACAGAAATAATGTTGCCCAATTGGTGAGAAACGTAATCACAGGCTTCTTGGAGGGGAGGCGATGAGGATTTCACATCGACAAGGTAGATTTACTTAAGGTGAACTAGCTCGCTGATCTATCCTTTCTCTTGGTACTCCGTTCAAGATTAGGGTAGACTGGAGAATGTGATTTAGTCAAGCCCCTGCCACTGCCCGCCGTAGACGGCAATAGTCCAAACATGATATACATGACAATTAATAAGCTAGTCTCATACTAATCTTGTTATTGAAATAAAACGTAATCAACGAGAAAGGCTCCTAGTCTTCACGCCAATACTGCTAATAATTCGATCCCATGACCCACCCTGACTGACAACACTGCTAGAGGTAGGAAGATCTCTGGCTTTCTTTAATTAGAGGTGACGCCGTTACTCGGTTCTTGATACTCGGTGCTCGGTTCTCATGGTCCTCTGTTCGGTTCTTAGTGGGGACAATTCTAAGAGTATTTGGGCAAAGAGTCTACTGATGTAGCATTACATCCAGCTTGAGCACTATGTACTTAAAACAGACAAGCCCCGTATCCAGATATCATAAGTGTCTCACAAATAGTAAGATAGATAGCTAGTGACGACGCTTTACAAATTATCAACAATTTCACAATGGCTTTAGAATCAACGCGTAAGTTGACTATATTATTCTGTCCTTTGTATCGACGCAGAACGACTGATTATGTCTTAGACCCAAAGAACTTCGGTGTTCTCATTTATCCTGGCTTCGAAGCCTTAGATGCTTTTGGACCTATGGAAGTCATCAATGACCTATCTATGACGCAAAACATAACTCTGTCAATAGTTGCTGCAAGTCTCGATCCAGTTTCGACTCTCCAAAAAGGCAAACACTCCGTTGGGCAAAGCGTTGTGCCCACGCACACTTTTGCCGATGCGCCAGCTCTCGACGTGCTTATAATCCCTGGAGGCTGGGGAGGATTTGATACGAAGCCCGAACTGCAACAGTGGGTGCGCGATGTCGTGCCAAAACTCGGCACTTTAATCACTGTCTGCAACGGGGCCGCACTTGCAGCCCAGACGGGCGTTCTGGATGGCAAATCTGCCACTACAAATAAGATGCTATGGAATCAGTGTGTTGTCTACGGGCCAAAAGTGAACTGGGTCGCCAAGGCACGGTGGGTTCATGATGGGAAAATCTGGACGTCATCGGGCGTCAGTGCGGGCATCGACGCAACGCTCGCCTGGGTCGCAGCTGAGTATGGTGAAGCATTGGCGACTGCTATTGCCAATGACATGGAATTCACGAGGGCTGCATCTTCATCTCATGACCCGTTTTCAGTCATTCATAAGTGCAAGGATGTTCCCGCGCAATTATAACGTTCTGAACTAGAGCGATGGCAAGGAATATTCCATGTTGAAGGCCATATGCTTTTAAAGCGACCTCATCTTGTATCTAGGCTCATATTTCGGAATTTTTGTGCTTTGAATACCGAGGTTCAATATGCTCAGTCAGTTGACGAGTTGAGGACATTAAAGCCGGCTTTTAAACTCGGAAAAATAATAGTCTGAGCTCAAATAGGCGCACAAAGTTTGATCCCTTACATGAGAAAGGCAGTAAATTTGTAGTTGAGAACTCTCGACGCGGAGTGGCTTGTAGTACCTGACCTCAGACGTAGCCTGACCCGCGGTTATGGCCAGATAAAGTGATAAAAGCAATGGAAAAGACAATGCAGATTGCCGGAGCCGGGATTCTTTAATCGATCGCACTTTCCGTCCTACTCACAATGATGAATTTTCTGCGCGCACTCCAAATGAAGTCTTCGATGTTGTAAGATACCAGCTTCGGAAAATAAGTGGCTAGAAGACGGAAATGTCAGGCCGATTGCTCGCCGGGCGTGTGAAGCTATGATTCGTTGTCTCCAAGCTAGCAAATAACCTGGATTCACAAAAAGAGGCTTTTTGTTCAATTACACCACTTCTCTTCGCTATGGAGCTAGCTTGATCTCGTCATCGTCTCACAGCGCTCCTTGCTCTCTCGTCATACCTGCTTACAGAGTCAACACGGACCTGAAGCGAACTTTGCCACTTTTCATCTTCTCGAACGCTTCCTGGTACTTAGTCAAAAACGAAAACTCCTCTACAATACATTTCACACCGTGTGTATGTGCGAAGGCAATCGCATCTTCAGAGTCTCGTTGGTGTCCCGAGTTCCATCCATGGATACTGGTTCCCTTCATCACCATCGCAGTTGTGTCAAATTCCACCGGGCCAAGGGGGGCAAGCACTACCAACTTGCCGAGAGGCGCCAGGCCCGCAACGAGCGGGCTGATAACCCTGCCATTTGGTGCCGTGGACACAATCATGTTCGCGCCTCCGAGCTTTTGCAAGGCATCTGCTGCATCTTCTGCGCTTGTATCGACATAATGGTGGGCTCCTAGCTGCCTTGCGAAGTCTTTCTTATCGCTCCCGGAGCTCAAAGCGACGACAGTGTATCCCATCTTTGAGCCATACTGCAGCGCTAGGTGGCCAAGCCCTCCCAGACCTTGAACGGCGACGAGTCCGCCTTGGATTACACCCATGTTTCGCATAGCGTTGAACACGGTGACTCCAGCGCACAAGAGGGGAGCAATCTCGGCCGGATCGGCATCTGCAGGCACTCGGACCGCTGCCTCGGCGCGAAGCAAGGCATACTCCGCGTAACCACCGTCCATTGTCACTCCATTGACTGCACCATTAGTGCATGTTTGAAACAGGCCTCGTTGACATGAATGGCATGATCCGTCATGGCCTTCATTTAGAGACGTTATTAGCTATAAACGAAAGCACAACATGGTGGCTGAGAGAGAATACGGGCTTACCTCCATGCCAGGCAGCTCCGACGCGCTCTCCTCCCTTGAACCTAGTAACGCCCTCGCCGACAGCGACGATGTCTCCAATCGCCTCATGTCCAGGCACGCGAGGAAACACGTCTCCCAGATAACCTTGCTGTACAAAAAGATCGGAGTGACAGATGCCACAGGCGAGTATCTTCACCAGAATATAGCCTGGGCCGGGTTGTTGGATCTCAACGTCTCGGAGAGTCAGTTTGGCACCTTTGTTCTCGAAGAACGCCGCCTTGTAAGTTGTTGGAAGAGATACAGTCATGCTTGAAGTTGGCACTTCTCTCTTTGGATGATGCCTTGACCCTTTTGCAAATGGTGACTGTAAGCGTGAATTTATAATTTGCTACTCAAACTAAATACCTATGATCAACTGCATTATTCAAGACTGATAAGTTATATAATGCATATACTTTTCTTCCGGTCAGTCCCTAAGTACCCATGTTTCTAACATGCTTGTCAAACTTGGGGTGATCTAGTGTAAGTTGATTGGTCACGAGAAACGGCGAGTGGCCCCGCCAAGAACGCCGTTCAAGCTCCATAATAATACATTGTGCAGAGACCTTGAGAACCGAGCGCCGAGGACGGCCCCATGTGACCCGTACCCGCCACCTGAGTCGTAGCAGAAACCAGAATGAGACCCTTTAATAATAGAATGACAGATGTAATGCGGCAAGTATTTGGGGTATGTGAAAAGGATTACTGGTCTTGATTCAAAGCCGGGTTCAAACGGCGTCCCGTACAGATTGAAATCCAACAACATGGCGTCGAATAGCGCATGAAAAACAGATGCGTGTTATGGTCATTGAAATCTGCCATCAATTCAACCTAGCATTTGAACACTTATAGAACCTCCTACAAAAGGGCGACTGATTGAGAACATTTTACTGTGTTAAATTTGTTTACTGCGAAGAGAGACAATGGTATCCCGTTTCATTGTGTATCTTATGGTGAGTTGCACAGAGTGATCTAGGCCGAATTTGATCAAATAAATAGAACCTCTTACTGGTTGTGGTGATCCACAATCGCTTTTCTCAGTGTATAAGCAGATTTTGAGGCCATTATGTCCAGTTCTCGGTAAACCAATCGACAGTGTCCGAAGGGTTGAATGGGGCAAAAATATCCCAATTGCTGGTGAAATCAAAGCTTTCCAACCCTATGGGCGTCTGTGGTAGTCTCGTGTTGTTGAGAATGTGATCGAGAACTTTTTTAATGACAGCTCTGACACGAGAAGCAACAGAGCTATAGGGCTGCAATGGGAATGACGAGTTCAGGTAACCCACAAGGAGGCTAAGCTGCTGAATGATGGAGGACCTGGAGTAGGTCTCGCCGAAAATGATATCCTCATCTGTGGCGATACTCGCAGGATTCGGGTCGATGAGTTCCACACATAGGACAGCCCCAGCCAGAGTTGCATTTCCCATTATCTACTTCTTGTTAGTCATATTATATTCGCATTGGGGTTTAGAGTCATGTGCAAGTTTCGCGGGGAGAAAGAAGGAAGTGACCTACTATCCACCGATTCTCTCCTTGAACCTCTGCCCATATATGCTTCTGAGTCCAGAACTGTAAGGTCAAAACTAGCATTTCAAAGCTGGTACGTAGGAGTTCACTCCTAGGACGACCATTCTTAACGAGTAACCGCTCAATTAAAAAAATGTTGAGCAAATGATCAAGTCTTATCAATAATTTTGGGAAGACTGCTCGAAGGTCGATATCAAGTATCTCTTCGAGTGTAGGACCGCAAACCAGATGGGTTGGCAATTCCTCGAATAGTTCCAGTTCTTTGGTCTTGAGCTGTCTATTGTTGAATGGTTCATTAGCGAGTCTTTACCGATAATGACGCGATTTTTGGGACCTTCTCGTACATGATGTCTTCAATAACATGATTTTCACTTGGACTCAGCACAATTTCGAGGATTTCGTCTCGGATCAGCGCCACCATCATGCGCACGCGGAGAAGCGTGCTTGAGTGGAACCGACCATCCATGCCCCATCCATCAGGACCGAGGAGATGAAGCTGTCTTTCGAAAGTTTCCTTATCTAGTGGTAGTGTAGTATCGTCCAAATCTAATGGTAATTTTAAAGCGCAAAATCTTTGTGTCAGTAGAGGCGGCCGTCCGACGAAAGTGGCTAGAAATTTATCCACTATGAAAACTTGACATCCAACACGTCGACGGACCTCCATTGGTAGTGTCGACTTAGATGAAGCTGTTAGGGAATCCCTGGCTCGACTGTCATGGAAGCCCGAGAACGTCAACATTGCGACTGTTTCGGCGTGGAAATTCCAATACGGAAGACCTAGGTTGAGTTAGATTTGAGCTTTGGCAATCGAACTGCTTCATAGAGAAGAGCAGTCCTTGATACTCAAGAGACGCTTGCGACCTAATGTGAGAGATACACTTACTAGTTTCGCCATGCATGCATGCGTGAAGCATGGAGCGTCTATACAATAAGAGCAGCATGAGGGATCCAGAACTACCCCCCATTTTGGCGAGAGTGATGCAAGACGAGCAGTACTCTGTATAGTGGCCAATAAACCTTCTCGACTCCGCGCTTGTCGAAGCAGGAAGTCCGCCGAGAGCCGTATAGAGGAACATCATCCCAACTGCCTCCCAGCGCAAGTTCGGTCCCGAAAAGCTTTCGATCCAAGCCAGAGGGTCGTCTTGATCTTCTTCAATGCTTTTCCTTGTGTTGATACAAATCATACTTCCCAGCTCACGTAGCTTAACTATGTTTCCCCGGTCACGGAGGTAGAGGCCAAACGTCTCCCAGACGCTCACAACCAGTCTTTCGGCTATGATTCTCATCCATTCATTATTTAGATTGGTATGGGAATTCAATGGGGTTACGGAAGGCTTTTCTGGAATTGCTTGTAAGACTCTAACGGCCAGGTCACTCGCTCCTTGGTCCATTTTCACCATGGTTTGTATATCGCCTAGAGACGGGAGGATTGAATCTGCCGGCGAGGATGGCAGCACCACCTCGGTTCCAACTGAAGGGTCTCGCGTGGCCAAATGAATCTCGGTCTCGAAGTAGGCTGCTGGGAAGCTCGTCGGGGCAAAGAACCCCTGCGGTGCTCGAGCTGCTGGAGAGCTCCATATTCCGTCCTCAGGACCAACATGCCTCTTGGATTGGAAAGAAGCTTCTGTGGACCTGGACTCCAGCCCCGATGTTCCATTTAATGGTTGGTGAGAAATGGCGAATTCAGCAGACCGTGCATCCTGATCTGGCGGAGCGTAATAGCAAGTTGATTCGCCGTTAGGTCGCCTCCTACATCGGCGACAAACGGGATAGCCATGGTCGCATGCCACTTTCCGTCGACGGCATGGCTCGCACGCTTGTGTTTTGCCATTTCGCCGTGTAACAAGGGGGCTGACCATAGTCATGAGTATAGGCAGCGGTTTGTTGCAAACAGCGGTGAAAGCAAATTTGGCGTATTGGGTTGGAATGAGCCTCCTTCATTGTTTGTCGTCGATTGTTCTTCGATCTTGTGTTGAGGTTGGGGAAGAGAGACCTAGGATTGATTATGTAAGTTATGATCCTAGACTACCTAAGTACCTCTTTAACCTAGAGGACATTTTATGGAGGTTTCCGAACCCCATGACATGCTAGTAGAGCGCCACCATTCCGCCGTTTTTAGTGCTTTCGAAGGCATAGGTAGTATTTCAGAATCTCAAAGGCTTTGCCAAAGTCGTGGCTGAGTTGTAAATACATCACTGCAGTATAAAAACTTATTGAAAACGATGGCCACAATCAACAGCACTTGCCTACAGCAGCCCCAAGCGCTCCAATTTCTGCTTTCTTTACAGGGAGACAATGCAACTGTCTTGTCTCGTCCAGTAGCGTTGCTGGCTTTGAAGCAGACACTGATGTCGCGTATCGAGAACTAACTTCACTGCTTTTCTTTCATCTCGGGTTCGACTGAGAGTGCACACCTGGGTACCGTCAAATAAGGCTCCCAATCTAATTATTGAGGTTATTTCCAAGTAGTTCTGAAGCATCAGATTACCACAGTGCCGCTTGTATCACCGATTGCGGATATTCGCAAGTTGGCTGACTTGGCACTAAATGCGTCCCGGTTCTACCCACTTCTTAAAGCCCTGCATGATAGAGCTTGTTAATATGCGAGAAGCTCTTCGCTTGGGGGTTTCATATTGTATATCTGCAGCACTTATTGACAGGTATAGAATGGTAGATGATAGCGTCGGTTGATTGACTCCGTGCCGCTTAATTTGCTAATGCTTGCACCTCATGTGCTGATTAATGCTGGCGCAACATCTCCCAATCGGAATGATTGCAGAGACATGTTATAGATGCATTGAATCCGTAAAGCTTTTGAGACCTCGTGAATTATCGCGGAGCATGTTCTCTTGATGTCAATTCGTCCTAGCTCGGGTATGGCCATTCAAGTGACTGCAAGCGAGCTACTTTTGCACGGCTCTTAATTGGGCATGTGGCTATTCGCTCATTGACGACTTCATGCCAGATGTTGCCCCATTGCAAATCAGTCCTAGTAAGGATCACACTACGGAAAGAGGACTCTATTGAGATATCTTCCGTCATCTATGATGTTTAATCGTAACTATTCAGATTGAATAAGAGCTGCATTGCTTGGCAAGGGTGAACGAATATGTTCGTTGGCGAGGCCGAATCCGCTCTTTTCTGGACTATAAATGTCCAGGTAGCACCAATTCAATCCGTCCTATCTCCTTCTTCCTCACATCTTGCTCCTTTTAGTGTATCTTTTTGTATTCTTTGTAGACATTGTGCCAATTGAGTCCGTATTCTTGGTCACAATGTATCGAGTACTCACAGCCCTTTCTTTCGCTAGCGCCGTGGTTGGCCAACAAAGTAAATAGACTTATTGGAATCCAGAGTCAAGTAACTAACAGAGAACAGTCGGTACCAACACCGCTGAGAAGCACCCTTCAATGCCTATTCAGTCATGCTCAGCCTCTGGATGCACAACTGAGCAGACTTCTGTCGTCCTTGACGCGAATTGGCGATGGACTCATGTGACAGACGGCTATACCAACTGCTACACAGGAAACAAGTGGAACGCAACGGCTTGCCCCGATGGAAAGACATGTGCTCAGAACTGTGCTATTGACGGTGCTGATTATTCTGGCACGTACGGAGTTTCTACCCCTTCTTCAGGAGCATTGAAGCTGCAGTTCGTGACTAAGAACACGGACGGTACAAATGTCGGCTCTCGTCTGTATCTCATGGCCAGTGACGAGAAGTACAGAATGTTCAATCTCTTGAACAAGGAGTTCACCTTCGATGTTGATGTTAGCAACCTACCTTGCGGACTCAATGGTGCTGTATACTTCTCCGAGATGGACGAGGACGGTGGCCTGTCAAAGTTCGACACGAACAAAGCTGGAGCCAAGTATGGCACTGGATATTGCGACTCTCAGTGTCCTCAGGATATCAAGTTCATCAATGGAGAGGTTGGTCATAGCTTTCTACAGCTTCACTTGATTTCTAACAACAATCATAGGCTAATGTTGAGGGATGGTCGGGAGCTGATAGTGATCCGAATTCTGGGTCTGGCGGATTCGGCTCTTGCTGCGCTGAGATGGACATCTGGGAGGCTAATCTAGATGCCACCGCATATACTCCTCATCCTTGCAAGGTGAATGAGCAAACTCGCTGTGAGAGCGAAGCAGACTGCGGATCCGGTGATAATAGGTACGGGGGAATGTGTGATAAGGATGGCTGCGACTTCAACAGCTACCGTATGGGTGTACAGGACTTCTACGGAACGGGCATGACAGTTGATACTAGCAAGGCTTTCACCATCGTCACTCAGTTCGTCACCGACGATGGTACTGATGCTGGAAATCTGAAGCAAATCAACAGGTTCTACGTGCAGGGCGGAAAGGTCATTCCTAATTCTGAGGTTACGGTGGAGGGTATCGACCCAGTAAACCATATCAGTGAGGACTTCTGCGACCAGCAGAAGACCACATTTGGGGACAACAATTATTTCAAGGCCGTCGGCGGTCTTTCGGGCATGGGCAAGTCTTTGACGAAGATGGTTCTCGTCCTGAGCGTCTGGGACGATCAGTAAGTTGGCTTCTCTTGAGCTTCTAATCACTATGACTAACGAGCAAACAGTGCCGTCTCGATGAACTGGCTGGACAGCACGTTCCCTGTCGATTCCGACAAGAGCAAGCCCGGTGTGGCCCGTGGTCGCTGTGACCCTGAGGCTGGTGACCCGGCAACGGTTGAGAAAGCCCATCCTGATGCTTCTGTCGTCTACTCAAACATTAAGGTAAGTTATGAACATCTGGACATGAGAAAACAATCAAGGCTTTAAATTCTAACACGCTATTCAGATTGGCTCGCTCAACTCGACGTTCACTGCTACATGAAGGAAAGATTTAGAGGTAGTCCCACGGTGAAGCGCTGGCTTCGACATTTGATTAGACTCATTATCGTAAGTACATATTGCTTCAGTTGTAAGACATGAAATAGTTACTCCCAAGCAGTATAAAACATATGAGGTCCATTCTGTTACTGACTTGAAGGGGGTTTTCCTGTGACACAAACGACTTGTTCAATGTAGAGTAATGTTTGAAAGCCTCAATGCATTCGGAAACTTCCTGGCAAATAGGCGTATCAAAGCCTCATCCAAATGGCTATAAATCTGCTTAAGTATAGAGATAACGTCCTGATAGAAAATAACGAATTGAATTGCTCATGCGGGGGGAGCGCAAGGTGTCATAGCTCGACTGGACAGGCAATACCTCACTGCAACCAGACACTTCACCCGCTACACAAGTTCTGAGTCATGTAGATCTATGTGTCTGGCATCGCTGAAACTAGTGTTGTTAGCCCTACGGATGCTCCCGGGCGTTGCGGATAGACGCTGGAGATTTATTGACCAAGCGAGCCAAGTTGAGCTGGAAGCTGGAAGCCTGGATTGACACAAGAAGCACGAAGCCGGCGCAGTGTCTGGATAGATCGGCGCGATATCTTTTCATCAGTCGGCCAATCGTTAGCATTTGATACTGAGACATGCGTCGACGGCCATGTAAGGTGACCACCCTGACTGACAGCGAATCACACGTGGGGAAAGCTGGTAGAAATGATGCTAGCCAGCGCATCAAAAGGCGGGAGAAAAAGTTAGGCGCGGAGAGAGACAAGTGAAGTGAAGTGTGAGGGACCAGCCACCCCTCGCCACTTTTTTTTTTTTAAGTTGCGGTCGGTGCGGAGCGGAGCGAGCGTCGTTGCGTTGCCAGACCGCCCCAAGTTACGGTAAGGTAAGCGTCGTCTGCTGCGGCTGACAAGCGACTAATTTACCCCAGCAATAAACAATAACACAGATCAATTAATGCGATTTCGAGCCCAAAGCACCTCACGATCACCTCCAAACACCCGTATCACTGAGGAGCACAACCCCCGATGCTAGCGACAGCAGCACGCTCGAATAGCTGTCAAGATGATGAGCGATCATCGCCGTCGCCGGAGCCCAGAAAGCTCCCGGCGCAGGCGTAAGGCTCGGCGTGATTCTCGGGAGCAGCTCGCGGCAGAGGCCGTTGTCTCTGGAATGTCTCTGCCGGACCCAAATGCATACCAGCCCGAGCCGACAACAATGCGACACGATCCCTCTATTGCAGCTAGATCGCGCAAGTACTCCAGCTCAGACTTGTCGTCCTCGAGTTCCTCATACCTGGACATCTCCAGGCGATACCCCAAAAACAAACGATATGGAGGAATACTCAAGAGCTTCTTCTCGACTCCCTCCGAACACAAACACCATTACCGACGCAAGAAGAAGCGGAGAATATTTGGATTTGGAAACTCCTCATCCTCGTGCGTAGATGTCTTGTGTTGGATTGTTTACGCGACAGAGCTGGACTGACAAAGACTACAGGAGCGTTAACTCCGACCTAGCTTACGGTACCGGCTTCATTAAGAAATCTAAGAGTCGCGGTGCACTCAGCCCGCAGGAAACGATCCATGGACCGGCTTACACCGATGGACGGCGTGCGCAGCCGAAACGCGAAAAGACCGATGAGGAAATCATGGAAATCGGCCGGAAGTTGGCCCAGATCGCCAGAGATCAAAATGCCCAAGACCTGGCTGCGATGGGCAGACGTAAGCCCACCTCGTTTGAGGCTACCGTCACTGGCTTCGATAAATTCAGGCGGCAAAATACTGGCGACTCGGTGAGTCGTGGTATTGGTCCCTCAAGACCCCACGGCGAATCCTCCCCGGACGACAGCGAGTGGGAGTCTGCTTCAGAAGATGAATATAGTGATGATGTGGACTCTGGCCTGGCTTACGGCGCGTCTGCCTCGGCCTTGTCACTGATTGCGAATAAGCCGAGCAAGACAAGCAAGCCATCACAGGTCCCCTTTCAGAAGCCGCCCGAGGAGATTCGGCCACCTGACCGGAAGAGCTCCGTAGTGGACCCAAAGATGTTTGGCCCAGTGAACTCTCTGAGAGGCTATGTCCAGACTCCTTGCGGGTTTGATAAAAATCAGCCGCAACCGCCTATGCCAAACAAGCGCTATTCCGCACCCGTTGGGCCGATCACGCCGATCGATAGTGCATCAATCGAGGCAAGACCGATGCAAACGGTGTATGCCGTGCCAACGTCTGATCCCAGGATAATGGGCGTGACCCATGGTTCTGTTGCATCCTCTCGGCCCGATCCAGTACCCATTCAAGCTCCAAAACCTATTGCGCCGGTTCCTCAGCGATTGTATCAGGAGGACAGGATCAAGGATCTGGACCGACGGGAATCGAAATCTTCTCGTCGACAATCAGATGGTAAGTCTTTAGCTGAGACCGCCGCAGTAGGAGCTGCAGGTGTGGCTGCGGGTATGGCGATCATGTCCGATCGCAAGGACAAGCGTGATGACCGGTCGGATCGTGACCCAGAACGCCGTGACCGGGAGCGCGAAAAAGAGAAACGTCGTCAACGCGAGCTTGAACTCGAACGAGAGATTGCGAGACGCGAAGCCGAGCTGCGCGAACGTGAAGAGCGCTATGCGCGGGAGAAAGAACATCGCCGGTCAAAGCGTGATAGCAACGTCAAAATCATCGACGAGAGGGACCAGAAACGGTCCAGCCGTGATGATCGACGGGATGATCGCTCCGACAAGCGCTCTGAAACGGACAAGCGTTCCGACAAGAGAGACGCTGATGTCGAGGTTGAGTATGAGCGTGAGAAACGCCGGCAGCGTGAGCGCGAACGTGAGAAGAAACGGGATGAGCCGACTAATGGCCATGACCGTGACAAACGGCGCATCAAGGATGACCGCAAAGACGACCACAGAGAGAGTCGCAAAGAAGAGCGTCAAGACGCCAGAAGAGTTAGTCAGCCTAGCGAGCCGCCTGCCTTGGATTATCGCCGCGTTGAAGACCCGAACCTCCCCGCAAGTAAAGCTCCTATTGACCCATTCCAGTTCCAGGTTGATGATGACGCCTTCCAAACGCCACTCTACTCCTCTACTCCCATGCGGCCTTTGACACCGGCAATCGTCACCGTCGAACGTGAACCAGACTTCTCAAAGTTCGACGACAGGTCAATTGACGGTGGGAGAATGAGTAGAAGAGACTCTTTCGAGGAGGAGATGCGCGATGCCAAGCACATCTACGATGAGACCTCGCATTCGACAGCACCCATCGACCCTGCAGCCATGGCTGCGGCAGTAGCCGTTGTCGAGCGCGAGCAGCGTGAGCACAAACGCGGTCGTGACCCGGAACCCAGATCACCAAAGGACCCATCGCAGAGGGAGGATGCTCAGGCGGAAGCCGATCGGTACTATGCTGAACTCCGAACAGCGCGGAGACTTGCTGAAGAGAAGATCCGCTCTCGGAGCAATTCTCCAGACGTCACTGACAAGTACAACAAGGATGAACCGGAGGAACCCATCATCCGCATTGTGACGCCGCCTGAGATGGACCACAAGGAGAAGAAGACCAGCAAGTACGATGGGCCAAACGCCGATGTCCGTATCGACAACATCATCGTTCCCAAGGAGCTTTCCAAGTTCAAGGCTCCTATTACATCACCAGACGACACTCATCTACCAGTTGTGGTCTTCAAATCTCGCGATCCTTCTGCCGAGCGCGAGCGACCATTGCTAAACCTCGTCCTCCCAACTCCAGTTCCCACGCCAACACCTGAGAAGCAAAGAAAAGCCCACATTGTGGTCAGCCCTGAACCAGAAAAGGAGTCTGTCTCGAAGGAGCCGGAGCCAGAGAGGAAGCGAGCTCGTGATATTAGTATTGGCCCAAGAGGCGAGATCATCGAGAATGATTCGCCATCTACCCCTAAATCTGTTTCTTGGGGAAAAAATGAAACCAAGCGCTATTATCCCGAATCTCCCGAGCACTCGCGGGAACGATCAGCGGACGAGCAGGAGCCTAAGGTTGTCGAAGTAGCCAAGTCGCCTAGACCTGCTAAAAAGAGCAGCGGCTGGGGCATAATTACGGCAGCTATCGTCGGTGTTGGTGGTGCAGCAGCCGCCGCCAGTGATGATGAGCCAAAGAAGGAGGCATCAGACCTTGAGAAGGAGAAGCCCAAGCCCGTCGACCCCGAACAACAAGGCTCTCCTAAGCAGCGTACTGTTCTGCCAAAGGGGACAACCCCGAGAAATCTGGATGAGGAAGAGCGTGACATTCCTCCAGCACCAGGGCCGAAGCCGGCCAGCCCCCGAAGCTCGCAGATGCCGGGTGCTTTTGCTGATGACTTGGACTTTGCGGCAAGATTGGCCGGTGGACTACAACAGTCTGGATTTGATCCCAATATTGTCATCGACGATGCTACGTACCGCCGTCGAGACTCACCTCCTGGCTCGAATGATGATTATCCTCTGTACAAGCAACCGTTTGCCGAGACGGTGACCGACCTTGGAGTCCATGGAGCTGACGGCTCTATGGTGTCGAAGTCTGCATCTGAGCCCGGCTTCATTCCGAGGGAGGCTGCTGATTCTCCTACTAGAGACAAAGATATGTCGGTGGATGACATTGATATCCCTTCAAAATCCAGCAAGAAGGAGCGAAGAAAGCAGGAGAAGGCATCACGTAGGCGCTCTGGTGACGATTACAAAGACATCGAAGTAATCGAGGAACCGGAGGAAGAGCCAAAGGCCATCCCCGAATCTGAGCCTGTCTTTGAGCCGGTAAAGCTCAGTAAGAAAGAGCAGAGAAAGAAAGACAAGGCTGCGAAAGCTGCGCAATGGGCGGACGAGGAAGAGCCTGCTTTGACCCAGGAACCTGAGCCCATCGAGCCCAGCAATGTTGCTGAGGACGAATGGGCTGAGACTCCATCGAAGAAGTCCAAGAAATCCAAGAAGTCGAAGAGGTCAAGCTCGAACTGGGAGGACGAGGAGGCGACGCCCACTGACGACCGGCGCATTTCTGTACCGGTTGACGCCTTCAAGGACCTCCAAGATGACAAGACTGCCAATGCGGACGAGGAATGGGACACGCCGAAGAAGTCTAAGAAGAAGTCTAAGCGTGATTCCGCGGCATACGACTCACCATCTCGATCAGAGTCTATTGCTCCATCAGAGGCTTCTACCGGAAGTTCGAGGGACAAGTCCAAGAAGAGTAGCCGGCGGAAGAGTGGACAGGATTACGAGAGCTCGTCCAAGGGCTACGATATACCTGAAGATGAGCCACCCGACAGACGAGACAGAAAGCGCGACTCGTATAAACCAATCGACCGTGATGTCAGCTCTGTAGTCTCAGACCCTGCTGCAAGATATGATCGCTTTGACAGCAGGTCAGTGGCTAGCCGAGATGATGACGAACTGGGATCCGTTGTTTCTGCTCCTACTGGCTCTGAACCGCGAAGGAAGAGCAGCAAATCTGAGAAGAGGAGCAGTAAAGAAGAGAAGCGAAGTAGTGGCAGCTTCTTTGGCCTATTCGGCAAATCAAACGGCACTGAGGAGAAGGAAAAGGAAATCTCCAAGTCATCAAAGGACGGTAAGAAGGAGCAGTCTTTTTTAGATAATGCCGGCACTCTTGGCGCGGGTGCCGGCTTAGCGGGAGCCGTTGCCGCATACCTCTCTCGTTCTAACGCCACCGACGCTCCGTCGGAAAAGGAGACGTCTGATATTGATCTCGAACCCGCGCAAAAGCAGACCTCAAGCCGGGAAGTCGAGATCCTTGATCCTGAGATTGTTCACAGGGTCATCAAACCTGCTATTGACCCTCAGTATGGAGACCTATTACCACTCCCGCCCAGCGAGCCTGGCTCACCGCACTGGGAGTCGGAAGACCTTCCTGCATTGCCGGACAGTCGACCCAACACTCCCCCGGAGCAAGAAAGGGCCTTGCTCCGCGACAAGCTTCACACACATGTGAGAAGACGAAGTGCTTATGAGACGCCTATCAAGTCTCCAAGTCATACAGCTATACCGATCCAATTCCGCATTGGCCAGCGCTCTGTGCCATCGTCTCCTGGCATCATACGCTCCTCTCCCATCCCTTCAATGCCTTCGCCTTCCACTCCTACAATTGAGCTAGGTAGTGCACCTCCGAAGCGACTATCTCGACCGACGTCCTGGGACAGCAGCAGAGAAATTAAGCCTCTCTATCTCCTAGAGCAGGCAGGCCGTTCCAGTTCTCATGTCACGGACGATGACTTTGACTCTACAGACTTACCGCCGCTACCGCCGTCTAGAGAATCTCCAGGACCCGAGTACGAGGTCAAGCAGGAAGACGTAGAGTACTTCCGTCTCAACCCGTCTGAGCGGGACGTGCCTCCTCTGCACGTCGACACGTCTGTCCGCGATGCAACGCATCCTGACGATCAACTGGGATCTCAGGACTCGACTCCAAAGGCGGAGCAAGCACCGCCATTTGAACAGCCACTTGAGCAACACAATCTCGGTAGCGAGTCTGAAGATGCCTTTGAGGACGCAGAAGAACATATACAGCGCTCCATATCCCCAAGCCCCACTCCTCATGAGCCCATTACCGATGACCTTCCAACTCTCCCACGGATGCATGACGAAATTGAGCGACCATGGGATGATATCACTGAGGGTCATCATACGCCTGCCCCGGTTGATCCTGTCTCTAAGGATCGCAGTTCATACTTACTACGCTCCACTCCTCGATCTGCTGAAGGCGACATCATTGAGCGATCTTCGCCACCTTCACCATCTCCAAAAGCGGTAGTTGAGCCAAAGTTTAATCATGATGATCTTGCTTTAGGCACCGCACTTGGCGTTGCAGCTGGTGGACTCGTCACAGCCGCTATGCTACACAGCGACGATGCTACAAGCCAAGGTACCTCAACTCCGGTTCAAGCCTCACGAGACACCGAAATCAGCAAGGACTTGTCTTCGACACCAGGAGACCATCCGCCTGCGCAGATAGACTCTCGGGCGGGTAAAGACTTGGACCTACCTTCAGAGAACCTCGCTTCTGCGGAGACGTCTGACTACGTTGGCGGTGCGGAGTCTGAAGCTCAGGAATTCAGCTTTGTCCCGTCCAAGAAAGGCAAAAAGGGCAAGAAGGGTCGCAGAAATTTGATTGAGGAAGACGGGCCGTTGGCTTTAGCCAAGTCTGAAGTCTTGAGCGAACCATTCACCGCTAACATTAAGGAGACTCCACCTTCTGAGGCGACGATGGATGAATGGGCATTTCCTACGACTTCCAAGAAAGGCAAGAAAAAGAAGAAATCTCAATTTGAGTCATGGGAGCCCGAGTTTGATGGCCCTCAAATTCAAGACGCACCACAGGCTATTGATGATCTCCCGGCTGCTGAATCTCTTCCGAGCGATGTCCAGGAGTCAACCCAGGAACAGAACTTGCGAGAGACACCTCTGCTCGAACGTTCGTCAAGCGCCTCAAAGAAGGGGAAGAAGAAGGGCAAAAGATTTAGCGCCTGGGAGCTCGAAGAACCAAGTCAACATGAGCCCCTCAGTCAGCCAAACATCGAAGATGTGCCTCTCGTCACTACGGAAGTCGGGCAGCCATCTACAAAAGACAACATCGACTTGTCTGCTACAATCCGTGAGGCTTCTCCCATCACCGAGGATTTTTCTCTCTCCCTGAGCAAGAAGGATAAGAAAAAGAAGAAGGGGAAGAAAGCTCAAGCTTGGGAGCCTGAGGACGATGGCTTTCAAGCACCTGCCCGTGGCATTAGTTCTGAACCTAGCAGAGATATTGTGGACGTGCCATTGTCTACTTCAGGTACCGGGGAAGCATCCCGGGACATTGATCTGGGTCCGGACCAGCTCTCCCGATCTCATGAAGCGGTGAAGAGCGGTGAATCGGAAATAGAAAACTTACCAACCTCCACCAAAGCCACCCCTGCTGGTGGCCCCGGCGCCTGGGTGCCCACGCCCGCCACCGCCGGATCTCAGCCTGGCGAGACGGGCTATTTTCCTTCGGCTCCCACGGTCCATAGACCTTCTGTCAGTGAAGGATCTCAAGTGGACGAAAAGAAGGGCTATTTCCCCTCGGCTCTGTCCATGCTCCCGATCACGGCACCGCTTGCTGCTGTCGGGTCCTTGTTTAGCAGAGGCAAGCGCGACAAGAAGGACAGCGAATCTGGCGATATTGACAGCGAGGACGTCACGGAGCAGCCAGGTGTCCCAAATACGCTGGACGAGTCACAAAGAGCCCCGGTGCAAACAATCCATTCGAGCGATCAGTTGAGCTCTTCACCAACCGCCAATGTATTGGTGGAGCCGAGTGGGGCCAGCGCTGACATGGCGCTCCGTGACGGCTTAAGCGAGGACAAATCACTGGGAGACACACCATCAAGCGCTGTGGACACCACTGATTTGCTGCCCGATGCGCTGCCTACAGCGCCTGAAGCCACTGAACTCTCGGTTGCTGAGCACCAGCCTCCCCAGCCTATTTCTTCTGAGAGCGCTGTCTACGAGCAACGAACTGCGTCCCCAACGCCTCGTGACATTCAGTTTGACGATATCCTGCCCATTCCAAGCGGCGAGGATGAGAGCAGCATGGAACCAATAATCGAAGAACCCAGTAATGTGGCTGACGACAAGCCAATAAGCACTGTTGACTGGGAGCAGGAAACCGGAAGCAGGAAGAAGGGCAAGAAAGGCAAAAAGAAGAGACAGAGCTTACAGGATGTCTCTCAGTCGCCCACCATTCAGGAAGCTGGTCTGCCTGCTACCGACCCCGATCTTGCTCGAGATGAGCCGTCTTCGATTGTAACGGATGACCTCAGGTCTCTTCCTATCGCTGACCCTGCTGTGGATATCTGGCCCTCAGATCAAGCTGAGACAGATACTTTCACACCAAGCAAGGCTAGCAAGAAGTCTTTAAAGAAGAGTAAAAAGCGAATGGACTCAGTCCAGCTTGTTCCTTGGGAAGATGACGTACCTCAAAATGTCGAGGATGAATCGAAGGGCGAAGACATCGCCCCCGAGACCTTAGAATCTTTGGACTCCGAAGTTACTCGGGCCACTGCTGAAGGAAGCTCCCAGGAACTACCAGGCACGTCACCGTCAAGCAAGAAATCCAAGAAGGAGAAGAAACGGCTCCGTGCATCGCGGACTCTCTCTTGGAGCGATGACATGGTCACAGACAGCGCGGATGATCCAAGTACACGCGCAGCATCGGTGGACACGGAGAATCTCAACTGGGACGACCTCAAACCAAGTCGACTTACTGTCTTCAGTGACGTCGGCGTGAATGACGAGGAACAGTCGGAAGCTGACTGGGATACTCCACGGAAGGGCAAAAAGGGGAAGCAAAAGCAAGAGACTTCACAACAGGCTGCCGACGACAGTGCCGCATTGAGTGAGTCCGTGCAATCTGAACAAATTTCTAAGGAGTCTGCTGGAGACAGTGCAGCTCAAGACACCGAGTCTCAGGGCCTTGATGATTTCCAGTTCACGTCGAAAAAGGGGAAATCAAGCAAGAAGAAGAAGCGACAAAGTGTAACATGGGCTGATTCAAGAGAGGAAAGCCCTCTTGGAACTTCCAGATTGGCTACGCAGGACCTACCCGCGCAGGAGGTTAGGGAGTTGTCACCGATCTCCCCTGTCCGAAAGGATGTCCTGTTCCCGGAAGTTGAGAGCAATCAGACTGCCACTCAAGCGGTGGCCAAGGACACTTTAGAGCATGAACTGAGCTCTACACTGCCTCCCGTTGTGTCTGTTACAGAGTCAGTACCGGCCATGCCAGAAATCTCGACAGAGTTGAGCCAGCAAGAGCCTCTGCAAGTGTCGGAACCAATTGAGGCTCCAATAGAGTCCCGCGAGATCCCGGCTCTCCATGATGTCCAAGAGCCAATTGCTTTGCCTGCAACTCCTGAGACCGATACAAAGACGGCCCTTACCATTTCTGATCCTGAACATGAGCTAAAGAACGTTCCGATTGAGGAAGAGTTGCAGCAAGAGCCTGCTAAATCAGCAGCTGAAACAAGCAATGTGCTTGAAACCCCCCCGACAGTTGAGGCTGTTGCCGCTGAGAACATCCAAAGTTCCTCTAAAGAGATTCCTCGTGATCCCGAAGCATCTACTGCCATTGCTGAGGACGAATTCCCCATGACCACCAAGAAATCTAAGAAGGACAAGAAGAAGCGCAAGAGCAAGACTCAGGATGAGCTCGAGGAAACATCACAGGATACTGGCAAGGATCAAATGGGCGAGTCCACAGCAGGGGAAAATATAGCCAAGGAGCTAGTTGCAGCTCCTGTGCTCGAAGAGGTCTCATACGCGACTAGACCGGCTGACCTCGAACCGGAATCCTTGCCAAAGGAACTTGAAGAGGAGCCTGCTGAAACCTTTGTGCTCAAGAAGTCAAAGAAGGAAAAGAAGAAACGCAAGAGCAAGGTTCAGGATGACTTCGACTCTCTTTCAGGGGCGACAACACCAGTTACACAACCGGTGTTGGGTGATGATGCTCCTGTTGCGTCACCGGATGTTCCTTTGGAACCTCAAGAGGAGAACATCGCATCAAACTTGACACCCGAGCTTGACCTTGGCTCTCAGCAGGAAGCCCCTGTCGATGACGATTTTTCGTGGGCATCGACGACTAAGAAATCGAAGAAGGACAAGAAGAAAGGCAAAGGCAAGAGCTGGGACGAATTTGAGCCTCCAACTGAGACAGCATTGCCCACAGAAGACACTAGTACACAACTAGAGCCTAGCCAGGCTTTGGCAGAGTCGAAGGAATTAGATACAGCGAGTCAAGAGGCCGCTTCACAGACGAAGGACATCAGTGAGCCGACCCAAGACGAGAATGCCCCCACAATCTTGGCTTCTCAATCAGATCAACCAACGGAACAAGATCCGGTTGTGGACGATGAGTTTTCCTGGGCACCCACGATGAAAACGTCCAAGAAGGACAAGAAGAAACGCAAGAGCAAAATCCAGGACGACTTTGAGTCTGTTTCTGGCACGGTGACACCGTTACCAGAGGAATCGAGGACGCTTGATGTGCCATTTGATAATTCAAGTCCTCAGCAGCCGTCTCTTGAACAGATATCCCTCGGCTCGGATATTTTGACTGAAGAGCCGCAACAACTTTCAACGGAGCCCGACACAATCGTCGAAGATGAGCCTTCCGACTTCTTTGTTACGAAGAAGTCGAAGAAAGACAAGAAAAAGAAGTCTCTGTCTCTTGACGTTGGCGCTTCCGAGGACTCGCCTGCTGAGACCAGTAAGGCTGACGAGAGTGTCGCATCTCTAACTCAGTCGCGGGAAGAGCCATCCACAACCATTGCCGAGCAAGCCAAAGATGATGATTGGGCAAGCTTCTCTACCCTAAAGAAGTCCAAAAAGGATAAGAAAAAGAAGCGTGCCTCGGTCTCCTGGGCCGAGCCAGAGACTGAGAGCGGAAGCCAAACGCCTGCTGTGGACGAGTTGCCTGAAGCCTCCAGAGCCATTGAGGACATCACAATTCCTGCGGAGCTTGTCGAAGACAAGACAATCCAACTGGATGACTTGAAACCAGAAGACATTGAGCCTCCTTCAACTTCGACCGATTCTCTATCGAAATCAGAGCTAGAGAGTAAGGTAGACGATGGGGATGACACTTTGATTGTTGCCGGTGGCACGATACCAGAGCGGCCAATACCTTTGCCTGAGTTGGAGGCGAAAGTGGACGATCTTGCAGATACCACAATTGTTGCGGGTGGATCCCTACCGGAACAGCATGAACTCAGGCCCTCTACGGTCGAGCACCTTCAACACGAGCAGAGCGATTTCCCACCTGTCACCGAGGATCTCACGCTGAAGACTGCTGTTCCAGTACCTGCAAGCGTCATCTCTGACGAGCCGAAGCCCAGCAACGAGGCTAAGGAGCCTTCAGAACCTCAGACAGCCCATGATGATGACTTGTCAAAGGATCTAGCAAGCCCTTCAAATATTGAAGAGCCCTTTGTCACGCCTAGCGAATTTGTCCCTGTCATGACCGAGGAATCAGAATCAACGGACGTAACGCCTTTAAAGGCTGAAGGGCAAGAACCTGAGGGAGTTTCTGAATTCTTCACTACCAAGAAATCCAAGAGGGACAAGAAAAAGAAACGAGCCAGCCAAGTGCAGGACTTTGAGTCTCAGCCGTCATCTTTGCCCGAAACGCCCTTTGAGACACCATTCGAAGACTCACGCCAACTAAGCCTTGGTCAAGAGGAGCCCACACCAATGGCTGACGAGGAGGTCAAAGATGTCAGGGCCGTCGCCGAGGAGGGTTACTTTGAGCCCCTGCCGGGTAAAAAGTCCAAGAAAGACAAGAAGAAGGCGAAGAAGATGTCTCCGAGTGCCTTTGACTCCGATGCAGTCCCGAACTCCACGACTGAGGAGCCCGAGGCTATAGTCACTTCAGACACCCAAGCGCCATCATCTGAAGGCCAAGACGTCAAGAAAGACGGCCCTACAGCTCTACATGCTCCCGAAAGCCAGGAAGCAACAGCAGATACCAGTTCTAAGGATACAGAGGATGACTTCTTCCCTACCACTAGAAAGATGTCCAAGAAAGACAAGAAGGCTAAGAAGTCGTCCTTCAATCCTTTTGACCCAGAGCCGTCGTCCGTCACATCCTTGGAGAATGTCGAAGCTATTGCTACTCAAGAGACAGAAGAGCCATCATCCAAGACCCAGGAAGCAGCAGAGATTGCCCCTGAAACTCCGGAAAATCAACTATCCATCGATATTGAGGCTGACACAGTACCTACCAGCTCGAAGGAAGTCGAAGAGGACTTATTTCCCATCACAAGAAAAGCGTCCAAGAAAGACAAGAAGAAGGCAAAGAAGCTTGCTCAGCAATCCTGGGATGAAATAGAATCACCGCAGATTGAAGACCAAAAAGAGCCTGTCGTTCAGGACGAGGTGTCACCACAATGCCAAGTACAGGAGCAGTCAAACGTCGAGAACAAGGATGTATCTTCGGAGCAACAAGTGCATGTAGCCACGCCAGAACCAGAGATGGCAGAGGCACAGGATGCCGAGGATTTCTCGGGGCTCACTCGCAAGAAATCCAAGAAGGACAAGAAAAAGGCCCAGAAGCTTGCCCAGCAGTCCTGGGATGAACCGGAACCAGTTATTCCGGAGAATTTTGACAATCAAGGCACTGCGGCCGGCCATGATAACTTGGTCGCTGAAGAACAGCTGATTGAGGAGAAGCAGCCTGACGCTGTGGGCCCCCTCGAAGCAGAGACAAGCGAGGCAAATAATACAGTCAAGGAAATGGTTTCAGAAACAGAACAGGATTCCCAGCCGACCCTTACCCGGAAAATGTCCAAGAAGGAAAAGAAAAAGGCCCAAAAACTTGCCCAATTCTTGGACGAAACGGAGCCGGCGGCTGTGGATGAAATCTCGTCTACAGACGTTCATGTTGCGGGAACACAACCTATTGCCTTAGAGGGTCAAGCAGCTGATATTTCGCAAGACACACTTCAAACCTTTGAGGAGTCAGTGTCCAAAGAGCCCGGGGTTGAGGACTTCGCGCCAATCACTCGTAAAATGTCTAAGAAAGACAAGAAAAAGACAAAGAAACTAGCCGAGACTTCGTGGGAATCTGAAGACATTCCAATTGAAGAATCAGTGCAAGCCTCGACCGGGCTTAAGGCCGAGGCCGAGTCTATTCCCATCGACAAGGATTTCACTGAAACGACGAGATCTGTACAGCATGACACCTCGAAAGACTTGCCCACGAGCTCTCAGGATATGACCTCGGCCTCCGAAGCTCAAGAGGGGCCCGCCACCGAAGACTGGCCGGTAGTGACGCGAAAACCGCCAAAGAAAGATAAGAAGAAGGCAAAGAAACAAACTCTTTCTTGGGACGAACCGGAGCAAGAGTCGAGCGACGTGCCCGAAGCTTTGCCCAGCGGTGCTCCCGTTGATGACAACCTAACTCAAGAAAGCGGCGAACTTACAATAGACAGTTCTCCACCTGAACAGCGGGACCCGAAGTCCGAGGTAATTGCTGAGCAAGTTGAGCCAGGAATCAGTGCTCCAAAGGAGGCTGAGGCTCAGGACTTCGGCTTCAGTATTTCTCGCAAAACGTCAAAGAAGGACAAGAAACGAAAGGGCTCAAAACAAGCCGATTCCAAAGAACCATCTGGCGCCCAAACGCCTACAGTTCAGGAAGCAACAGACAACGCAACACCGGCTCCCTTCGACACTGATATGCCTCGAGCTGATCCTGGCGTTGAATTCATCGAGCAAAGTGACAATACCGTGGAGCCTGTAGACGTCTTTGCCGACATTCCGAAGAAGTCCAAGAAAGATAAGAAACGTCGCAAGAGCTCTGCCATAGTCGCAGAGCAAACGGAAGCTTCTGATCCGTCAAACGAGTCTGCAGAGCAATCAGTGTCAGAGGCTGTTATGATACAACCTACTGAGGAGGCTGTTACGTCTAAGTTCATGGATCAGGACGCAATCACTACTACAGCTTCCCCGGACATCTGGGATAACGATGATTACTTCAAACCCCGTGCCGCAGAGGAGAAAGATATCCCACCTGCTGAGCCACCTTTCGAGCGCGTGGAGATTCATCCTGTCGTAGCTCGGGAATTGGGTGCTTCTCCTGATAAAGGAATTGGCGCCGCTGTCCCGGAACGACCTCTGGTTGGACTAGGACTGATTCCCCGCCACTCGTCAATTTTTAATGAAAGCGAGGGCTATGCGCCGAAGTTGTTGACCATGACAAGCGATACCCCGTCAACAGAGGCTCGGGACACCCCAAGATTCCAGTCCCCAGACGTTATCACTCAGACAGGCAGCCCTGAAGCATTGAAAGTGGGCGATGTGGATTTGACCCCAGCTCAGCATCGTAGCAGCATCTCACATGAGCCGCCATTTGACGCCTCAGGGCCCGACAAGAGGGTCAAGACGAGAGAGGCCGACAATATAGCTTTACCAGAGCAGTCAAGGCCATTGCCGCCAAACGACACAGCCCCCGTCCATGAGTCTGGTCTGTCCTCCCGTGAGATAGCTGCTGAGTTCTTGGAGAAGGGACACGAGACATCTCCAAGCCGCAAAATCGAAAGAGAGGCCGAACGCGTGAAGACAGAAACCGAGGAGGCAAGTCTGACCGCGTCCGAACGGGTATCATCGTCTCTAGACCACGAAACAACCCACAACCAGGAAGCAACATCAGCTCGCGAGATAGCTGCATTATATTTGGAACATGAGCACGACCTGAAGAAAGCGGACAGCCCACGAGCACCATCGCCTGCTGACGACAGTTCAAAGGCTGGTGCTGTTGCTGCTGCTGGGGCACTTACCGGGGGTGTAGCTTTACTGGCCCAAAAATTCGGGGGTAGTAAGAAGGCTAAGGGTAAGAAAAAGAGCAAGTCAAAGTATGTGGATAAGCGTACGCCGCAGGAGGATGACATGTTTGATGACCCCTCGCTATGGGAAGGGGCTGATCGCAAGCCAATGGAGGGTTCGAGGATGGATGCAGATACGGCCACTTTCTGGGACGTTCCTGCAGAGTCTGAGGAAAGAGAAGCACACCAGGAGGTTACGACGAAGGCAAGAGATATTTTGGATGACTCTGAAATTGCAGAGAGTCCTGTGCTCGGCCGTGGTGTAAATGAGGGTGCTATGATCGTTGATAGATCGATCTCGCCCGCACGAAATGTGAGGGGTGACATTCACGATGAATGTGTCTCGACAGACTCTCTTCCAGGAGGCGTGGCAATGGATTTGGACAAGCACGAAGAAAAGGAGGTTCGTACATTACCAACACCCCGCTCCCCAAGCCCACCGCCTCACCAGCCTGAGTCGGTGATGATTGAGGAGCCCGTGTTGAGATCCATCGAACCAGAAGACGACGTATCGTTCGCGGTCTCCACACCTACCATCGACTTCAGCCGCTCCCTCTCAAGAGGATTACCGCCCGTACAAGAAGACCCTGCCGAAGAAGTCGAAGCTGAGAGACATGATTCTGTTATTCGAGAACAACCCCGACGACTCCTCGCTACGCCGGATGTAAACAGAGACAGCGGCTTCATGGCCGAGTCTCCGATTCCTCGACAACGCAGCTACCACGAGGACGGACAGATTCGCGATAGCGGTGTCCATCTGCGCGACTTCCCCGATTCTTCGCCGAGACAAGTCATGCGAGGCTTTAGCCCAGAACCTACAAAGCTATCTCGGTCAAGCGCAGATGTAAGTCATCATCATGACACCCCTAGATCCGAGGAGAAGAAGCCAAAGAAAACCCCCTTGGGCGAGAGCGAATCCCGTCGACAGTTCCGCGCGGGCACGCCTGTACTTCGTGAACCTCCGGAACAGCCCCAGACACCAGAACCGCGAAAGGCGGATACTGACAAGCAGCCACGATCCAAACCAAAGTATCCCGAGCTCAGCCCAGCGGTTTCAGGCGGCGCGGCGCTTGCAGCGGGCGCTGCTGTCGCTGCCGCAGGACAAAGAAGCGTTTCCGATAATACCAGCACCAGCCAGCGAGCATCTCCCCAGCCTCACAGTTTCGCCCGGCGATCAGCATCCAATACCAGCATCTCGCGTATGCGGACACCAGAGCCGCTCAACTTGCGGCCTGATAGTCCAGGCATCATCCGGCACTCAGCCACCCCGCCTCTTAGGCGAGTGGACAAGCGAGTTAGCGGCGACTTGCGATCTCTCAGCCAACGCAGCGAGACCGACCTTGCTCGTTCAGCTCTGTCCGCCTCCAAAACCCCAACCCCAGCAGCCGGGGAAGCGCCCGACCTCACCCGCGCCGCGCAAAACAACACACCCATCGCCAACGAAGGTCGTGTCCGCACCAAGGACATGACCGACGTCTATGTAAGTTTCGGATCTTTCTTCTGTCAATCATTTCGTCTTCTGCAAATTCTGACATTCTCCTCCTAACAGGATGGCTTCGGCGAGGGCCGCATCGGCTCCCCGCGCTCACCGACCAGACCTCACAGCATGCGCCGACGCCAGAGCATGCAGGTTCTCGAGCTCGAATCCAAGGTCGAGCAATTAATAGCAGAAAACCGCCTTCTCAGCGAAGCTCGTGCACAAGCAGAACACCACCTCGGTAACCGTGCTGCCAGCGTATTGGCCGAACGTGATACTGAGATTGATACCCTCAAACAATCAATCGATTTCCTCCGCAAAGAAGTCGAACGGCTGACCGAAGTCAACGAAGGGCTTAGCAGTGCAAATGCCACCATTGCTATACAGCACAATGACAGATACCGACAACTCGAGACGGAGCATGCCGATGCTGCCCGCGAGCTCGCACAAGCGCGAGGCGCCCACGGCAGCTATTCCCAGACACTGCAAGAGAAGGATGCCGAAATCGAGAAGCTCCGCGCGGAGCTCGAGTCAACGAAAGAACAGATCCGCGAGATGCAGCGCCAGATCCTGACACAAAATCCAGTCGACACCGAATTCCTCGACATAAGGGACGTTGACCACTTCGACCATCGTTGTCAACAACTATGTTCACATGTCCAGCAATGGGTTCTGCGCTTCTCCAAGTTCTCCGACATGCGCGCCTGTCGCTTGACAAGTGAGATAAACGACGAAAAGATCATCGATCGACTTGATAATGCGGTCCTCGATGGCTCTGATGTCGATCACTACCTCAATGACCGGGTCAAGCGCCGCGACATCTTCATGTCTATGACCATGACCATGGTATGGGAGTTCGTCTTTACCCGTTACCTCTTCGGCATGGACCGCGAACAAAGACAAAAGTTGAAGTCTTTGGAAAAACTTCTTCTGGAAGTCGGACCTCCACAAGCGGTCCGCCAGTGGCGAGCCGTGACTCTCACCCTCCTCTCCAGGCGTGATGCTTTTAAAGATCAGCGCGAACAAGACACAGAGGCAGTGGTACAAGCTATCTTCCAGACTCTGTCGGTAATACTGCCTCCACCTTCCAACCTGGAGGACCAGATCCAGACACAGCTCCGTCGCGTCATGCGCGAAGCTGTAGATCTCGCAATCGAAATGCGCACCCAGCGTGCAGAGTACATGATGCTGCCGCCTCTGCAACCAGAATATGATGCGAACGGCGACCTGACTGAGACCGTGCACTTCAATGCGTCGCTCATGAATGAGCGCTCGGGGGATAATGTCAGTAATGAGGAGCTCGAGTCCCACGGCTCCGTCGTGCGGGTCGTGCTGTTTCCACTTGTCGTCAAGAAGGGCGACGACAACGGTGTTGGCGACGACGAGATCGTAGTGTCGCCGGCACAGGTCCTCGTTGCCAAGCCCAGCAGCAGCAGGCGGTCGATCCGGATGGTCACGCCGTCCTCGGACGCCGGCGGCGTCAGCCTGTTGCGCGGAGGCAGCCCGTCCACAGCTCCCAACAGGAGCAATGTGAGCATGGCGCAGCCAGAGGCAGAATACTTGGAGGGAGGGATCTAAAGGGTTTCCGGGATGGTTTAGATTTCATTCATGTGTGTTGGTCCAAAAGTTCGCATGCAACGGCAGGGGAGCTATGAGGAACACGGGACGGAGGCTCTTCCTGATAATGACGAGAGAGATATGGTTCATTGCATGCATGATATCCTGGGGTGTTTGACGGGCTCGGTTCCCTTATTTAATTCTCTTTCTCAAATCCCCCTTCTAGTTTGTTTGTGTGGAAACATATTTTTACTGTTGTATGAAACTTCTTATGTCTTGTTTCTCATGTTATCTGTGGATCAATCCATGTAGAAGTATGATGACTGAATGAATGTCCTGTTGATTTCTAGATCTATCTAAACCTATTTGCCACGACCTGCTCGCCTGTGACCAGTTTAAAGTGATAGATCGTAAACCATGCCGCCGTCGTTAGATCCCTAACGCCACCAAGTATCCGAGTTCCGCAGACAGGCATCAAAGCTGCCTTGGTCTACCTCCTAAAACGTTGTGTGGACTTGTGCCGCACCATATCCGTCTAAAAACGCAGGTTCTACGCCGAATTGCTCCGACGATTTGGGGGTTAATGTATATTGATTCCACCATACCACGAAGTCGTGAACTCATACGTTTTTTTTCATTGCCCGTATAATCGTGAAGAGCGAGAAGTAAAATAAGAAATAGAGAAGAGCGGTCAAGAGGATAGAGACAGTATGTGTGTGTGTGTTGGTAGTACGTAAATGGGGAAAACAGAGCGAAGAGCATTGCTCATTTGTCAAGACCCGAACGGAAAAGACTGGCAGTCCTAATGCCATTTCATCCCGATGGTCGGGTCGACGAATCCAGCAAAGTCACCGGTATTTGGGTCGTGCGGGAACAGTGCGTTGATGGCGTCTTGGTAAGAGTTCTATGGTGAAAGAATTAGTATACAGACTTAAATCGGATCAGGGAGAGAAAATGGCATACCCAATCGATGGCGTCTATGGGACCAGGCGGCATCGCCATGCTACCTTGCCTCTGAGCGCCGCCACCGACAGAGCCACCATCGCTACTGTTCTCTGGGCTGTCGGCATTGCCCTGAGGCATACTCCAAAGTACCTCACCGTTGGACACACCGGCAAAGACGATGTTTGGAGGCGGACCGGGTGGTGGCATCTGCATCGGCATACCTCCGGGCATCTGAGGACCGCCGGGAGGCATCATACCGGGCGGCATACCTGGCATCATAGGGGGCATGGGAGGAGGCGGCCCCATGCCGGGCTCCGATTTGAACTCGGGAGGAGCAGCCATCCGCTGTTGTTGTTGTGGTTGCTGCTGCGGCTGATGTTGCGGAGGAGCATACTGGGGATGCATGCCTGTTGAATCATTCTTGACAGCTTGCTTTTCCGGGACAGCCTTGTTGATGCCAGTCGGGGCACGCATCTTGCGCATACCCATGTACACGGCTGTTTTGCCCATGATCTCCATCAGGATGCGGCGACCTTTCTCTTCAGGTCGCATATTACGGTCCATACCGAACACATAGTCCAGACAGGCCCAAATACGGTCAGCCTCCTTGTTGGTGGGACGGTAATAGATCTCCGTGGCAAGTAGCAACGCTATCTGGAATTGCTGGTATGCACCGATGTACCAAGCCCAGTCACGGAAGAGTGCGTTAGTCTCTAATTGAATGGCGATTTCGATGATCATGATACCGCTCATAATCAACACACTGTTGAGGCGGCTTGGCATGGGGTTGGTTGTGTTCGCGTGATAAGGGTGTAGTGTCATGGCATGGAGTCGATACATGAGGAGATGCATAACCAGCTTAGCATATCGCTGGATAGGTACCATGTCGTCCAGGAAGCGATCATATTTTTCGAACATTCGCTTGCGGAAGTTTTCAATCTTCGTCAGGACTGCTGTGAGAGTTGTCTTACGGTTCTCCAGCTTTCGCCTGTCAGTCCAGATAATGCGCATCATCTCATTGATCTCGAAGCGCATCAGGGGCAAAAGCGTGGAAGTCCAGTGCTCAGCCGGCTCTGGGGGGTATTGCGCATGTGTCAATTCATCCTCTTCGCAGTTGATAGGCAGCTTGGTGTCATAGTCTTCCCTCCTGATAGCCGGTTTTGGACCCTGGGCCTCACATGTGCGGATATCCAGGAAGCAGAGTTGGTGCCAGATGAGACGGCGTATATGAGTCTCTAGGGGATTGAGGCCATAGGCCTCACCATCACGATGCAATCCCATACATTCTGCCATGCGAACAGCAGCACCCACAAGAACAGAGTGAGCTCGAGATACCTCAGCTCGGCATAAGGGTATCTAAATGGTCAGTCAAGAGGAATACATATCGTGAGCAGGGTTAGCAGCTCACCATATACATGACAAAAGCTTGCATTGTCTCGACTCTTGTCGTCCTCAAGAAATTGGCCTTGCTCAGAGCCGCTTCGGTTCCAATCTTCATGTTCTCCATGAGATTCATCTTGGTGAAGCCAAACTCTCTATTAATGACTGACTCCTCCATTGAAACAGCCGCACTGAACCACGCGGCGAACACAATCGCTTGAATTGATGCCCGAGGTTCGTAGCCCTGGTTGACTTCATCCCAAAAAGTCGTATATTGCACTTCAAACGATGGTCGGTGGACACATCGCGCGATAGGATGCACAGCACCAAAGTACTGTTGGAGCAGACGATCTCCTGCCGCCCGGGTAGGCAGAAATGTAAGGAGTGATGGGGACTGGACTACTTGCCCAAAAAAGAAGCCACTAGTTGGGGGGATGTACGACGCGCCTGGACGCAGGTAATCTGGTATTGAGCCGTCTGACCCGGAACCATCCCCTGGTAGCATTCCGGGAGGAGGCCCGCCAGGTGGGAACCCCGGCGGCCCACCCATGCCCGGCATCCCGGGAGGCATTCCGGGGGGCATTCCCGGTGGTCTGGGGGGGCCACCACCGGATAATCCTGCTTGGATCTAACACACAATTAATATCGTATTGCAATGGTAGGCGGCTGTGCTAAAAGATGAAGTACTAAGCGACGCATGCATACACACCTCTTCTGAGATTCGGGGTCTATTCAAACCACCAATACGTTCTGTAATGCGCATCTTACCCACTTGGATGCCAAGATCGATGATATCGTCTGTGCCGTCGGCGTCGTCCTCATAAGTCAGGTCCAATGCAACCATGGGAGTAATCTCCAGGTCACGTTCCTCGTCGTACTCTTCCTCGACGTCATCGACTAAGAACCGCTGTTGATAGAAGCCCTTGGTGCCAGTCTTGGCGACGTCACGCTCCAGTTGCCGTTCCAAAGCGCCGGCTTTCTCCTTGATCTCAGTGAGGCGCAACTGGCTCGCCTCATCGAGCTTGGGGCCCAGATACAAACAGTCCCGAGAGAACTTCAGGCAGTTGGTACACGGCTGGGATTTATTGCATTTCAGCTTCCGTCGCCGACACTCGAGGCACGATGTGATCATGCGCATACGGCGGCGAATGGGCTTTGAGCCCCCAGGCCCGGGTGGACCACCTTGCTCCTGCTGCTGATGCTGCTGGCCTGTCCCTCCGGGAGGGCTCAAACTCGACGAGTCTCCTCCTGCCGGCGCTCCTAGTCCTGCTCCTCCACCAATACCACCTGTGAAGCCGACGCTACCGCCAGCACCGGACCCAGCGCCACCAGCCCTGCCTGTCTGCGGCGAGGCACCATGCTGACCCAGCGATCTGGATGAAGCTGCTCCCTGGCGGTGAGCTAGGGACGGGTCATTGCTGGCCATTGGTTGTTATCGCGAGACTGGTGGGGAGGGTGGGTGTGTCGGTCTGCCAACCGAGTGACGAAAGAGGACAAGACAGGACCCAGCGCCCCGAGAGCGCGGATCGCCAATTGAGGCGTTAGCCCGGGCTCTTGGTACAGGATGCGTAGATCAACGGTCGAACCGTACGGCCGGGGGCCGCTTGAGGGAGCTCTGGGGAGCTTGGGACTCGTCCGCTATAGCCTGTGTTATTGACTGCCGTGCGGCGATCCCCTCCTAGACAACGCAGACTTGCGTCCCTTGGGACGTTTAGAGTCCGATCTGTCAGAATGGAGGATCGTCTTCCTTGCCACAGGCGGCGGGCGATTGGACAGATAGGTAGAGAGGCAAAGCCCGTCCGGGTTGGTTTGTTCGGCAGCGCAGGTACGGCCGTGACGGACGATGCTGCTACGGACGTAAAGGAAATTTTGTGGGGAGACGATACTTGAGCAAGGGCCGTTGCGGTGAAAGGAGGGGGGGTGGGAGAGGCACAGAGAAAATGGACTGTGACCCCCGGACGACTTATAAGAGGGCAAGATGGCAAGCCTCCAGACAGCCCTGAATCTCCTTTATGCAGCTTCAGCCTTCGCCATTGGCCCAATTGCACCGTTGAGAGCTATGCATGCGGGGGTGATCAAGAGGGCTTGAGAAATGGAGCCTTTTCCAAGATTCAACGCAAGACGAACCCACCGGTCTAAGCCGGAGTGCCGTCCGGAACAGTGAAGAGAATGCAAGTAGGTGATTTGATAGGATAAGACAGCACAGGTGAGGGAGCAAGCGGCAGGATTGGGGGGTCAAGCAAAGACGCACACAAGTCTTTGCTTCGAGTTGGGCAGGCAAATAAGATAAAACGGCCTAGGATTCGCCTAGCCCCAATACTACTGCGATAGTGGCAGCCCGCCGTTGTCAACCAGAAACCTTAACTGCTTAGTGACCGCTCGGAACAGTGCCACGACGTTCGAGAGCCTCTGGCATGTCATGCTAAACCCACTAAGGTGGTGCGATGCAGATAGTAGTAGTTGTTGCATCCGATATGCCGTTCAAGTGCTCGAGTGTCATCACACACATGGGCTGGCGAATGCGGGCCACTAGCTCCTTCTTCCAGGTTGATGGATGAGTAGATGACGAAACTAGCTGTGTTCAAGAGGTTTAGATGCTGATAGAGTGATAGAGCCCGCAAGGGTTTCTTGGAGACGGAAGGCAGATGTCCCGCTCTATTCGACGACACATGTGGAGTTGGTGTGGCTGCTAGGGCTCGCATCGGCTGTTCGTCTTCGGGCAACTCGAGTGCACATCGTCTTGGACTGCTGACTTGATCATTGAGGAGAAAGAGGGCCGGCCATTGCCAGGAGTCGGGCCGGGCATGAGGCTTTTGATATGTCGGTGGCTGGCCGAGCCTTTCCCCTCCTGCAGTGGTTCCCCTCAATGTTCCTTGAAAGTCGTCAATTTCAGTGGTCCACCCGTTCAAAGCGGGAATGCGGCAGCTTTGAAGCAGATAACACTTGTCCTGTGCAATTTGATAATGACATAAGGCACGCAAACAAGAAGCTTGTCAGGAAGCTAAGTCGCGGGCACAATTGCAACAGGGGTTAGGGGTATAGTGCTCCCTAGGTAACATGGGCTTCATGATGATGCTTGAGCAATTTACAAGCTGCATCATCTCAGATAAGGTGAACAACCCTGCATGCTTCGGCGGACCAGTCAGGTGGCTTTGTGGCAGCTGCATGTCTCCTGGCTCTACCGGCGGCCGCATGGGCAAGAAACCCAGTAACATGGTCGGCCTCGCTAGCCATTGAATCACCTAGGTTCCAAGAGGGGGTCACAAACAGCGGTAGAAAGCCAGAGATCGGAAGCATCGTGGCAAGCAGGAATGCCGTGCAACCATTGTCCCTGTGCAACACTTGCTGCGAGTCAATGCCCCTTTTGGCTCTTCCTGGCGAGGGTACGCAGCTACTTATTGCCAGCTGTTCGGTCGGGGAATTGTTAGTGCTCATTGTCTTTTTAACCAGGTTGATGATATATATTTGTATTATGATGTGTATATAGTCCTCCTGTGCAACCATCTATGAGGAGCACTGTTGTTCACTTGCTCTGCTGTGACAGACGCCAGTTTCCGTTGCGCCAACGCTTCAGGTGGAGGCCACACTGAAGTGCAACTCGCTCGCCAAAAGTGTTAGCAATAAGTCTCAACAGCCACCGAAGGCGCTCGGTCCTCCCAGGCTGACCTTCGCTCAAATCACGCGTCAAGATGCGAGCAAGAGCTGTCACTTCAGCGACTGACCATCGGCGGTTACGATGTCCAAGATAACGAATGCACCGTTCCACATGCCGTAGAGCCACTCGACTTCGCAAATGAGGTGCTTGGCTCAGAAGCATCGCTGCCTTCTGTACCCGCGCAACTTGTGCTTGTACTGGGCGAAAGGCGCTGTACTGCCTTGTTCGATCGACACCCACTTTCCCCGTTTGAACTTTCTGTTCGGCCTTGATCTGACTCGAATCCATCCGAGGAATCTGCATCGTAGCTCCTGGCGTGATATCCAGTACTTGAAGCATTTTATCAGGCTCGACAACAGGGTCGACAGCCATCTTGTCCATGAATTTATCCCAGAAGCCTGGGCCCCATTGCAGATGCTGTTTATGGGAATAGTCTACGGACAAAGAATGAAGTTCAAGTGCCACTCGGTGGTTATCAGATGTGAAAGCAACATTCTTGATAACCTTTGGTGAAACGCCCCGTGCTTGCTTTAGAGCTTTTAGGGAGATAGCGAATTCGTCCTCACGCTCAAGACAACGGAGGTACTTCCACATGCTGTAGAGGTAGCCGGCACATCGACTAGGACCTCGTCGCTTGTGAAGCGCGCTGGCTAACGAGGCGATGGCAGTCACGTCGTTGCTGCCATTGATAATCTCAAACGTATCCTGAACTGCATTGGCATTCTCCAGATACCCTCTGCTTGTCCAGTGATCTAGAAGAACTTGGCAGAGTTCCATATTCGATAATGACATACCACCCTCTGCTAAAAACATACTTGAGGACACTTCAAGCAGATAATCCTGACTAATGCCTGGTAGTAATGCTAGAACACGCAACCAGTTGTATTGAAGCTGATGCTGAGCCTCAGACGTGAGGGAATCCTGGGCTGCATGCCTTAATGCTAGATCTGTCGCTGTGCGAATCGATTGCATATATTGTTTCGAAGACAAACTTCTTAAAGCTTGAGAGACCGAATCAACCTGGCGTTGATGAGATGACATGGCACTTGCGGCGTCGAACGCGTAGCGACGAGATCCAGATGTAAGCATTTGTGCTTTACTAAGCAAGATCCGAGCTTGAGCGACATCTTCAACCACGAGGCATGACTTGATAGAGGAAATCATTCGATCAACTCGTTCGCTTGCATTCTCCGCTTTGCTGATGTACGAAGTGACAGCTTCACCGCTCCAGTGATCCGGATTTCTCCAGTTTTGAAAAACAGTACCGAGCACTGCTAGCCATACTTCAGGGCTCTGCTCAACATATTTCTGAGGTATCGCGTCCATAACCCGGATAAATAGATTGCAGAAGTTGTCAGACACATTTTGCTCAGATAGTCGAACGAGTATGGTCTGCCAGAGCTCTGATGAGAAGGAGCTCGGCTGAAGGACCCTGCAAGATAGAATTCCGTCCACAACAGAACCAAGGAGCTTGAGGTACTGGGTTCTGACGGTTTCCTTGTGAGGGGTCCTCTCCAGTTTTGTATCTAGGATTGCCAATGCGAGCCTCAGCACTCCGAGTATATCACTGCCTTCAATGAGCCCTAAGGCAAACTGTTGCTGAAAGTGACCACAGAAGATTTGGAAACTCTGTACAAATGCAGGTGCCGACATCGAAGAAGCTGTAGATCCTAGCAGTTCGAGTTCTCCCTGTAGAGACGCATTTCCTGCCGGTATTGACCGCTTGTTCGTTCGTGTATTGTGTTCGTCCAGGGTCACCACGTCACGATCTTCCGTCAAATCTCCGAGCCAGTCCGGCAGACGGACTGCTGGAAATGGCCATTTAGCAGGCGCCGCTCTCTGGTTCTTCTGAAAACGAACAGCAGGCGACGTCGATGGCGGCTCCCATTTCCATTGTGAGAGGTCGACAGCATTGGGGAGCGCCCATGCTGGGAGGGCCGCGTGTGACTGCAGCGAATTGAGCTCGGCAATATTCCGCTTCCCCAACCGCCGGCGGTTCTCCAAGGGGCCGGGCACGGAGCTCGCTCGTCGCTTCGCAACCTTTGAGATGCCGCAATACCGTTCGAATGCTTGACATAGTGCGCTATCCGTAATCCAGACGGATTCTAGCGGCGTGCTAATTTGGTGTTGGACGGCACGACAGCATCGTGCAGCTGGTTGAGGAGGCATCGGCTCGGAAGGGTAAGGAGGGAAGAGGAGTCAATTGGCGGCGAGCTTGGACATGTGAGTTGGCTGATGAAACCATTTGTAAGTTGCTGAATTAACTCAAGGCTCTGTGTCGTTGTGTATGCTGCCGTCGTGGACTGCCAACCCGTCTAGACGACAATTGATGGGCTTTTGCTCCGAGGTTGAATTGAGGATGATGTGAATTTCGCGCTTGTTGACTGGCTGCAACTTGAGCAACCGGGTTTGTGGCTGGTGCGCCAGCTCGAGCCACAGTGTGGGTTTCTTACAGAATGCGGCTGTGGCCCAGCACATCCCACCAAGCTCGATAACTACCTCGCTGCAGCATTTGGCGGGGTCAAGCACTCGATCATAAGCTTGCTCCATGACGGCCAAAATGACGGAGCAATTCGAGCCGTTGCAGAACGATCTGATACTCAGGGCAGCATGGGGTGAGTTGGAAATGCCATTGACACATAAACAGCGCTTACTCTACAACAGGCGAGGAGATTGAACGGCCGCCATGCTGGGTGATGCGGCAAGGTACGATTTGGCACCGGTCTCGACACAGAAGAACTTATATACTGACTTGGGTTTGGAAAAGCTGGCCGTTATCTACCAGAGTACCACGAGGCGAAAGGCGACCGAGACTTTTTCGAGTGCTGTCGGGATCCAGAAGTCGCCTCGACCATCACCCTCCAGCCTGTCGAGCGATTCGCAGGGCTGCTCGACGCAGCGATTATTTTCTCGGACATCCTCGTTGTACCGCAAGCCATGGGCATGACAGTTGAGATGGTCGACAAGAAGGGCCCGCACTTCCCTGACCCGCTGAAGAGTCCGGCTGACAAACAATACGAGGAGGTCATGGCGAAGGCTGTCGATGTTGCGAAGGAGCTAGACTACGTATACAAGGCCATTACCGTGACAAGAAGAAAGCTCAAGGGCCGCGTACCACTGATCGGTTTCTGCGGCGCCCCGTGGACGCTGCTCTGCTATATGGTCGAGGGCGGTGGCACTAAGCTTTTCAAGGAGGTCAAGACATGGATCTACAAGTACCCCGAGGAGAGTAAGAAGCTGTTGCAGAAGATTGCGGAGGTCTGTGTAGAGTACCTGGCGCTACAAGTGAAAGCAGGTGCTCAGGTGAGTCGTTGTCATTACATGAACACGATCTGGTTGACAGTATACTTACGCTGCGTAGCTTATCCAAGTCTTTGATTCATGGTCAGGGGAACTCTCCCCAGCGACCTTCAAGCAGTTCTCGGAGCCTTATCTGCTCTACATCGCAGACAACCTTCCAAAGAAGTTGAAAGAGCTTGGTCTAGACCCGGTACCCATGATTGTCTTCCCCAAGGGATCATGGTATGCTCTAGACTCAATGTGCGACTCAGCGTACAATGTCGTTGGTCTGGACTGGCTTGTCGACCCAGCTGATGCCACGAAGATCCGAGGTGATCGAAACACCGTGCTTCAAGGCAACGCAGATCCCGGCGTACTGTATGGCTCCAAAGAGTCAATGCAGCAGGTAGTGAAAGAATTGGTGGACGGGCTGGGTTGGGCTCAGAAAAAGAAAGGATGGATCTTCAATTTAGGTCATGGTAAGTTATAAAACAACCTCTACCCATATGCAGATGCTAAATCTCTCTCCTAGGTATCACCCCCTTCGTCAAGCCGGACGATCTAAAATTCCTCCTCGAGGAAGTCCACCGGCAAACACTAGCTGCATGATTGGGTCTAAAAGCGCGCTGTATGTATGCATAATGCTGTGGCTGCATCCCCTTTGGGGGATGCGTGTAGCCAATATGACATAGAGAAGTAAAAAGGCAGGCATGGGGAATCTCAAAAGTACTAGCTAGAGTCCGCTATGCTGGCGTAGTCCACGACCGTCCTAGAAGCGATGTATAAGCTCACAAAATCAAATACCATTTCCGCTCTATTCTCACCAGAGGGCAAGACTTACCATGCGTTCCTCCACGCCTTCTTACCTCCGATACTTCGACATACCCCCTGACTCTGCAGGTTATCCGGATGCACATCGGCCGATGCCCAGCCGTCATCCGCAAAGTCCTTGCTGTGCTCTTGTATGGTCTTGATGGCAACCGCCTTGGCGATGCCTCGCCCACGCCACGGCACCTCGCAGTGAAGCGTAGACAGCGTGCCATCCACGCCCAAGAATCCCCAAGAGATTGGCGTCCCGTCCCCAAGCCGTAGCACAGTGCTCGGCAGCGTGAGGAGCGTCCTCTCCGCCTTGGGCACCTTTGTGCTTGACACAATTAGATCGCAGTCCTCGCGCCGCACCGTGTCCCATTTCATGTCATCTGTCAGCGGCGACTTGAGCCCCGTCGGCAGCTCGGAGACCTGGAACAGCCACTTGTCGTGCGGGTTGTAGTACGTCTCCGTGGTGATGCCCCGCGCGAGCAGCAGCTGCCGCGTTCCCTCGTGCAGGCCTCCGATCATGACGCCGTTCTCTCGGTGCAGTTTGCCCGGGTACCGCGCCGCCTCGGCCTTCACATGCCGCAGGATGGCGTAGACCAAGTCGAGGACCTCTTGCACCTCCGCCTCCGACAGGGTGGAGTCCTCCTCGAGGGTTGAATATAGCCACATCGGTGTCTCAGGCGCCCTGGAAAAGTCTAGGTATGCGGCGGCGAAGTGTCTCGGGGCATCTCCTGCACCCCATGGCTTCTCCGGATCGGTGCAGAACAATACGTGTGAGTGTTCCGTCGAGCCTCCGGGGAAGCGCATAAAGTGTAGGCGACGCTGGAGTGACAATGCCTGCGGCAAGTGTCCATTGAGCAGCGCGATGGTGCTGTCACGCGCGTCTAGCGAGTCGACGACAACAGGCGCCATCGCAATTGCTTCTTTGGATTGTTTTGAAGTGTCGTTCTGGAAACGTTGGGCTTTCAAGATGTGAGTCACTTATAAATGATAAGGAGTTTCTATTGTGCCGCCAGCGTTGTACTTTCACACCACTAACACGGGGCGTTCCCTGCAGAGATGACCCGAAAATAAAACCCCCTTTTCAAGAGTTTCTGGTTAATTGATGCAGACTATTGCGCGAGGGCGCTCATTAACATTTGGGCGTGAATCTCAGCTCTTCTCAGTCCAGCATGAAAACTTTCAGTCTGGGATATCCTCAAAATAGTCATCCATCGCTTTTTTCAGTCATACCAGTCATTCTCCTACAAAATTGTAAAAACAAGCCGCAAAAACGCCGGTCCCTCGCCCCAGTGGGTATCCACACACTCAAACCACACCAAACCCGATGACGTATCGCTCATCGACGGTATGAGACATTGAGAAAGGAAAAAAAGCGAAGAGTCATGAGCAAGCAGCAGAGATGCTTCGCATCAGAGGTATCTCCCAAATAATTCGCTCGAGGCATCGCCATTGCTTAGTGCTGCTTTTTGCCAAACAGGAAGTTCCTGCCCTTGGCTGCGAGGCCCTCCTCCTTGTCCTCGGCGACGGCATTGTGATCATGTTGTTGGGCATGCTTCGCCTTCTCGGCGTCCTCTGAGCCCGCCTTGAAGACGTTGCCAGTACCGCCACGGCCGATGTGGGTCGCTCCTCCGCTTGGTCGTCGCTGGACACTGTGACAATGTTAGATAATTGTGACAACGGAAGTTTTGATCATTTTTAGATTGGACATACGGCTCTAGATCCTGTCGCAATCGGGTCTCAAGGGGATCGGTATTCTTAGCCATGTTGCCAGAACCACCGCGTCCTGTAGTGACAACAGGCGTCTTCAAAGTAGGTGTCTCCAGATCCTTGGGTTCAATCTTTGGAGACTTGGCGCTGTCCACCATGTTACCAGCGCCGCCTCGCCCAGAGGATGAAAAGTGTGAGCCGCTCATTTTTATAAAGAGTTTAGATTGAGCCGAATGGGTGAATCCCTCTGGTATGGTGATGATACTGGTGACCAAAAAGCCGGATATGACACTTGTGTGATGGTGACAGTAAGAAGTGATGTTCACAGAAGGAACTCGCGGCGGTTGCAAAGCATGAATTGGAGGTCTCTTGGTTTATAGAGAGGAGGGAAGAAGGAAGCTCGACTGGAAACTTTCGCTCTATATAGGTTTACGAGAACATGATCCGCGCTTACAAGCAGCAATGAATACCTAGGTATTCGCAACCGTGGAGATAGCCCGCGCTTGGCAGAGCCCCTCTAGCGAGAAAACATGATCACAAGGGGCAGAAAAACGGGCAGAGAAAACTTTTCCCTGCCCAGAAAAGCATGGCCCAGCAGGGCGAGACTGACTAACGTGCGACGGGAAAGCTATTTTGACATCATAACTAGTGTCCAGAGTTTGTCGCGGGCACTGAGCGGTGCCGGCTGGGGCGAATTCTTATGTGCTAACCAAAACGTAATAGAAATGCTTGGTGTAGCGGGGGAAAAGAACCACGCGGACAGTGCCGAACCCCCTACGACGCCGGTTCCAGGGACCAGCTTCGCCCTGGACGATGGTGTCATCTGCTCTTGGCTATTGTCAGTCTTTTTACTTGAAGCGACGTGTGCGATGGATGATGAAGAGGCTCTTGCTTGTTGGGCAGATTTCGAAGAGGTTGGCTTCCACCACAGCTAAGCCGGAGTCTGCGAGCTTGGGGGTAGCTCCAGCAGGCATGACGCATCAGTCGGCTGAAAGATGCTTCTCCGGTGCGTTGTGCTGGCCATGGCATAGATCTTTGTTATAAGGTCGCCGCATTTGCCTCCGTTGATGCAAGATGACTTGCATCTGCAATGCCATTTTGAGAACGGGATGATGCCAGTGGCTTTTACGACCAGAGCTTTGGAACGTGGTGAACCCAGCGGCTCACAGCTCTCCAGCTTTCTTCTCTGTTCTCAGGGCGCTTGTGCATGATCATCGCTAGAACCCCGCCGGCCCATCAATCCAACAAGAACTCCACCCTTCGATCTGGGGGAATCTGAGTTCTAGAAGCTCGCTTGTAATTCAGACAATCCACAATGTTGCCCAGCGATGCCAATGTCCTCTTGCTGGTCTCCCCTGCATGCCAACAGTCAGTCTACCAAGCTCCAACAGCTGCAAGGAACACGAATTGCGTGTCAAGGCGGTGCGGACCCATCCGAATTGGGTCAGCTGCGACAAGAGGGGGTTCGTGAGCTTCCAGAGCCGAGCCGCCAGGTCAGAAGATCACCAGACTGCCGAAATTTTCTTCCTGGTGCCCGCATTCTATCCCCACCGATCTCGCACTTGGCATCTCGAATTTTCAGAAACGCAATCTACTTGTTGAGCTCGATAGATACGGAATCCCCGTCGTGAGCATGAGATATTGCAAAGTGCTAGTTTCTCGGTCCGGCAATATGGTGGCCGGCATTGCCTCCTGTTGTCGGTGTTATGCTGTTTTATGTATTTGTGGTAGGGTAGCATTCTGTACGTGATTGTCGCTTTTTTGACCATGCACAGGGCATGTGTGCTGTAAGTCATTCGCCCATAGGGACGGTACTGTAAGGTAGCGGAGTTTGAGCTGCTGCTGCACCCCAGGTTTCCACCTACCTACCCCACGACACAGGTATGGTCGCTTCCTCGAGCCATCCAAACCCTCCCAATCGGAGGATAATCTCACCTAAACCTACCGCGCATGTCTCACCTCGGGTTTTTGCTGCTTTGCTGAAATACTGTTACGCCTCAAAAAAGCCGCTGACGATGAATACCGGGCCCAAATCCAAGCTCTCGGGATAGCCTAATGAGCTAAACACTAACATAGATCTATTAGCCCATCTATTAATTTAACAAGATTCCAAAAAGCGAAATCATACCACCAGCAGCGGTGGATCTTTATTTGAGCCCTCAAATTGTTTGCCTTATGGTGTTGTGTTTTTCCCCGTCTTCATATCTCGCAGTGAAGAATGGGTGGCTCTCGAAGATGCACGGCTCGCCAGCTGGGCGTTGAGGTGAAGCAGCGGGACATATGAACAGAAGCATTGTGTGGCAGAAATGAATATCAACGCCAAATTCATAGATGCTGAAAATTCAAGGAGGGAGCTCGTCGCCTACTCTTAACGGAATATTTGTCCGCCGTTATTACGGACCTTCCAGCCACGAGTAGTTTGATATCGAGAACGCCACTAGGTGCTGTCAATTGTGCGAATATTTTGCACACCCCATAACAGAAAGATTGCGCCTGTGGTACATAAATTCGAAGCATCATGTCTCATTCATCAGTTATAGCGGTACTTGGCCCCCATGGTGGCGGCCCAACCGTGTGAGGATTGGAGAGTATTCGGTATTTTCTATATGATACGACAGAGATTGGTGAGAAGCTGGTGTTCCAGGTTTTGAGGATGGTCGGCTACCCGGATAGCAGCATTGGTTGTTCGACGATCGTGGATGGGGACATGCATTAATTTGCATTGAGCCGGAGACGGCAGATGCTCTAGCATGTCTTGGATAGTTCTTTTCGGCGTATGTGAGTCCCTTTGCAGATATATGACGAGCATGATGTGCATCAGGGGCAGGGGTTTTTTTCGCTGCGTGCCGACAGGGAGATGGGGTTTTGGTTGAGGAGACTCGTAAGAAATCGTAACTCCAAGCAGAAATGAGGCAGTCAAGGATTTGTCATGACCTCCAGTCCTCAACACGCAGAGCACCTTTTTCATTCAATGCATTTGAATCGAGTTAAAGTAACAAGAACTACACGCATCAAAGGGGATACTCGTAAAAATGGCAGGTCCCGGCCATCCGTCATTTCCATGTTGGCGATGTAGTCCCCACTGAGGCCGAGGCTGTCCGCCCAAGATGGTATCCTTACGGTCGTGACTTCTCAGGACAGGGCTTAATACTGCGATTTGCGGCTGAGGAAGGTGCGACCCTGTCTTTCGTCCGATCTCTACCGAATGACTTAACCCTCACGGGAAGGTCAATATATCTACTGTATTACCTATAATGTGCAATCGTGGCTTTCCCATTGATCTCGAGGCGTTCAGGTACACAGAAGCAACAACGAAAAGAAAGTGAAGTAGCAGCTATCGTATTAACTTTAATCTTACCTGGGAACCTCGCGTGAACATTGCTCGGCTACTTCAACTTGCTTCCTGTAGATATTATTTGGGTAGGTACCCAAACTGGCAAGTGCAGATGCCGCCTGAGAGAACTCATTTCCTTGATAGTGACGGAAAACCTCTTGCAATTCCCTGCGTAGCACATGATGGCGTAGCGGAAGAATAACGCCGAGTCCGTGGAAAGGTACTTGACAGATGGTACGTTCCTTCCTTCTTCGTCTTATGAAGACCAAGACAACAAACCACCTAGGTACAGGAGAACCATCTGTTCTCGGTGGAATTTAAAATTCGTTCGATTCCAACTCAAGTTTTGGTTTGCGGTGCATGGTGTACGAGACAATGAGATAGAGTTGCACGCAAAAGCGGCCGTTCCGCGACCCCACCACAGCAGTTCTACCGCACCATTTCAGCGAGCGGGTAGAGTGGCCGCAGTGGATACTCGCCAGAGCAAGCGGCCAAGTCGTCGTGTCGTCTTCCCTGTCCATATGCCCTGCTCTGTTACAGACGGACGCACCGGCAGCAAACCCCAGGCGCCACCATGCCTTAGCTACCTGCCAAGTGCTGATCGATACCCACCTGTTCCTCCCCTGCTAGATTGTTGTCGTGATTGCCACAATACCAAGCTATCAAGACGTCAGAGGACTTCTAGACTGGAGTTGAAGTCGTGCAGCACAGAAGCATCCAGCCGAGCGGCATTGGGTACCACAACGGCTGCCTCAGTTGCTTTAGCTCTCAGGTCTACTTCTTGGTAACTTGAACAAGTCTGGATGGCATTTCTCGATAGCCCTAGTTAGATGTACTGCACGTTGAAGATTGATGGTATTCTATCCGCCGTCTGTTGCTCACAATCTGGGGCAACCACCTTCATATCATCTGAAACTTCATGATAACCATCGATCCCTCTTTGTAGCTCTTGAATGGCCAGGACTACAACGGTCGTTGACCATATGGAGGAGTTGTTAATGCAGATACCCTGCTCTGCCGAGCTCCCCGCCGCCATTGGCTCGAAAGGCGACCATTTGCTCCGAGACCTCTTCCCCATGGGAGGTCGTGTCGTCCTATCCAAGTGGGTACGGGACTTCTCCATGGCATACCCGAGATTGTACTTGACGATGGGTGCTTCAATTGTCCGAGACGGCTCCGGCAAGGCAATGCAACCTCAATGTAAACCTAATTTTGCCCGCAACTCGCGCCTCTCGTCCTTCACCGCAGGACAATTGGCAGCCCAGCCAGTTCAAAATCGGATATTTCCATGTTAGAAGCTTGACTCAGAAGTCGGGCACTACGAAGGAATTAGTCCACAGCAAGTGATCTCTATAATTCTATCCGCTATCCTATATCGAGACTGATATGGAGGCAGGCGTTGTGCCCTCCAAACTGTCTGATTGGGTGGTCGAAGCGGTCAAACCGCAGGGAAGCCATGGATCATACAAGCCGCCGTTAAACCCAGCCTCGACAACTATATTCAGTTCGTGTTTTGATACATTACATGTACTTCATTTGGTGGCTGGGTAAGTCTTACAATAGATGAAGGCAACGAATACCTAGCATGGCAGCTCGATGCCTTCCAGGGAATGTAGCAATTGGGAATAAACCTGACTCAAATGAGCGCCGCCGCACTGCACAGTCGCATCTTCCATGATGAGAACGCCTCCTTTCCAGACAAATGGGTTTTGTCCGCGAATGAGGCGACGCGGGAGACCAACTTCTGCAGGCTGCCGCAGCCCACATGGTGCGCGGAACATTGATTGCATTATATGGCACACCCACCTTGTGATCACATTGCTACAGCTGAGCGACCCTGCCAGCGCGAGACACCCTCAACAGATTACAACTAACAGCACGTCAGCTCAACCTGAACATAAGCGTTACCTGCTTTAGCCTCGTGATCAATCCGCAAGTGGCAGCTAACAGAGCTTCATGGCTGGTGCATGCTTCCCCGAGCGCAAGAACTGGCGATGGTGAATTGGATACCGCATGTCCGCCAATCCAATGTAGGCAAATATAGAAAACCGTTCTAGGCAATGCGGCGTTCGGCAAGGTATTGGCCAATGCTATTTCGGTGACAGGCCTACGCTGGTTTGGCAATGGCTTCCAGGTGCTTTGCCTGATCCAGGTAAAGCGTCGTGGTAGTTGCCGCTTGCTCCCTGTCAATTGCCTTTTTGGCTTCCGCACTCGCTCCGGGGTCCATTGTGCCATTGACATCCATCCCATCATCATCCCGGGTTCAATGGATGATCTACGCAGCGACGTCCGTGTGAATTCTGTTGCGCTGGCGTCGTCTGATTGACCGCCCCTGGCCAAGTCCTGCAATGGCTTGACTGTCTTCACGGCATGCAAAAGAAAGATTTGTACAGGGGGTCTGTCTTTCCAGCAGAACACACCCCTCACCGGATTTAAGCACACTGGCGGTATGTGCTTGGCGATATCGATGCCTGCCGGGAGATTGGCACCACACCTTCTCGTCATAGACGCTTGTGGGATGCTCGCGGGCCACCTCTTGCGCCCTTACTGTTTCGTCTCATGTGCAACGTGATCCAAGCAAGGTCACGCAATCCTGAACCAGCAGCGTAGCTCAGCTTGATCGAGGGCCACAAAGAGGGAGCCCCTAAGGACCCGGAAGCTGGGTTGTGCTAGGCTGAGCCGGGCTCCGTGATGGGCATGTCGCGCGTCTGGACGATGTTGAATGGCACTTCGGAAAGGTGAAATGAGAACCTACTCTCCTCACGATTAGTTATTAGATTAGACCCTACCGGCAGGAGGCTTAACTTCTACGCGACGCCGCCTGCACCACCCGCGAGACATGCCTGGGACAAGCCGTATATCTGCATCAAGAAGGAGCATGAATCAACAGGCCAAGAGCGCCACGATGAGCGAAGATACTATCTCTTCTACTAGTCTCTTCTGACAAAACGTCCAACAGATTGCGGCTGAGCAGCATCAGAATTGTGACACACTGTGGGCCCTGTCTGGCTGACCTAGAGATTGACACCGCCAACAACATTATCAACACCACCACCAACAATGTAGGATACATGCATACTATCGAGCTGACAATGATTTAGTCAATTGTTATAACCAGGTTCTACTGTAGTATAATGGCCACGTGCTGATTAGCTAAGTACCTACGGGTACCAGCCATCAATAGCCGTACTCGTAGTTATGTTACGTACACTGTACCAACTACAGGTAAAGGAGATAGGTAACGAGGTAGGTGGCTTACTTTTATATAAGGCCACCCCTACCTTCCACCTTTTTTTCTTCCTCTCTCTTGGGGCTTTAATCCTTCAAGTCGAATACTACACTTCGCCACTCTTTACTTCACTTCCACAACTTACGTGAATTCGTGATATTTCGACTCCACGTACGAGGGTTCTTACTCGGTAGCACGGCTAAAGGAACGACTTAGAAGTATTGTATTCACAATTTACTTCGCGCTACCTCGACGACTCTTCACCCTATCAAGTCACAATTGATATCATTCAATTTGCAGTCTTCTCGGCTCCAAGACGAATTGTTTGACACCTTACTTCGTCCACTACACATTGAGGTGTAGCCAGTTCAAGAGGGGTGTTTTTTATACCATTGGCAACCTTGGCCGCTTAAACCTTGAGGGATCCACCGTTATCCTTGGGTACTACATCCAGACCCATTTTCAACCCGCAACAACATCTCCCCCGCAACACCAACCCACCCGCCACAATCGCCCACGATGGCGACTCCCTCGTCCGCGACCGCGCCGTACGGCGACCACTTCGCTCGCAACGACCACTTCACTCACGGTGACCACTTCGCGCGTAGCGATCACTTCGCTCACACCCAGACTCAAGACCAACAGCCGAGCCCGACGACCGCCGCACCCGTCGAGGCACAGTCGCCCGCATCGAGACAACGCATGGAGAAGGCCCTCATTCCCTTCACGTCCGAGTTCGAGGGACGCAGGTATACACTCGATGTCGTGCAACAACCAAAACGTGCGCGTATGTGTGGCTTCGGTGACAAGGATCGTCGTCCCATCACACCGCCACCCTGTGTCCGTCTCATTGTCACAGACATTAGCACCGGCAAGGAGGTGGACTGCAATGAGATTGAGCACACAATGTATGTCTTGAACGTCGACCTATGGTCAGAGGATGCACAGAAAGAGGTCAACTTAGTACGACACACTACTGCAACTCCTTCAATCTCATCTACCACCCCAGAATCCTTTGCAGCAGTTGAGGCCCGACCCCAATTCCAGCCGCTGCTGCCCGGCACCCGCGATCCGAATTATCCTCAGCTGGGCTATAGCCAAGCGCCGAATCCTTACATGCAAGCTGGCTATGGGCAAGCCTCCTACCTGCCTAGTCCCAACGGTTATGGGCCTCCGACTCAATATTATCCTGGGGCAGACATGTATGGTGGCGTCCTACCATCTCAGTCTCGAGGCATTGGAGGCTATGGACCACCCCACGTCTATGACCCCCATGATCTCCCTATGGCACAAAGACTTGCAATGCAAGGGACTCAGCCATCTGGAATGTTTACCCGGAACCTCATCGGTAGCCTGGCCGCCAGTGCCTTCCGGTTGACCGACCCTCTAGAGAAGATCGGCATCTGGTTCATCTTGCAGGATCTCAGCGTTCGTACCGAGGGCAACTTTCGGCTGCGTTTCTCATTCGTTAATGTCGGACGCCCTTCTACAAATCCCAATGGACAGCCAGCGAACCAGAACTCCATCGTGAACACGGGCCAGGCCCCTGTTCTCGCATCTTGCTTCAGCGACGTGTTCCAGGTTTTCAGCGCGAAGAAGTTTCCTGGTGTTTGCGAGAGCACCGGGCTGAGCAAGTGCTTTGCGTCTCAGGGAATAAAGATCCCCATCCGCAAAGAAGGCGCAACATCCAAGGGAGGCGATGACGATGACGATTATTGATGACAACACTCGATATACCCAGTTCTTGTTTTTATACTACTCCCCCATTTTCTTGTTATGGCATTCACAGCCCAGGAGTCAGGCCTGCAGTACAGTCTCGATATATTTATGAAACCTCGATGCCGAGGAGCGGACAAAAAGAGAGAGGCTAGGAGAAGAAAGGTCTAGAGATACTTTAGCTCGGGATTAGGCAGAGGCAGAGGCAGGAAGTTATGTATATAAAGACCGTGACGAACTCTGCCTAATTACTATAGTCACTAGTCTCGGCACTTCACTATAATAACTTTTCCCTCCCTTCGACTGTCTTATACTAGTCTCTGTGCGAGTGAGATCAAAACCTCCGGGCTGATTGACCATAGTTCTGCCCCCAAAATGGGCGGGCCATTGGCTTGATGTTCAATATGGGGAGACCTGGGACGAAACGCTTCATTTTTCTCAGCACCCCCTGGTTAACACGTTTTTGGGGGACAAATGTGAATCTCTTAATAGTGGGACACTACTTCATGTAGAAGTTTACTTCAAAGCAGTCTCTGCATGAGCAGTTCTAGGCGGTTCCTTCTCGATATCCTCAAGCTTATCGTCCAGTGGCGTAGCTCCCTCGTCTAATATGCCACTTACATCCGCCTTGCCAAATTTACGGAGAGGCACCTTCTTGCTAAATAGCCAATCTATCTGCTCTAATGTTTTGCCTTTGCACTCAGGCACGCAGAAGTAGGTGAATATCAATGAGAGGGCCGCAATGGATCCAAAGATGAAGCCAACCTTGCTGCCCAAGCCCGCCTCATCGGCAAATACCAGATATGGGACAGAAAAGTTGACCGCAAAACTAGAGAGAAGCAGAGTCAGCGAATTCTGTATTTAATGGTTGCCCTTCCGCCTAGCTTAGCACTCACTTGAAGATGACGTTGACTGTGAAGCCGAGACGTGATGACAGATCACGCAGCCTAAGCGCTATCACTTCAGTCGCCACGACGTATGTCAGAGGTGCCCAACCGAGTGAAAAGCTGCATCCGAAAACTACCATCAGCCCGATGACTCCTTTCATCCTCTCAGTGCTGACAGGCTCTTGGACTCCCAAACCCCCCATGGTCATCAATGCAGCGCACATGCATAGAGAAGAAAGCATCAGCATGGTGCTTTGCGGCTCTTCTGTCAGCCCAGTCCACCAAAGCTTCCAATGGGAAGGGGAGACTCACCGTCTGCCAGTTCTGTCGTTGGCGAAGAGGGTTACAATCATGATGCAGGAATTGATGCCGCTGGTCATGACGCTGAACAGCATTGGGTTGAAAATGCCCAAGGATCGAACATAGACGGCGCCGTATTGTGAGACAAAAGCCTGGCCTACGCCTTGCTGGAAGAAGTTCACAGCAATAACGATAAGAGTTCGCTTCAAGTTTACGCCCTGAAAGAGCTCTGAAAACTTGCCCTGCTCTACCTCACTCTCCAGCGCAAATTGGACCTCTCGAAACTCACGCTCAATTTGCTGTTCGGTAAACGCGCCATCCCGCAATTTGTGGAGGGCAGCTTTGGCCTCGTCAGTGCGGCCTTGTCGAAGCAGCCATCTGGGAGACTCCGGAATAAAAAATATAGAGAGGGCAATCAGGGTCGGAACCACGTAGAAAAGCGACAGCGGGATCCGCCAAGAGCGGTTGTCATCTAAATGACTTGTGCCGTAGCAGATGCAATTGATAACGAGACCGCCCATGGCGAGGCTGAGTTGGTACGAGCCGACGACAAGCCCGCGGACTGGAGCTGGGACTGGAAAACAAAAGGGTATTAATGATCGAGTAGAGAACGTGTGGGATATCGGGGTTTAGAAGTACACACCTATTTCAGACTGGAAGATAGGCACGACGGCGAGCTCCATCCCGACGTAGACGTAGTTGAGGATGCGGGCTGCCATGATCTGCTCAGGCTTGTTGGAGGTGACTGTAATGGTGGCAGTGATGAGGGCATAACAGCTCATTGTGAACATGCACCATCGACGACCGAATCGAGCTGAGACCAAGCTGCCAATGACAACCCCTGGAAAGAGGCTTCTGGGTAAGAACAGGCTATTCATCAACAATTACAAGTGCAGAGGAACTCACCAGATGCAAAGCCAATGTAGTTTAAGCTGTTGAAGAGCGAGAGCCATTGGGAGTCAAGAACATATTTTCTGGAAGTGGGATTATAATGTCCAAACTGTTTCACAAAATGGTTCATAGCCTGAGTGGTCGCGAAAGCCTGGTTGTCAAATCCATAGTTAAAGGTTGAGATGGCAATGAGGGCAACCGATGCCAGCAGTTGGCGATTGAAGTAGTGCGCCTTGTCGAATGATAGAGTCCCCATGGCGAAGACCTTCAAGCGTACATTCGAAGCTCACAGAACTTTGGTGACGATGAGATTATGCCGCTTCTCAGTGACACTTTGGCGGGACGTGATGGGTTTGGCTGGTTTTATGTCTAACGAGTCCAGTAGAACAGACGTAACTCGAATCTATAATGATGTGATCGAGGTAAGTCGGATCTCGGTCTCGAAATGAGGAGAAGCATTCTCAAAGGCACTACAGACTCCGGAATATGTTGCACTCCAATATCCTGTCTTGTGTCTTCCCCACGGGGAGAGACTAGGCGAGAGTGATTCCCGCATTGTTGTGGTCGAGCATTAACCAATCACGAGTCATGTAATGGGCCGGAGACTACCTGAGTTGGGTCTAATAGGGAATTGTGGGGAGCGCGATCCGTTGCGAGATCCGGTGAGAAACTGATTCACCGGATCTCGCTCGGTAGGGCTCCATTGCAAACTTCAAAGCGATACCATGATTGGAGGAGGAAGACTTCTATCACTGCCGAGATCAGCAGTGAGACACATATTGTACCTGATCTTTGACCTTCCCAAGACATGGTTATTTCTTTTGTAAGATCGGCCTTCTCCTTTCAAAACATAAACCACAAGCCACTGCTGCACCTAACTTGGTTTCTTCCCCTGATTATTTGAATTTCAGCAAGATGGGTTCTCAAGGCAACACTGCAAATGCCGATATCTACAGTCTACCGGCAAAGCCGTTTCCTATTAAGGTGAACTCTCCGAATGGAGGGAATCGACCGAATTATGTCATCTTTATGCCAGATCAGCTCCGCTATGATTCTTTGGCTTGCACGACGGACGGCACTGCCGGCATCAAAACACCAAATATTGACGCATTTCGGCGTAGGGGAACACTTTTCACCAACTGCTTTCTCCAGGCATCTGTATGTTCTCAGTCCCGATGTAGTATGTTTACAGGCACATACCCACATGTGAGTGGCCATCGGAGCTTGGAGAACTTAATCAAACCTTGGGAGCCAAATATCTTCCGCAGTCTGAAGGAAAACGGCTACCACGTGGCGTGTCTAGCACCGAGAGGCGATACATTTGCGCCTACGGTGACAGAGCTGAGTATGGATGAGTATGGCTTTTTGGAAACGCCTGAATTCATGCCCAAGTTTGCTAAAGATAGAGGTCCTCTTGACGGCGTTGACAAGGAGAGTATCTGGAGTCGGCTCTTCTATAAGGGGGTTCGAAACTCTAAGGAGGCGATCGACTATGATGAGGCTGCTGTACGGTCGGCCATTAGATGGCTTGACTGCCCTCCGGATGACAAGCCATGGCTCCTTTTCTTGCCTCTAATATTCCCTCATTGTCCATTTCAGGTGGAAGAACCCTATTTCTCGATGTATCCTCGAAACGAAATGACAGGGATCGTCTCAAAGCCAGAAGGCAAGACTGGCTATGAACCACAGTACATGAAAGCTATACGAGAGAGATATGGCACATCCCGTGCTACTGATGAAATTTGGAAAGAAATCAAAGCTACTTATTATGGGATGATTACTCGCCTAGATGACCAATTTGGCCGTATTATGGACAAGGTAGACAATCTTGGATTATGGAACGATACAGTAACAATGTTCTATACCGACCATGGCGAATATCTTGGCGATCACGGGCTGATTGAAAAATGGCCGTCTGGTCTTTCAGAGACGCTTGTGCGTGAACCGCTTATCATCGGAGGCGCCAATCTTCCCCAAAACCATACAGTTGATGCTCTCACCGAAATGGTGGACCTTGTACCAACTCTACTTGAGATGTCTGGGATCGGCGAGCATTTCCCGCACAACGGAAAATCATGGGTTCCTCTCCTCGACAGCTCGAAGACTCTAGAACATAAAGAATACGTCTTCTCCGAGGGTGGCTTTCTTACATGCGAGGAGCCTTTGCTCGAGCAGGCTCCTTATCCATACGACATCAAGGCTGGCTTGCAGCACGAGGATACTACTCTTGTCGGCAAGGCTATCTCCCTTCGCGACAAAGAATTCACATATATATATCGTCTATACGAGCCTGCAGAGTTGTACGACCGCGCCAGAGATCGACACGAAATGCATAACTTGGCCGCTGACCCTGATTACAAGGACAAGGTAGAAAAGTACCAGATGGTAGTATTGAAATGGCTTGTGGGTGGAAGTGATCTTTTGCCGTGGCATAAAGATACCAGATTCCCGCAAGTTGAGCTTAAGAGTCCTCGAGAACAGATGGAGGAGCGGCTCAAAAAAGTCGACAATAAAAGAAAACAGAATGGGAATGTGAAACATGACGAGGACCTCCAGACCAATGCGTTGAAGACCGCTGCTCAGTAAATGGCATGTAGCACCGTTGCTACAACGGATTACCTGGGGGATTTTCCGGTATTCATATGTCCTCATTTTCTGTTTACTCAATACTCACGTCCTTCAGTGTTGAACAATTTAGAGACTATGTATCCGTGACTTTCATCAAGGTCTTTTAAATATCTCTTTTTTAGCCAAAATTGAATATAAAGGAAACGTGTTGTGTACCATTACTAGACTCAATAAGCTACTCAAATTCGTGTTGCTATTCCTCCGTCAGCATAACGTACCTCAATCCTTTAAAGGTGAAGATGCAAATCGTTGAGAGTCGTTATCCGTATTGAGATGTCGCAGATTCTGTTTATTTCTATAGGCATGTAAACTTCTACAAGGGTAATAATACAAGTGTAGTGATCCCTTGTCGAGGAAGTAATGGTACCCTTGTCCAATATTTTTTTAAACCATTGTAGAGGTATGGATCGAAAGCAGGTAGGGGAACGCTAGCACACGTGTGCCACAAGATCACTAACATGACTAAGTGGATCCCCCAGCAAGACAGCGAGGGCGAGATCCGGCGGTTTTCTTTATGAGACCGAGATCCGACTTATTTATCCCTTGATCCGACTGCAAAGATCTTGAACAAGGGCCACTCCTCGCTGTTCGCTCATCCTTAAAGGTTTCGCCCGGGATCCGAATAGTCCATATAATGACAATTCAGCATGCATCGAATAGCCCCGGATCGGCGGAGACCACCGACCCAAGAGAGCTGGCAAATGCTTGCCAGCTGGACCAGCCTGACAGAATTTCAGCGCCATGCAAACAATGCAGGGCACGCAAGGTCAAGTGTGATCGTTACGAACCCCGCTGTCGTGGATGTACACGGCTTCAATTACAATGTTCTTATAGCAGGCCTTCTAGAAGTAGAAGTCCAGACCTCGAGAGTACGAGCGACTTGACACAAGCCGGGACGAAGCGAAAAAGATCTCGTAAAGCCTGCCAAACCTGCCGAACCGGGAAATTCAAATGCAATGGACAATACCCATGTGACAGATGTGTATCCCGGCGTTTGACCTGTCCTGATGCGATAACATCGACGAAATACGACAATGATACTCATCAACAACGTAGACTTGTCGACACTCAGTTGAGCTCCATTTACCAGCAAAGATCCCCGCCAAAAGACGACGTCGTTGTGACACTGACTCCAAGAACGATTGATACTCATTCCGGTGGCCATTCGGCAATTTCTCTGCTGGATAAAGCAAGTACAAGAAGATATCTCGAGGCCTACTTTAACAGCACAGCTCGAGAGTTCACTGTCTTCTTACATAAGCCAACGGTATTTGCGAATTGGGGAAAGGGGAGGCTTGATGCATCGTTGCTCAAGACTTTGACTGCACTGGGGTGGCAAGCGACCAATGCTCAGGCAGAACAGAATGATTTCGCTCGGGTTTCGCTGCAAGAAGTTCAAAATGCAGCTCTCAGGAGCATCGGACGAACCAGTATATCACAGCTTCAGGTTCTGGTTCTATTGACACAACATCATGTTCGAATAGGCAACAATGCTGATGCATGGAACCTACTTCCCTTAGCGGCTCGCATGGTCTTTACTTTACGTTTGAATTATGAACGAGAAGACCTCGATATGGTAGAGCGAGAGACTCGTCGACGGCTTGCTTGGGCTATTTATGAGCTGGACAGGTTTTTCTGCGGAGGTGTACAAGATCTGGCAGTATGTGTACCAGAGATGATGCACATTCGGCTGCCGTGCGACGAACAGAGCTTTCAACGGGGTATTGATTCACGAGCTGGGTTTTTGACAGAAAATGGAGTTCAGGATGGAATGGACATACATGCATTTCTTCCAAAACTACTGGCAACCCGTGACCGAATTCTCAGGTCAGGCCTCCATCTTGGCTCTCGGCATTCTTTATATCTACTAATAGAAGAATTAGGTACACCAAAAGAATCAGAAAGGAAGGTATAAGCCCGTCTGCCAGTTATCTTGAGATGGAGTCTTTACAAGCAGAATTAGACCACTTCGAACAGAATCTTCCAGCGGATCTCAAGTTGAACCCCGAAAGGCTGACTCTTATGGTGCACTCTGACGATTCGGTCAAATATGTCGCTCTGTGGGTGCACTGGATGCAGTGTCACTGTGATTTGTATCGCTTTTGTGTACCGGGCATTCGAGAATCTCTAGCGAAGGAGGTGATGGCCCAGACATCGGCCGAATTCATTGCACACTGTCAGACACAGTGTCTGAGGATGGCTATTCAGCTCTGTGACTTCTGGGCGCAACTCTGGGATCTCGAACCAAGTGGGCGCGTCAGCGATCGTTTCATTCCGGTGTCAATCTATCAAGTCGCGCAAATATTGCGTCAATTACGACACCTTCTCCCGCAGGAAGGAGAGCATTGCGTTGCTCGCCTCCAACAAAAGCTTCGCTACGCACTCGCATTCGCAGAGCCCCTGCAAAGTATATTTTTAGCTTCCGAAAAGTGTTTAGTTGAAGCCGAGAAAGTCATCAGATCTCTGGGTGAAAACGCTAATGCCTACTCGACGCGTGCTTCGAGTGTCGACGACGAAATCACCCACGGCCATCTTGCGTCTCGATTTTCACTTGTGCAAAATCTGCTCACAAATTCGCATACAGTAGAGAACGAATCTCAAGTTCAATCTGTGATGGAACAACCTACTGCTGATTTATCTGGCGAAGCTGCTCATGATGTAGCGCATGTGATGATAGACATTGCGAGTACAGAGCAGGCCGAAATCAGACCACTGGATAATATGATGCCGTGGGACCCGTTCGACGTGCAAATGAACGACTATTATAACCCGGTACTGGGCGACTTTCTCTCTCCTCTGGGTTCGCAGCATGATTATCCAATCGACATTTGAGGGCTGCCTGTTTGTGTTCATACATATGTCTAATTATCGCCTTGCCCTTTCGGTATGACAGGAATCGCCAGGTTGGGATACGAGCCTCAGCAGCTATCGATTGCAGCAACAAGAACATTGAAATGATGTGTTACAAGTATATTCTTCGTCTCGTCTTCTCATGGGATTCTACTATGGCATTTGAGTTTTCCTAAACCAAATGAGAGATGCTGAGCCGTGATGTATGAAGTTTCGCAAACACTGAGATATGCCATTGCTGCAACCTCTCTCGCTGCGTTGTTACCGGGATGGGGGCTGTGCAACGCATCTAGCGGGTCTTTTGTGACAATTATTTCGTCTAGAGCGCAAATAAGTGAACATATAACACAATCGAGGAAGGCGAATATAATTTGAGGATATTTCCTCTCGCATGCCTCGGGAAAACTACAATCCAGATGATGTGCCGGCACCATGGGTGTTACAGATATGATGGGGTAAACCCTAGTACAGTACCAAGATACTACTTGCTGTTTGAGATGAGAGACATGTTGTATGCGTGTTTCTGACGAAGACATTGCGATTTCGTCGGCTATTAAAGAAGAGAATTGCCGTAGGAATCCCGTGAGCTGACGACGTAAATACATGCCGGTGTTAGTAGACTCGTAATGTTCTATGTTTGCGCACAGATGATTTTGATCTGCCTCGTTCTCGTTATCAGGAAAAGTTTGAGTATTCTCCTCAAGATCTTGTGCGATCTGAAGGCACTGTAAGAGTCCTGGTCAATTAAAATTAATGGATCTAGGGCGCACCTACAAATGGAGCACGAAGTAGCTCAAGCATTGCACGTTCGAAACCCGACTGAAGTATTATCGGATCAACTCTCTGCATCAAAACTTTCGTGCCTCTAAGCAAAGAGCCGTATCTCTGAGAATTCGGATAACCCAACAATAACTAAGGCCTCGTCATTATACAGGCTTTACAAAAGACTAAAAGCTTGAAAGAGTTTTTCAAGTAATCCACGAACCTCACAATATTGGATCACGATAGATGCGCATATCGTCTCACTGTTCGTTTGGGAAGCAGAATCATCGATGATCCCACGAAGGGTACCCAGTCCCTTGCCGTAAGCTTTGAGTGTACTTTTCTGAGCATGGCCGACTCGTGAGAAGTCGCAGTATGCATGCCAAAGGCAGTATACCGCGGCATCTAACGCTTTATTTACACCAAGTCTACAAGGGACAAATGGGAAAAAAGTGCCGATTGCCTGGGGTGAAAGGTTATTGTTGCAGTTGCTGTCCGTGAGAATGTACGTGAGCATGCTTCCTAAGCGCTCCGAACGAACCGGTCGAGGTCGGCGGATAAGCGGAAATGCGAAAATGTGACTCTTTATAGACTCCAGCTCTGAATCATTGGTGTCTACATCAAATGCGTATCTTCTTGAAGCGAAGATACGATCAAGATGAGAATTTTCGTCTACAAATCGAAAGGACCTGGTATAACCGGGGCAAGACCATTTACCATTAACGCATGCGAGACAATAGGGTATCTCCTCTCCGCACTAGATGTATAGGCTATGAGCATCACGAGCGGATAAATTTCATCGAGCAAGCTTACCTTTATCTTCCTCTGTCGACATATTTTGCAACCCGTGCTGCGGCGTGTGCCGCCCATCCCGAACGCTTTTAGGGAACTTCAGCACACAGTCTTTCAATCAAGTGAAGGATAAGACCTGGCAACGATCGTCATTGGCTTGATCAAGGAGGTGTTTTCTCTGCTTCGACTTTCTGGTTTCGGTGACAAATGTCCCTCTCAAAAGATGATTCCCGACTCTCCCACCCAAGGAACTTTGAACTAGATGGGACTAACTCGGTTGGGTTAAGTCGATGTTAGCAGATTTTGTGGAGCCAACAAACTTGGGTTCTAATTGGTGGTATCGCAATATAGAACCATAGTCGTGCATAGACACTCACCTAGACCTCGATCGAGGACGCAGAAACCTAAGAGATGATATATGGGGAATATGATTATGATTTAATGCGGATGACAAATTGAAGAAGAATAATCGCTTTAAACCACAGACTAAAACGCGCAGATGTACTTCACTTACAAGTTTTAAAGATCGTTCCCGTCCACTCTTCCCGTGACAGACTTGAAAGGGGGTTATGCCTATACCGTAAAACACTCTAAGAAAATTTTGATTTGCAGTTGATAACTAATCCATCAGCATTTTCGTTTTGTCGATATATTTATTCTTATTTCATTTTTTCCTCTTTACAAAATCAGAGACAATGACTTCCATGAATCCGCATACGTCGCTCAAGGTCGGCATCGTAATCGGTAGCCAACGTGTTATTCGCTCTTGTCCCCAAGTGGCTCAATTTGTACTCGACATACTCAGGTCGTCTTTCGACAAGAAGCATACTCCTAGCCTTCAAATCGATTTCTCACTTCTCGACATAGCCGATTTCGAGCTACCTCTTGCTGATATCCCCAACCTCCCCTCTCATATGAAAGAGGCCGACCTGCCGGGATCTTATGAGAGCAAAAGTACACAAGCTTGGTCCTCAGCTGTGGATTCTTGCGACGGATTTGTCTTCGTGACGCCGCAATACAATTGGGGCATGCCAGCTGCCCTTAAGAATGCACTGGATCACATTTTCCATGAATTTACTGGCAAGCCTGCTATGGTTATTGCTTACGGTGGGCAAGCCGGAACCTTGAGTGCCGCGCAGTTGATCACTGTTCTCAGCGGAATGTTCGTTCGAGTGTCAAAGAAACCTGTCTGTATGAAATTCACCGACAAGGACATGCTATTTCGGTCAATCAAGGGAGATGAGTTGGGTCTGAACGCTGCTAGCAATGATGGGACATGGGCAGATTACAAGAAGGGGATTGAGGAGAGATGGGACGAAGTGCTGAGTCTACTTGTGAAAGGGAGAGAGAAACCTACTATACGATCTCTTGGACTGAAGCAGCTGTGGGAAGACACAGTAGGTGACGCATACAATGTTGAGCTAAAGTTTGCTACAAAATAGGCATGGATAGCTTCATTCACCTGATTAATCTCTATACTGCGAGACCTAATTGCATATTATTCTGTCTAAATGTTTCTCGAAGCGTCTACCTCCAACGTGAAGATCAAGAGCTTTCCTGGAAGGCCTTGCGGTTAACCGGTGTCAGGGGCTCCCCGATGAACTCGCCCTGCTCACCAACGACGGCCAATATATTTTTCATAGCATTGAGTTCAAAGTTTATCCGTGTGTCAATGGCACCGCCGCCGACATGCGTCGTGAGGGTGACATTCTCCATTTGAGCTAGCTCATGCGAGACCTTAGGCTCGTGGTAGTGTACATCAAGACCGGCAGCAGCGAGCTTGCCGCTCTTGAGGGCGTCTATCAGTGCTGCCTCGTTGACGACTGGACCCCTTGCTGTGTTGATCAGTCGTGCACCCGTCTTCATGGCAGCGAACGCATCGGTATTGATAAGGTCTTGCGTGTGTGCATTCAGAGGTGTGTGCAGACTAACACAGTCTGCCACAGCCAATAGGTCATGCAGGTTTGAGTAGAAAGTCGCACCTAGTTCTTTCTCGACATTTTCAGGGGAGCGGACGACATCGAAATAATGTATCTCCATGCCCAGTGCTGTTCGCGCCTTATAGGCTAGCTTCTTGCTAATATTACCAAGACCGATGATGCCAAGAATATGCCCGCGCGGGTTTTTGGATATAGGCGCTATGCCTTTATGTGCTTCATTGAATTTATATGGATCACACGTACGAGCCGCGAGTTGCGACCGAGTGAAGTTTCTGAACACGGACAAGATCATGTAGAGCCCTGTATCCGAGACAGCTTCATCGCTGGCTCCGGCGCCATTGGCATACCATATCTTCCGCCGCCCAAGGCCGTCAACATCGGCCCAGTTGAAGCCCGCGCCGGCTGACGCAAAAATCCTTACGGATGAAGGTAAGAGAGATATAAGTTCTTCGTCCCATTGACCCATCTCGCCACCTGTTTGGAAGTGTGGGCGATAAATAGCGGAGAAATTTCCATATCTGTGGCAAGAGATGTCGTGAGTCTTTGCTTGATTTGAAAGTACTCTGGCATGCTTACTTATTTGTCCTGAGAGCCTCAATGAAAGAGGCTCGGTCAGTGGTGTCGCTTCTTATGACTTGAAACCGTTCACAGAATGTCTCATTGTAGAAGTCATGGTTGTATTTGATTGGTTCTCCGATGTGGAGGACGATTGGCTTATCAGGCATGACGATTGATCAGGCGTGATATTTAGCAGGTACCTTGAGACCGCAAGAGAGTCAGAGATTATTAAGAAGACAGGGTATTCATTCATTAGAGCCGAGGACAAGCTTGATTGCTTGGGCTGTCTCGATGAATAGAAAGAAAAGATTGCGGATTCTCCTCCGTGAAGACCACCCAAATGTCAAAAGCGTCACCAAAAGAGCTGGTGTTTTGAGCTGTGTTTCTACTCACTTGAGGCTAGTTGTGCTCACAATGTGGATAGATTGAACTATAGCTAGAAACAAGATTAGGTAGGTGTGCATAAAGATAGGAGGAACTTGCCGAGGCCGGGATGCATGGAGGTTGTGGGGGTGCCTCATTGTGGAGAAGTCAAGTAACCTAGCTATGCGGGGTGACAAGCCTTGACCAACCGTGGAGTTGTCCTTGGTGCATCGGTGAGAAGTCCGATGGAAGCAGAGATCCGGAAAGAGTGTCAGTTGGGGTAATGTCATGGACACTAAAGTGAATGCCAATAGTGGTGCATCAGTAGTTATGGATCCAGCTTCACTTGCCGGAGGTCAGCAAGCTAGTTTGCCCAATGAAAGTCCAGCGAAAGATACACCCAAGCATTTGACATGATACGTCGATGGATTTCCAAGCTCATTGGTCTAACGAAATCCACGACTTCCAGAACGCTACAAACTGTTGTCCAAATAGAAGACATCATGTCATCACAAAACCCAAAGAGCGTCTCGCTTGAAGAACTCAGCAGACACAACGAAAAACACGACTGCTGGGTTGCTGTGCATAACAAAGTTTGGGATGTGACTGAGTTTCTAGATGAGCATCCAGGTGGTGCAGAGAGTACTACAGTCCTTGCCCAATCTTCTAGATCTACTGGCTAACTACATGCCTTTCGAATTCTCTAGTCATTTTGAGCTGTGCAGGAGCCAACGCGACTGAGGAGTTCGACAAAGTCCATGCACCAGGAATGTTCGAGGAAAACCTTTCCATTGATACATTCAAAGGAGTATTGGCACGGGCAAGCAGTGATACGGCAGCGAAGGGAACAATAAGTGAAGCTAAGGAAAGGAAAGAAGAGGTTCAAAAGTCTTCAGACCCAAACCGGCCACAATTGCACGCGATTATAAGTGCCGCCGACTTTGAGGATATTGCCAAAACTCAGGTTTCTCCCAAGACATGGGCATTCTACTCGTCTGCAGCCACAGACCTTGTCACGCATCGACAGAACAAGGACTTCTTGAGACGAATTATGATCCAGCCGCGTATCCTCCGAGATGTGAGGCACGTCGATATTAGTAGAAAAATACTCGGGTGTGAGAGCCAAACACCTTTCTTCATCAGTCCGGCAGCCATGGCTCGGTTGGTCCACCCTGATGGAGAACTGAGCCTGGCTAAAGGCGCAGCAGCGGAAGGGATTATACAATGTGTAGGTAGTTGTGCTACGCTCAAAAGTGCCTTTCGAGTTTTCTTTTTTTTTGGTTGACCAGACCTGTTGTACCAGATTTCAAACAACGCTTCTTATCCTCTTGGCACAATAGTCCAATCCGGAGAAACAGGACAGCCTTTCTTTTTCCAACTATACGTCAATTCTGACCGGAAGAAGACAACTGAACTTCTGCTAAAAGCCAAAGGGCTTGGAATCAAGGCTATATTTGTTACGGTAGACGCACCTGTTCCGGGAAAGCGCGAGGCAGATGAGCGCATTGCTGCTGGCAATGTGCAATCTGCTATTAGTGGCGCTCAAGCAACGAATGACAAAAAGGGTGGCGGTCTTGGCAGGTTGATGGCACAATATATCGATAAATCCCTGACTTGGGCCGATATATCATGGATCAAAGAGATCTCAGGGCTTCCTGTAGTTCTCAAGGGGGTTCAAAATGTGGAGGATGCAAAGATGGCGGTACAGTACGGAGCGGATGGCATTTTTCTCAGCAATCATGGAGGAAGATCCTTGGACACGTACGAGTTCCTACAAGCCCTGACATTACCAAAGTCAAGAATACTCGAAGCTAATATCCCTTTATTAGTTCTCAACCCGCTATCTTGAATCTTCTCGAACTTAGGATGAAGTGTCCTGAGATCTTTTCACGCCTTGAAGTTTATGTCGATGGAGGGTTTGAGAGGGGCACAGATATCTTAAAGGCTATCGCACTAGGCGCAACAGCCGTAGGGCTGGGAAGACCATATTTGTACTCACTTGTTTACGGGCAGGAGGGTGTGCAGCATTTGACGCAAAGTAAGCCAACTACCTTTGTTTTTCAGGGCATCGTCTCTCCCTCATATAACTCTAAATCTCTAGTTTGCTAATACCATGAAAGTTTTGAAAGACGAACTAGAAGTCTCGATGAGGATTTGCGGTCTCAATACTTTAGACCAGGCAACTCCCGATTTGCTAAATACTGCAGACATAGACTATTTGGTCAGAAAGAATGGGTTATTCGCGGACTTAGCCTCGAAACAACCGCAAGCAAGATTATAGATTAGGCTTTTGGGGCAATGACATCAGAAATACATTGATATATTCATTTACAAAAATCCTCATCAAGTTAAGGTTTTTTATCAGTTTCACTTGCGTACTTGGAGTCTCAGCGGCATTCCACGGCTGGATATATGGTCATTGCTTTGTCTTTAGATAGATTTGAGACTTTATTACGCAAATGATTAAACTCTTTTACATCCCTTCGACATTTCTTGGGCGATAGCCAGCTTCCAGGAACTTCAGCTCCTCGTCGCTCAACCTCACTTTTATTGCTTGCACAGTTTCTTCGACACGTTTTTCACTGTTGAGGCCAACAATAGGCCAGCAGCCCTTGTGCAGCACCCACGCCGTCGCCACCAGCGGCATTGCCAAACTCTTATCCTTCGCGACCTTTTGCACTGCATCAACAATTTCCAAGTTGGCGTCAGCGAACCAGGCTGCAGTCTTGGCATCTGTTTGCTGGCGTAAAGAATTCCCGCTCTTGTCGTTGCCGCTCTCTGCTATCCTCGATTTCGCAAGCATACCACGGGCGAGTGGACTCCAGGGTATGACTCCAACACCCGTGGCTTGGCAAAATGGTATCATTTCGCGCTCCTCCTCGCGATATAGCAAGTTGTAGAAGGGCTGCATGCTTACGAATGTTGTCCAACCGTGTAGCTGTGCCGTATATTGAAGGCGGGCGAACTCCCAGGTATACATACTTGAGGCGCCTAGATAGCGTACTTTGCCGCTCATGACAACCTCATGTAATGCCCGCATAATCTCCTCTGGTGTCGTCTCGCGGTCCAGTCGGTGAATTTGGAGTACATCTAGAAGGGGGACCGTGAATTAGTAAATTTAGAGTGAATAATTAATGGTAAGTTACGAACCGATGTAGTCTGTATCGAGGCGCTTGAGACAATTGTCCACGGCATCAAAAACATGCTTCCTGCTTAATCCCATTTGATTCACCAGGGGACCGTCATTGACAGATGCGGGGCGAGAATCATCATCCATAACCGGATTAAAGATTTTTGTCATGATGACCACCTTGCTCCTTGGGATATTGAACTTCTTGATGGCCTTGCCAACAATGACTTCGGACTGGCCATTGGAATATGTGTCTGCCGTATCCTGTTTCGAGCATTATTATCACCGTGGGTAGCTGTTGGTCTAGTGAGTACTAATACTTACCCATGTATTGATACCAAGGTCGTAGGCTTTCTTGATAACCTTCAAACTCTCTTCCTCGTCCAGCACCCAGGGTGAACCATGCCACTTACTAGACCCAAAAGTCATGCATCCAAGAATGATCTTGGAGACCTTCAGTCCACTGGTCCCGAGGCTATAGTCCAACTTCAAGTTAGATGAATTGAGACCCCTTAACATATTACGATTCTATTGACAACGTACCGCGTGTATTCCATGGCCGCCAAATAGCTCTTACCAGATGTGGTTGATGCACAAATCCGGCAATTAATTCAGAAGCTGACCTTCTATAGGTTAATCTGTGTCTTGATCTTTTAGGGCCTAAGATCATAGGACATAAGCTATGCGAGTAGACTTCCGTTGCCACCCTGTTTCCGAGCAAATAACAGATGCTGAATAGCGATGGAGTCGGAAATGTCCCCTTCAAACTCCGGGTTGCCCCCCATGTTAGTTGGAAACATAATGGTGACGATCGAAGTGGGGGAGTAGCTTCGGAGTTCTCGCCGAGCCTGTGCCCGGGGTCCGCAATTGGACTTCTCTCCCTGCGGCGGCCTCCCCCTACCAACTAACATGCCGATCAACGTGCGGCTTACAAGGGAAAGAGCATGAAGTGCACTATTTGCAAGGTGCATCTGATAGAACAGGTCGCAGTGCCTTCAAGGGGCGCAAAGCACTATTAGTGTATGGGCCCGATATGTCCCTACTGTAGTAAAAATGTTACTGGAAATAAATCACTATAGTTCTTGTCCGAGCCCAGCTGGCCTGGATTTCTGTAGCGAGACTTGTTAAACCCTCATTTTATTCCTGCTACCATGGGATCACTTGGAGAATACGTCACATCACAAGATGAGCATATCCTTATCACCGGCGCTGCCGGTTTCATCGGCCAAGAGTTGATGACCTCCTTTCTTCTTTCTTCTTCAACTCTACGTCTAACTATCACGGACGTGGCTCAGCCCCCTATTCCGGCCTCATGTTCAGCTCACTCGGCCCGTGTAACAGCAATCAAGAGTGACCTCACTGCCCCGAGCGCCGTCAAGTCTCTATTCACTCCTCGCTTTTCGGCGGTCTACCTGCTTCATGGTCTCATGTCTGGCGGTGCCGAGGCCAACCTCGAGTTGGGCTGGCGCGTCAACTTTGAGAGCCATCGCATCATCCTCGACTACCTGCGTTGTCAACATCCAGGTACCATCGTTGTGTTTCCTAGTAGCTTAGCTGTTTACGGGCCCCCAGCGGCCATGGGAGCTGTGACCAGCGAGTTGACCTGCCCTCAACCACAGTCGAGCTACGGCGCTCAGAAGCTCATGACGGAGACCTATCTCAACGACATGTCACGACGTGGGCTGCTCGATGGCCGCATAGTGCGCCTGCCTACCGTCATTGTCCGACCCGGACTCCCTTCTGCCGCCGCGAGCTCATTCGCGAGCGGCATAGTGAGAGAGCCATTACAAGGAGTGCCAGCTGTGCTACCCGTAGCGCCGAGCCTGGAGATGTGGGTGTGCAGCCCGCAAACAGTGGTACGCAATTTGATACTGGTGAAGGATGTTCCGGGGGACAGGTTTGGTCTAAGCAGAGTGGTGAATCTCCCAGGCGTCACAGTCACAGTGCAGGATATTTTAGACGCTCTGCGAACTGTTGGAGGGGATAAGGCTTTAAATCTTGTAGAGGAGAAGCGAGATGCGAAAGTGGAGGCTATTGTAAATAGCTGGCCGGCAAGATTTGACATTGGTCGCGCTACAGGATTGGGTATGGTTAGTGATGTCTCCGTCTTGGAGACCGTCGGAGCATTTGCTGCAAACCTGAGGAGTTAGTTGATCAATAGACGTAAACATGTACTTGACTTATAGATTATTGCTATACTATTGTCTGAAATCGTGGTTCGTGGGGCTCAATCCAAACGAGTCGTTGCCAAAAGACATGAGATGCAATACGTCCATAGACATATCATAGTTGAGCAGAAAACTTGGGTCGAGATTCGCAATATTTCCATCGTTCGTTGCGAAGTTCCCGAAGTCAGCCTGTTGGACTGGGAACTGTGGCGCGACGGAGTAAGCAGCCTGTGTCGCAGTGACCTGGGCCGGTACCGCTACGTTGCGTAGTGTTTCGGCAATCTTCTCCAAGCCGTTCGCCATCAGATGTACAAGATGCCATTTACCGACTGGTGTTGATCGATATAAGACTATCAATCTGGACATCAGATCGAGGACGGTGGGTCTTTCGACTATGCTATCGCCATGAATCATGCTGGATTTGGCGAGGAACATGCAAGCGAAAGCAGTCATTGAGTGAAGATAGGATGGCATTCCCACTAGAGAAGCTCGCATATCTAGATCCGTGCAAAGGAAGTCAATAATGGATGTAGCAGCTGTTATTGCGGCTGTGGCTGCGCCGATCAAGTATTGGGGTATCGAAGAGTTGCGTAGACCGCGAAAGACATGCGAATAGAGATGAAGTCTGGCGAAGTGGTAATGGAGAACGATTCCCTTGCGCGGAAAGCCGCCTATTTTATCGTGGTGTTCTAAAGTCGAAGTTAGTTCAAAGCACTCACAAACTGGCCGGGCGAGTCTCGGTTGGCAAGATCAGAACTAAAGGGGCAGCCAGTATGTACCTTGCAAAGTGACCGACCAATGCGCAACCCACTGATCGAGCTGGCGTGAAAAGTTGTTGATCTGATTGAGATACACCTTTGGAATAACCTCGCCAGTGTCAGGACCAAAAAGCTCACGGATGTTGTGTACAATAGTGAGCAGCACAACCTGGCTGATTAGACGAGCATCAGTGTCGGTAGCAAGAGGGGAAGACATGAATCCTTCCCAGCCTAAGATAGCATTGTCCTCCGGTAGGACACACTGGCGGCCATAGAGTGTAGAAAGATGCTGGTCGCAGATGTATAGCAGATACCACAATCGAACACAATCGGCCGCTTCCTGGCTGCTCTCTGTGATAAGCTTCTGGTATTGGTTCGCTAGGCTAAGTTCCACTGCGCGACGAACAGCGTAGCCGGAGACCATCCAGGAAATATCGCTCAGCCAGTACGATGCCACACACATGGCGCGGATATGGTCGCGATCTATGCGACGATCAAATATTGACGCCGACATAAGCCGCCGGAATTCTCGAATGCAAGTGCCGTAGAACGATGAGCTTTGCAAATCATGTAAAGCAGCTACAGTCAAAATAGCAGCAGAAAGTATGCGGCTGGCGCGGCGCATCGCATCAAGAGTCGGATAGACTCCGCCAACTTGGTAAAAGTAATGATCGAGGCGGTTCATGTACAGTTGGAAAAGGCGCTCGGCCTCGTGGAGCGGCAGAGCTCCATTGGATATGAAGTCGTCTATTGAATTTCGACTCGTATCTGGTTCCGTTCTGGCCTCGTTCGCCTCTGGAGATCGCAAGGCACTGAGCTTCGTTAGGTGATACACTGAATGAATAGGCACCTTGGGCAGGTCATCATCATCCTCTGGTCCAATCCTCGGCGAGTTGTCGCATGAAGGACCAACGTCTTCTAGTTGCTGGAGATCGCCTGGCTCATCAGAAATTGGTGTTGTCATAGTCTGCCGGGCGCTTTGGAGCTGAGCAATTGGTGGAAGGTTCAAAGATCTCAATATCGTTTGGACGCTATTATGGACTGTCTCTAGATCTTGTATCAGAGCATCAGTTGGACTAGACATGTAACAATGGTCATCAGTACTGTAGATGGCAAAAGAAGAGGGGCAAAGGTGCTCACGGTAGCCTCTCACTAATTAATGCTTGAAGACTCTTATTGAGCACACAGCAGAGTCCTTTTTCTTCGCATCGGCGACAAGGCGGGCCTCTATCGTCCATGATGCATTTGATCTGAGGTTCCGTGTTAGTCTCCTTCGCACAGACAATGCTCAATTTCTTAGCAGCCTACCTTTTGTTTCCTGCAGGCAGCGCAGGCCTTCACTCGCCGAGATATTGCAGGGACACGCTGCTGGCCATTATCATGACCGTCTAGTCCTATTGGCATGTTCTGAGCACTATCTCCTAGCACGAAACTGTCATTTCTCCTTTGCAGATGATGTGTTGAACCATCTGTTGCACTTAGATGATGGCCGTCAGTAGAAGCAGCCTCGGCTCCTTCTCCAACGCTTGCTTCAGCCCATGTGCGTTTGGCCATCATATCTCGAGGCCAGAAATAAGATCAATGAGAAAAGAAGAGGAAAAGAGAAGTTGGAGAACGAAAGGATGGTTTGCGGGGGAGAAATGGATCGTCAGAGACTAACACAGACCTTGCAAGCATGTGCAGGCACTGGGTGACCCCTCAACCACTAAATGCCTTCCCATATTTCAGCGGGTCAAGAGCCTGAACACCGTGGTCCAGGTCAGCATTCGTGGGCAACGGTGCGGAGGCGATGCGCGGAGACATGCCGACACTTCACACTAAGCAACGGTGAATGCCGCTGGTGGATCTTATTTTGGAGCCGCCTTCTTTAGGAGAAACAGGCAACTTGGAATCCGCAGTTTGGTTTGCTATCTGGCTACACTATGACTACTTTCCCCTCATCTACCGTCACTAATTGCACACACTCTTGCTGTTAGTGGCCTGTAAGTCTTGTTTGATGCTCGGAGCCACTTGATGATCATGGGACTACTGGCAGCTGTCCTCCCGCGATCTCATTTGATTCTCTCAGAAGAGCCTTCTCGAAATATTCAGTGGGGTAAAGAAGGCTAGGCTTTGTTCTCGGCGTGAACAACCGATGCGTCCCTTTTAGCTGCCACAGCCTCTTCATCATCTGCTTGCATCTTCGCTGCAAGCATGTCCTCAGTACCATGGCGAACTTTTTCTTCCTCCGTCGGGTAAGCATGGCGCCACATTGTCCAGATTGAGTTCTGGAACAGGTCATCTGTGGACTCGATACTGCGTCCCTTGAATTCCGGCATGCAGAAGTAAACAAAGACAACCCCAATGTAGGTGAGCACGGCGTATAGAAGGAAAGTTCCCCAGCCCATGTTTGTCATCATTGATGGCGTCGCCTTTGTGATCGCGTAGTCAACGATCCAGTTGAGAAAGAAGCAGAAGGACATCGAGAAAGAGCGAATCCGTGCCGGGAAGATCTCGGCCGCAACGACGTAAGGCGCCACAGACCAGCCAAATGACCAACCGAAGGCATAGATGTAAATCCTAGTAACTGTTAAGTGAACATGGCCATTGAGAATGATGTCTAGCTTCAAAACTCACCAGATGATAGCAACTATTCCACCGGCTTCCGTGCCATGTGCAGCTGAAGGGTGCCCAAAGCGGATGTACAGGGCAATATAAAGCATCGACGTGGCTTGGAGGAAGGCTCCCACGAGCAATGGCTTTCTTCGTCCAACGCGATCAATGATGACAGCGACATAGAGAATGGTGAAAACCAATTTGACAAGCCCGTAGACGCCCGTGGTTAGGAGTGTTGTAGAACCGCCTTTGACACCAACCATCTCAAAGATCTCTGGAGCAAAATAGTTCAGACTGTCTGTACCGGTGAACTTATGGAATAAGAAAAGCATGGACGCCAGGAAAAATCGACGGCTGTTGCTTCGAATGAAAACGATATCTTTGATCACTTGAATATAGTTATGTCCTATGGTAAAGTGAGCATGAAGCTGAGCGATAAGACAATAGTCTTATGAAGCCATCACATACCTGCAGCAATCTCCTGTTCAGCGTCAACCTGGGCGCAGACCTCCATATACTCTTGGGCTACGTATGGGTGGTCTGCTGGTAGATTTCGTAGTTTGCAGAGATTCTTAAGTCCCCGTTCCCTCTTATTCTGAGCAATTAAGGCTCTTGGGGTATCGATAACAACTATTTCACGGTCAATACGCTGAAAATACTATCGTAACTGAAAACTCAGGATATCGAGCGAAAACCTACAAAACATCATGAGAAACATAAAACCACCCGGAATCAATTGAATGCCGAGGGCAAGTTTCCATTGCAGATCGCTAGAGTGATGCCATAAGCTGACCCCGTAGTTCGTCCAAAAAGCTAAGCTCAGAGCTAGGATGATGAAGAAGTTGTACATTGTTGTCAAGGATCCACGAATCGACTTTGGCGAGTTTTCTGCGAGATATTGTGGTGAGAGCATAGACATGCCTCCAATGGCGATACCCGCAAGCAATCGACCGGCGTAGAAAACTCCCAGATTGGCAATCTCCTGCATCGTACAGCCGACAATAAAGAGAAAACCAAATATAAGAAGTGATTTCTTCCGGCCGAGAAAGTCTGCGCATGGTGCAGCCAACAAAGCACCGGCAGAACCACCGGCAGCCACTATTCAGAAGTCAGATCTTGTTCAAGATGATATAGACGGGTTGTTGTGTTTGTAGACGTACTCATGGCCGCAATATCGCCCTCTAAAAGCACATACATGTCAGTTTCGTATTTACTCTCTGCTTTGCAGGTGACTTACCACGTCGATCTGCTTCATGCACACTCAATTTATCCAAGCCAAATGCATGCCGGAAACTTGGAAGAGTCAATACACCACCAATATTTCCCTGATCGAAACCATAGGAACAACCAGCAAAGGCAACCGTGATAGCAAGATAGAATAGTTTGGGATTGAAAATCTCCTTGGGGTCAGTTCTCCACTCAGGAGATGCCCAGATTGAAGTGCCACCACCCATTTTGAAAGAGACTATTCGAAGAAACACGATGTGCAAGGTAACTCCGTGATAGAAAACGGGTGTATAGAGAATCTGGTGTACTGTGAGATTTGAAAGACAGGAGACCATGCACAGACTTTCTATTGACTATATACTGCAATTCCGTTCTCAATCACACACTATGCACTCCTCCCTTGCCCGGTTAGTGAAGATCCCCGGGTCAGGTTGTACCGGATGTAGAAGAGAGCGGTGGCATCCTAACAACAGCCAGGGCGGCTGTGAGGTAACTGTCCAACCCGAATGAAGGTAATGCAGCACTTCGTTCGCCCCGCAATGTCCTTCCCCCATGACCTAGGCTTCTCCGCAAAAACTTCCCCGGCCAGATCCACTCCCTCCCCCAGTCTGGTAAACAACTGAAAGGCAAGGAATACGAACGCTAAACTCGAGCTAGGTGAAGGTCCAACAAAAGCGTCAGCACGACACCGGCGAGAAGTCCGTAGCGGTTGCAGATCGCAACCCGGCTCCACGCCACACAGTTGTGATACCGGAGCGGAGCGATTACCGGTTGACCAAGGTGCATGATAGTCGTGAACTCCCGTCACGAAGCTCCACAAGGCGCACATCTATGCGGCCTCTCATGACTCGTTAGAATATTACAGGTGTGATTTAAATTGTCTTTAACTCTAGTCGACGCATAAGAACAGTAGAGACTATAGTTTAGTGCAAGCAATCAGATGTCACTTACAACTGAGACCACCGCCTTTACTACTGCCACCACCATGACTAGTTCAACTTTGGGCGCTCAGGTCACTGTTGAGGAGAATCTTCCAGCAACCACAGTCCAATGCCACGCGTCCAATCTCCTTCGATTACCAGACGGGACACTCTTGTGCGCGTGGTTCGGTGGTACTCAGGAAGGGACATCAGATATCTCCATCTACCTCACCCGGCAAGAGCCCGGCTCAGCTAGTTGGTCTAAGCCCGTACGCGTCTCGTCAGACCCCGGTCGAAGCGAACAAAATCCTGTACTCTTCCGGGATCCCGCTACTGGCCGTCTGTGGCTTTTCCATACCGCACAGCCAGTCGGTAATCAAGATCAATGTGAAATTATTGCACGAACATCCGAGGACGGCCATTCTTGGACTGAACCTTTCTCTCCTTTTCCTAATAAGCGAGGCATTCTGGTCAGGCAACCAGTGATAGTTCAACCCGATGGCACTTGGCTTCTCCCTGTATTCTACTGTCGCGCTCCACCGGGGTTCCGTTGGAATGGTAATGATGATGCATCTGCCGTCATGTATACCAGAGACAGTGGAAAGACCTGGAAAGAACGCGAGGTACCGGGCTCTTTAGGCCTTGTGCATATGAATATTATTCCGCTGCATCCTATAAAAGGAGAATATGTGGCGTTATTTCGAAGCCGATGGGCAGATAACATCTACGTGTCAACCTCACAAGACGGCCTCTCGTGGGTAGAGCCGACTAAGACCACGCTACCCAACCCCAATTCCGGCATCTGTGCTGCAGCACTGCCAAACGGCAGCATTGTTGTAGTTTTCAACAACTCCAGCGCAACTCCCGGCATGCCGCGAAGAAAAGGTCTGTACGACGACATCACTCCTGAAGATGACAAGAGGCCTGACCAAGCAGAGGTAGACGGGAAATCGGCTATCTGGGGGACTCCAAGAAAGGCACTTTCCGTCGGTATCTCCAAGGATAGCGGAAAGACTTGGCAATACAAGTTATTGGAAGATGGAGATGGGGCATGCATGACAAACAACTCTGCAGAAAAGACCAACCGAGAAATCAGCTATCCTAGCATTCTAGTTGGTGGCGACAATGGCCCGAACAGTGTTGACATTGCCTTTACTTTTCACAGGCAATGCATCAAGCATGTGCAAATAGCTGATGTGGAGGAGTTTGTCAAGTCATGATTGGTTGGTATAACTGGCTGGTTTATCAACTTAAAAACATATAGAAAGCCATTGGGATCGTAAAAGAGGTATGGCGACCTAAGGATTGTCAATGAAATGTAAAGATATTTTTTAAATTCATGGTCTTGAGTTATATCCTATGTATTATCTTCATTGTGATATTGATTCCTCCGATCTAAACACACTAACCAAGACTTCCTGAGCTATCAAATCCACTCGTCCTCGGTTCTACGAGCTTTCGATTTTCGTAACATGGAGACATGTCTTGAAAATTATTATACAAGATAAACAGCCACCCGCATTGGCATGTTGACACTTGTCTGACACAAAATAAATCCACAAAAATGTGTCCCATGTTCTCTAAAATCTTTGATGCTAGCTTTTGATACCTTAAACATATCTATCGTGATAATGGCATTAGCACTACTCACTATTTAGTACCATTTACTACCCCTTTCCGACCCGAAAGCCTGTTCTCATCTTCTTCTAAAACCCCTAGTGTTTCTACACTCCACTTCTTCATGTCTTCTTTGAGCTCTAGATACGGCTTTCTCATCACAAACAATTTATTGTTATCGAGTCCAATATGCTTGCCGATGAAGTACCACGCTCCATATTTCGTGCATGCAAGGGACTTCTTGCAAGCCCATTCCGCTGCGGCAACCTTGTCTTGAAGAGCCCTGGCTTCTTCTGTCTTTCCTTGAACAAAGAAGTCGTATACCCGGGACGTTGACTTCGGGAATATGTTGCCCATGCCAGTCACGCATCCAACACCGCCGGCGTGCAGCGTAGGCAGTAGGTAGTCACTGCTGCCACCGAACACAGAGAAGTATTCCGGCTCAAATTTTGCTGTCAGGCGGGTGAGCTTTCCGACATTGCCGCACGTTAATTTTGTTCCCACGATATTGGGGTGTGATGAGAGTGTAGATAGCTGATCGGAGTCGAGATCGATTCCTGATGTCACTCCGGGAAACTGTGTTCGTCAGTCTCCTCTTCCTGCGCAATGAGACGCAGCTGGACTCACATTATAGATCACAATCGGAATTGGACTGGCGTCTGCCACCTCCTGGTAATAACCGACCAGTGCCTCGCTGCTCAGGGCTTTCGACCAGTAGCTCGGTGGCAGGAGAAGCCCCCAGCCTGCTCCAGCTTCTGCTGCCTCTTTTGCAAATTGAATCGTCTCTGCGGTGCTCTGGGCCGAGATTCCGGCTACTATAGGGTAGTCGGCCAGACCCATGTCGGTAACAGCTTGTCGTGCATTCTTTACGATAGCCTTACGCTCCTCATGATTGAGGAGTGCCATCTCACCGTTCGTGCCAAGATAGACTAGTCCATGCATCCCGCTGCTAACTAAATATTGGCAATGCTTATACATTGCCTCTAAGTTGACCGGTTGTCGTGGCGCGTCATCGTAAAGCGTAATTACTGGCGTGTAGACGCCAGGGGGCAGGGGTTTCGCCTTGGGAGTTACGATCTTGGTGGTCATGGCTGTGGATTTGGATATTTGTCCTGGATGAAGAATCCTGATAGCACGTTGGCTTGGAAAGTTGTTCTCGTGGTGATTATTGATTTGATTATTCTCCCAAGAACGGAAAGCCGCCACGATACTCCAATTACGTCGTTTTTACTGTGATTACTCGGTACTGTAACCGCGAGATCGGCTCCTACTCAAAGAGGTGGCCCACAATCTCCGCAACCCCTCTCACCGGACTTCTCCCCGGACCAGCATACCCCAACACTAGTCCTGAAGATAGTCTGAGAGGAAGAGCTGTTGAAATGATTGCTCAAACGATGGTGAACCCTCAATTCTCGAACGGCAATTTGTAATTCACGCGTTTAGGAGCACTTACACCTAGCTAGCTCATGGCTCCGCTACAACGGCTGGACCCCCCGGATCTGACTTTATATACCGAAGGTTTGTCTTGATTAGCTGTTCAAAAGAAAACTGATTGTAGAGTCCGCCGAATTTTCTTGAATTGGTTAATGAATGTTTTTGATCGTTGGTTTAAAGTAGCTGTCAATTCCGAGTGTCACTTTCAAGTACCTCAACACTAGATCAGGCGTGGTCGTGATAGTATCATGAACGACAGCGAAAGGCCCAGAAAGGCAACATCGCCGGTATCAGCATGATGAGAGACGTAATTTCAATAGGGAGAGGTATATAGTCTGCTTGCGATCTCAAACATAATAACTCATCAACGTGCTCTCAATTGTTTATTTGTGGCCCCAGAAATCAATTATAATGATCTGACACCCCTGTCGAATAACCTATATATAGTGACAAGCTTGATTTGCGCTTGCCTCTTTGACAGATTACATCAGGCTTTTTGTAAAGACTTTTGCTCAGGCACAATACTGAGCAGGATCCCTTTCTCAATAGCCGTACGCACATTATTTATGGCCCAATCTTCCATCCTCGCTTGCGTCTCGATCGTCCATGTTCCCATGTGTGGCACCAAAAGCACACGCGGATTTTTCAACAAATCTTGATGCACGATAGGCTCATTCTCGTAAACATCAAGTCCTGCACTGTAGACCTTACCCGACTCAAGTGCTGTTACTAAAGCCGCTTCATCTAAGAGAGCACCACGAGCCGTGTTGATAATGACGACACCATCTTTCATCTTTCCGAACTCTGATGTCGATATAATGTGTCGCGTTTTAGGCTGGCACTCAAGTTAGTTTCCTCCAGGAAGCGACATGCTGCCACTTTTAGAATCCGAGGGGTCATACATTAAGCGGAAGATTCAAGCTCAAGACGTCACTCTCCGCTAGCAGCCGCTCAAAGGATGTGTGCTCAGCGCCGAGCTCCTTCTCCACCTTCTCCTCGAGTCGTGTTCGATTGTAGTATCGTATGCTCATGCCGAAAGCAAGAGCCTTACGCGCTAGATTCCGTCCAATGCCACCCATGCCTAAAATACCCAGGATCTTCCCTTGCGGATCATGGCCCAGGTTGGGTAGCTGTCCAGGCCGCCCCCGCCAGTTTCCTCCACGAAGGCTGGCTATGCTGATTGGTAAATTCCGCAAACAGCCTAGGATGAGAAACATCGCCAGATCTGCAGTCGCACCATCAACGGCGGTAGGCGT